GTATCTATTGTCGAGCCGCGTGCCGAAGGAAACGAGACGGTAGAACCTTCGAAGATTGCAGGTGACAATTCTTTTGTATACAACGTTTGGAAAGGGGTGGTATTGAGAACGGGAAATTACACGTATGACGTTCCTTACTTTTATCGTGCATTGGCAGATGCTGAAAGTAATCGTACTTTAATAGGATTTTCAAGGTTTTATACCTCTAATCCGGATTTGGTTCACAGATTAAAGGAAGGTTTATCTCTCACTCCTTATGACAGAAGCACATTTTATATCAAATCTAATTGGGGATATAACACTTTTCTTAGATATGGCGAAGAAAGTGAAATTCACAAAGAGACAGAAGAAACCAAGTTTCCTAGACCTATTTCCTAATAATACTTGAACTCACATTTATTTAGCTTTGCTGGGGACCACATAACATTAAAGCCGTATATATATACTAAAACTTTGATATGAGTAGTGAAAATTGAAAGTTTCTAAAGGTATTCCATAATTATTGCTAAACATACCTTCGATATCCTCTTAATTTCTAGTTCGGTGAAATTCGCTGGTCTTTTCATCTGGATTTGTGCTCTCGCTCTATGTGCTGAACACAATAAAAGATGCCGCCTCTGACTTTGCGAAAAGTCATGATCAATTGATGGTAGCCATTAATTGAACCCTTGAGCAACGTCATTTTATTTCTTTAGGCTAACCATCTTTACTCTTTTAACACTGTTATCTGATGTTAAAGAGTTTTCTTTATCCTTCTTATATTGAATAGAGACTTTTTTATTTCAGAGTGTTCAGTTACTCTCTTGCTCTCACTTATTTCGGACTTTAATTTTGATCACCGGCAAAGTTTTTATAATCCCGGGACCTTCTTCATTTTCATCACCTTTATTGTAACATGAAGAACGAAAGATATGTAAGTATCTGAAAGGAGTAGATGATGTAATTTTTGCCTTCGATAGATGGAAACCAAGCGAGAGGAACATTAATTAAAAGGAGTCCGAATTCTTGAATTTTTACGGAGAGACAGGTACCAGCATACAGTATAAATCCAACATTTCACAGTTACCTATCAATTAAAACATAATGCTACTCTATGAAACTTCAATTGCACGTAATATCAGAACAGAAAGCAAAAGAGGAGTGGTAAAGGAATCGCTTATTATCACGAAAATAGCTTGACAGATACATATTGTGGGGTATATTTGTAAGGAGTGAACTGTACCTTAGATGCGAGACGTTATGTCCTGATATTTTGGATATTGTATTGTATGTTGCTTTTTGTGGACGAATGATAATAGGGGTTAAGTTTGTGCTTAGGCTGTAATAGGTGTGAGCGCTAATTAGAAGAGACTTAAGCCCGATAACAAGCTCGTAAACTGCGACGGTGTGCATACCATCAAATAACGGAGTAAATCGGATTCTGAACTACCTATTAAAATGATCAAAGAACACTCTTGGCAATTGTCAGTATATGATTTAAATACAACATTAAGAATTACCTTTTTTTCGAAAATAAAAGAACATAGATTAATCAATTGAGATGTCAATCAAAAGCGCTTTAGTAACGGGAGCCGCTCAGGGAATTGGAAAAAGTATCGCAACTCAACTCGCAAGGGATGGGTTTAATGTGGCTATTGCTGATTTACCCTATCAGCGGGAAAAAGGAACTCAGCTTGCTGAAGATCTTAAGTCGCATGGTGTAAAAACACAATTCATCGAAGTTGATGTAACGGATAGAGATCAGGTTTTCGCTGCCGTAGAAAAAACTTATCAAGCATTTTCCTCGTTCGATGTCATGGTTAACAATGCTGGTATTTGTCAGGTAACTCCCTTATTGGAAGTTACAAAGTCTCAGGTCGAAAAAATTCAAAATATTAATATCAATGGCCCATTATGGGGAATTCAAGCTGCTGCGAGAAAATTTATCGAGATCAAAAAGCCCGGAAAGATAATTAATGCATGCTCGTTCGCTGGCTTCAAAGGTATTCCAATTCTCTCTATTTACAGTTCTACCAAATTTGCTGTAAAGGGTCTAGCTCAGGCTGCTGCCCAAGAATTAGGAGTGATTAAATTTGAGGGTACCGACAAAAGAATAACTGTCAATAACTACTGTCCTGGTATTGTTTTGACTCCAATGTGGGATGAGATTGACGCCGGACTTGCCAAAATTGAAGGTCTGGAAAAAGGGGTCCCCCTCAAGCGCTACCTTGATGGTATTTTATTAGGCCGTGGGGAGAAACCAGAGGATGTGACAAATCTAGTTTCATTCTTAGCAAGCGATAAATCAGATTACATTACTGGGCAATCTATTTTAGTAGATGGTGGACTTTTCTTTAGTTGAATGATAGAAAGCAGCTTACCTAAATATCTGAAGTTCCTCGAAGCTAATTTACAGCTTTTAATATAGTGGCCCTCATTGAGAAAAATCCGATACGCATGCTTCTTAAAATTCATGATAACAAAGTGAAATAGGTGAAAATTTGGAAAACTAGTTAAATCAATTAGCAGACGATGAGCTAAGATCACTTTCTGAAGTTAGCTCGCATGATCTTCGGGGCCTAACACAGTATATCTTTCAGGTATCATAGTTATTTCTCAATTTATTTTTATGCTTCAAAAAAAGTAGAAATCTTTAAAAAAAAACCACAAATATATGATATGAATACGATCATAAATAATTGTTCAATACTCTCTCCTACTTCTCTTATCACGCGTTAAAGCTTTTTTTGGTTGATTCATGAACAGTTTTTATACTACGACAGTAAAAACTGACATGTAATTTAATATATAAGTCTAAAGTAAGATATTGACGTAGTTTTGAAAATTCCCTGTATGGTACGATCTAAATTGTGAGAATTATTCTCTTTTAAACAGTAACAGAATTGAAGTTTCTTAAAGCATATGTTCATTTTTTTTTGTCTATTTACCTTTTTTTCTAAAAGACTACTAAATAAAAAGTACCACAATTAGACAAATAGAAACTGAGTTATAACTATGTATTATAATATTTAAAATCTGTCAATCAATAACTATTGACTTAATTAGGGAAATGCCGACAATACATAACAAATATTATGAAACTACACAATAACTAGAGGTCTCTCAAAACTGACTTCAATTATACTATTAGAAATGTTACTAGTGAATTTATTAATTAAAAATCTTCTTGACTTCCAGATACTACGATTCTTGCGTCATCAGTTCTCTTTTTTAGTTCGAATTCGTCTCCGTGAGAAAAGTCAATAATCTTAGATACGCTATCCGGTGATTCAGCATTGTTTAGACCTTCTTGCGAAATATCACCTTTTTCGCTATTGTAAATGTATATGCCATACTTCTTTGCATTATTCTTCTCGTCGCGTTTGTAAAAGATGTAAGAAATCAGAACGGTAATGATAAAAGCAATACTGAAAACAGCACATGTTGTGAAACCCGTTAAGTATCTGGGTGAATCCGTAGTTTGAAAAATATATCTTCCAATGATGGCCAGAGAAGTAAGTCCACACAAATATACAATCATCCACTCTATAGCCCTTTGATTATTATCGTGTCGCAAAATATCACTAATTAATGGGTTAAAGACAGAACTTTGACTCCAAGACCAATATGACATACAAAATCCAACCCATTTTGCGCTTTCGGAGACATCCCATATCGCCAATATAAGATTTGAGACAAAATTCATTAAAAACGAAAAAATAATGAATCCAAATCTTTTCCCAGTTAAATCTGCGCCAAAACATACAATAATAACCCATAATATTCCCAAAGCCGGAGGAATTGCAGTGAGCTGGTTTAATTTGGATACAGAATATTTGTTCAAGGATTTTAACCAAATTGCATGCGAACCGTAAGAAGCACTATTTGTATTAAATCCAAATATCTGGGCAATTCCAAACAACCAAAAATGCCATGAAGTTACAATATTCTTCCATGTCTTTTTGTCGAAGAAAGAATTCGTCTTGAAGCTGGCATCAGAATTATTTGACTTCAATCTCTCCCTAGCCAAAATTATTTCATCATCAGTGAGCCAAAGTGAATAGCATTTGGTAGGTGTCCCTGGATGCATCAAAAGTCCCATAATTGCAACTCCTAGAGAAATAAATCCGTCTATAAAAAACATCCATTGCCATCCCTTGAGATTAGAAGATGAAATCTGAGAAGCTGCAGATTGAAGTAAACCTGATGTTAAGATGCCTAAAAATTGCCCACAGTAGAAAAGACCTCCTCTACGACCAACTTCATCTGGCTTATACCAAGAAGCTAACGTGTAGTGAAATATAGGAAAGTAGCACGCTTCAGCACTTCCTATTATAAATCTAAAGGCTTTTAAGGAAGCAGGATTTTTAACTTTGAATGTGAATAATGTGAATAAAGCCCATATTGTTTCACAAGAGAAAAGAACGTATGGAATTGGAATTCTAGGCAATAAGAATAACCATGGTAGTTCAAAAATAATATTTCCTACTAAAAATATTGTTTGAGTTTCAATCAAGTCATTTCCTTTCATTCCAATATCCTCCTTCAAACCTGAAACATAAGCATTATTAAGGTTAGCGCTGTCGAGATATTTAACCCAGTATCCCACAAACGAATAAAAGGCAACTAAAATGTCTAGTTTGAGCAAAAGCTTCTTCTCGGCGGAAGAAATTCCCTTTGGAAACCATCTCCAAGGTTCATACCTGCTTGCTTCTGATTTAGTAAGCCGATACTCATATTCATCGAAAAATTTCCACCATGGCCTATTAGCTTCATCTCTGTATTCCTTGAATTCAACAAGATCTTTCGAGCTTTCCAGGTCAGAAACAGAGTCGAGATCCAAATCTTTCAGTCCTGACTTATTCTCCGGCTGCCTTATATGGGGAAAGATTTTTTTAAGAGAGCTCATTAGTTATTGTTGCTAAGAAAGTTAAAAAGTATAGATTTTTTTAGGGTTTTATAACGAAGAGATTGTCATATTGCGGTGAGATTGCAAAAAATATGCATGCAGTTTTTCATAGTGCATTTGAGCCACATATTCCTATATTTTATTGCTTAACAAAGAGATACGCTTGTCATTCGATGCCACACTTTGTTGAAAATATATATATTGTTCGGTAGTACTCCTCCTCTGATTTAAGTGTTTCTGAACTAGAAAGAAAGTGATAGTCTAGTCATTCATAGTTTAAAAACAGATTTCTTGATGTCGAATAAAGGTAAATTAGAGGAACTCGATAAAAAGTATAATGTTAGGCCACTTGAAACCCCCTCGGCTTCTAAGCTTGATCTTGAACCTTTGGTCTTAAAAGATATCGATCTCTCATTATTTGAAGATGGGGATTCCTTTTTAAAGCAAAGAAAGAGGTTGGCTGGTATCTTAGAGGAATCGATCACTACATACGGATTTTTCAATGTAACTAAGTTCGGTTTTCCTGAAGATAAAATCGAAAAGTTGAAATCAATTAGTCAGAGTATTTTAGAGTTACCATGGGAAGAGAAGTTGAAATATTTAGCTAGTGCTCCACGTAAGGAGGATGAAAAAGAGGGACAAATCGGAGGAGAAAGGGGCCAAGGCTTTAAGCCTAAAGGATATTGGCTGATAAAAGGTGGTGTTCGCGATTCGATTGATCACTACAACTTTCAAGACTCATGCCACGATGAATTTTTAGCACAACATGACAAGCATCCCGAGCTTCTTGCTGCTCACTTATCAGATTTTGTTGAATATTTCAATCATCTTCATAGGGTTGTGTTTCCAAAATTACTTCGCTTGTGCGACTTGATTTTAGATGTACCTGAAGGAACTTTACTCAATAATTATTTCAAGAATGGTGGGACCAATTTAGATAGTTCAAAAAGTCATGCGAGGTTAATGATGTATTACCCTTACAATAATGAAAATTTTTCAGAAAAGACCGAAAATACATTCTTGAGGGGTCATTCGGATATCAGTGCTTTCACCTTCATAACCTCTCAGCCTGTTTTAGGTTTGCAAGTTAAAGACGTCTTTAGCGGAAAATGGCGATACGTTGCACACAGAGAACAGTCACTTATTGTCAATATAGGAGACGCAATGGAATTTATCTCAGGTGGATATTTTAAAGCATGTCTTCATCGAGTAATAGAACCACCTAAGGACCAGGTGCAATTCAAGAGATTAGTTCTCATTTATTTTTGCAATCCTGAAGCTGATTCTGAATTAGATCCTGAGTTGATTCATTCTAAAAAATTGGATTTGCTTGGATATAATAAATCTTCCAGGTTGAGAGAATGGGAGAAAATCCTGTTTCAGGACTGGAATACTGCTAAGGGTAAACTCTTAGGTAGAACCGATGCTGGAGAACGTAACTTGCTTAAGTATTTTGGAAGACAGATTGAGCGTTGGCACCATTTTGAAAAGCCTTTGGAACAAAGCTATTAGCAATTCTTTCCGTTGATCTCTTGGCTATATCGTTATTTAGGATATTAGCACTTACATAGTGCAGACCAGTTTTAGCGTCACGAATGTAGTATCAGCATTTGAAAATACAATTTTCGACTCCAAAGATTCATGGAGAAACTAACTTAAAGTTCGAAAATTATGCAATTAATTTTTTACAGAGAAAATATTTACGCATATGCTTAATTTGGTCTTTACTTTGCTACATACCCTAACACTTTTTCTCATCGTTCTCTTCAATGACCAACTCACTCTTTAATTTAACTTCATCTGTACTTGAAATCTCGGTGTTCTCTAAATGACGCTCGAATTCTGGCGGCAAGTCACCTGCTTTGGAGTTATATAGAATGATACCATTCTTTTCTGCATTCTTTCTTTCATCCTTTTTATAAAAGTACAACACGACAAAAGACCATATAAATAAAAATATTGCGAACGCCATGGTGGTAGCATAACCTTTTTTGAACCTTGGAGCCTCTACAGTCGGCCAAACAAGCCTAGTAATCCAAATACTAGTTGACTGAGAGATGGAATACAATAACAAGAACACAATGGCTCTCTCTTGAGCATCATGTCTTAAAATATCGTTACACCATGCATACATAACACTTGCCTGGGCCCAACCAGAGTATTGTACACCAAAAGCAAACCATTTAGCGGCATATGGTACATTCCAAATCGTAAGGATACAATTGCCAATGAAATTTAAGAGCTGAGATAAACAAATTGCACCGAACCTAGAATTGAATAGATCAGCACCGCCACAGCATAATGCAATTAATGCAACACCAATTCCTGGGGTAATTGTAGATAAATCATTAACTTGTGAAGTAGACCACTTTCCAGTAGACTTCAACCATAAAATGTAACCAGCACCACCAGTGTTCGTATTATTCCAACATCCAGTGCTAAACAAAGTCAAAATGTAAACTTTCCAATCTTTTAGGATTCTCTTCCATAAATTCTTATCCATGAACCTACTTTGACTCTTATCGGATGGAGATTTAATATTTGCTTTCTTCAATCTTCTTCTAGCTAGCCTGATTTCATCGTCAGTTAAGAAAAGTGAATAACATTTGTTCGGGGTACCAGGAACAAAATAGAAGCCTAAGATACCGACCGGAAGAGTGATAACAGCATCCATAATAAACATCCATCTCCAACCAGATAATCCATTTATACCATTTAAGCTTCGATGAATAGAAGCCTGCATTAGCCCTGAAGTGATAGTGCCAATCATCTGACCAAAATAGTAAATAGCCCCACGTCTACCTAATTCATTAGGTAAGTACCACGATCCCATAAGATAATGGGCAGCAGGATAAAATGCAGATTCGAATGCACCTACGAAAAATCTCAACGTTAAAAGTTGATTATTATTTTGAACAGCATAAGCACCTAGAGTGAAAAAGCCCCAGCCAAGGTCAAGCAATGGTAAGATATAGTGTAGGGAAAATTTTGGAAATAGGTACATGAATGGAAACTGAAAAACAACTGCAGCAACATTATAAACTGTAACTACATTAATATAATCATTTCCCTTCATATTAATTTCTTCCTGTAAACCGCTAACATAAGCATTCGCTATGTTATTTTGATCTAGCGCTTTGATCCAATATACGACAAATAAATAAAATGCTACCATTATATCCAATTTGATTAACAATTTCTTTTCGGCGGCGGTAGTTCCTTCTTCAAACCAACTGTACCATTTATGCTTTGATCTCTTATATTTGTTAAATCTATACTCATATTCGTCAAAAAACTTCCACCATTTTCTGTCGGCCTCGTCTCTGTATTCTAATAGCTTGACGCCTTTCTCATTACTTTCTTTGGCAAGAACACTTCCCAAATCATCAGCTGACAGATATATACTTTCTTTCAAGTTAATATCTTTAACGGTTGTTTCTTCTTCCCAATCTTCGACTTCCCGGAGGTGTGGGACGAAATTTTTAAGCTTTGCAAGCACATAGTAGACCATCCCGTGATTTAAAATTGCAAATCCAGTTGACTGAATACAATTTTGTAACACCATCAACTGCAAACAGGGAAGCTGTTAGATACTATATAAGTCATTCTGGACTTCTTTGAGGGACTCCGGATAAATTTCCATTTTTATTTTTTTTTTTTCAATTCTTACTACTGGATAAAAACTGTGGATCCTTTAATCTGATGACGACCTCAATATCGGGAATATTCAATGAAGACCAGTTCTCGATCAGGATACAGTAAAATAAAGCTTGCCAATTGCTTATATCCCCATGACCCCAATATTGAGTTTAAGATTCTCTCCGAAGTCTTGTAAGATCAAATTTAAGTTGAGCTGCTACTTCCAATATACCCATGAAACAAAATAAGTTTAAGGTCTTAGCAAAGCTAAACTACCTTATGTTGGTTAGTTCAAGGGCCGCCCTTAGTATGCATATAATCTGCATACATCAATCAGACATCATACTTGCGATAGAAAGCTTCACCCCCAAAAACTGTGGCTCTCGATATTCTGCTGAAACTATCAATTCTAAAGAGAAAGATCGCGATATCAGCTGAACTTTAGCCACTAAAATTAATATATGCAGATATTGCCAAATATTGAAAATTTTAGCGAGATGATAGTAATAGTATGCCAAGAATCAAGTGCTGAAAATGGTTGCTACTATTAGTAACGATAAACCAATGTAGTATGAAAATAAGCTTACAGCTCCGTTTCCCTTCAATTTAAAAGAGGGCTTTACAATCAGTTATCCTGGAGCTTCAAGTTGACGAGAACTCATGAACCTGAGCCTTTTATTATATCTATATACTTGACATAGGGTTTGAAGGTACCTAATTTGAATATAAATGAATCTTGGGGATATAATAAAACATTTCATCTGCGTACTGTCTCCTTTTTTCCCTTGAACTCAGTTTGATTTGATATCTTTGAACGACAACAGATTAGTAACCATCAGCGTAAATAAGAGCTCATTTACGTAGATTTTTATTGTGTGATGTAAAATTTTTGTTATTAATGTATTAGACGGAGTAGTTTAATGGGCCTCCTCTAAATCGATCGGCTCGAAAAAATAATTTGCTGTTCTTTAAGCTATCCTTTCTCTTTGTTGGTTTCAATGAGCTCGACTTCATTCAAAACCAGTTCAGTGTCCCTAATGTGTTTTCCATCATTGTCATGTTCATGATCCCAATCTTCCACCTCGCTTTTGTCAACTTTAATCACAGTATGACCTTTTTCGCCATTTTCCAACTCATAATACAACACTCTATGCTCATAATTCCATACCCTCGGGAACACTTTAGCCCATAGAAAATAATATAAGACACATAGTCCCAATATCCCAATACATACAATAGCATAAGTACAATAGAAGAAGGAAACATCTGACCCTTTTAAAGTTCCATCAGCTGGTGGAACCCAAGCCATTGCAATCACAAAAACTTCGTAAAAAATCGTGATAATTAATATTGGTAGCGGAACTTTCCACCCAGCGGATCCTAATCCTTTTGCTTTTCTCTCTCTCCTGACCAATACTAAGCCAACTACTAATAATAGTTTGAAAATATAATTCGCATATGATGAAAGATCAATAATAAAGTTATACGCGTCACCTGCCGGAGGAGCAACTAAAACGATCACATTGACTATCCAGGTAGCGAAAATGGCCAAAAGAGGAGTTCCAAAGGGCTTTGTACTAGTCCAGTGACGTGAAAATGGCAAAACCCCTTGTCTGCCACATTCACGAAGTGCTCTTGAATGCCCTACAAATGCCGCAAAAAGATGGCCAAGAGCGGAAATTGCGACTAACGAACTGAGAGCCTTTTGTGCGCTTTTTGATCCAAACACATTTTCAAAAAACAACGAAGCAATAAGCGTTCCCGAATTCTTGATTTCTTCAACGGTCCCACACCCAGCGTAATAAGAACTTATCACCAAAAGATATATCACTAAAATTGCAAATACAACAGCTGGAACAAAATATCTAAACATATTCTTCGTCTTTTTTGGATCTGATTCTCCAACGACACAAAAGAGATATTGTGTACCACTATATGAGAATGAAACCTTTAATATCGCATTTGATATAGCATTTCCATCTCTTGTAGTTCCTTCCCATGCATTTTTAAAATTAGCAAGTGAGTCAGTAACACTTGTCCCTCGTCCCATAACAACAAAACCCGTGATAATAATGAAAAGAAGAAATACCATTTTCATAAAGCCCAATATACTTGAGATCTTCATCGATATCCTTGTATTTGCTCCAGCAGCAAGAGCTACGAAGGTCAAGACCCCGACACCAATCCCTCTTTGCCTCCATGTTGTAATCTCAACATCTGCGGCACTCAAAATGTATTGGCCAAATGCAACAGCAGACGATGTCATATAGGATAAAAGCACAGAGACGGCTGCATATGTCGTTGGCACCAAGAAAGCAGGGCGGGGGTAAGACTGCTCTAAATAAGCAACATCCCCTCCTGATCTCCTTTGAAAATAAGTGACAAATTCAATATAGACAGAAATTTCAAAAAGGGCTATTATAAAGCCAGACACCCATAAAACGTAAGAAGCACCAATAGACCCAATTGAGCTCAAAACGCTAGCTGGCGTAGCGAAAATTCCAGTTCCTATGACACCTTGAATGATGATGTAAAATGCTGTGAAGTAGTCTAAATTATAGCCTAAGGGATTCTCCTTTTCAACTGGTGCTCCATTTGAATTTTGAGTGTCATCTTCTCCTGTTAACTCAATTGTTTCAAGAGATACAATTTCTTTCTTCCCGCCCGAAAAGGTACCCAATGCACCATCAATTACCTTAGTTCGAGCTTGCCTAAACATAATTCCTGATTTGAATCTACCCATTTTAGCGCCGTCACAAAATGCTAGCTATATATTGCAAATTCCTTAGCGCTCTGCATTTCAATTATTCGACCACAATTGGCAATTTAAAACGTCGCACGGCATAGCAACAACCTTTTCTTTCTCACTTTATTGTTACGTACAGAGATCTTTATTCTAATGCCACACTGTGGACTTGAGGTTTGTAATTAAAGTGAAACTATTAGATCTCCAAGTATTAAGTAATAACAACTTGTATAGCCAAAAAATGATTAACACATCACTGATTCAGCCGTACACAAAATACTCATTTATGTATTTATGTATTTATTTTACTTTTCAAAATGAACTTGAACTTTTTGTAAAATTTCTTTAATGACAAGGATAATTAAATTTTACGATCAGCTATGTTTATTATTTTCAACTCTTGTTGAGTCTTTGCTTTTAGAGAAAAGCAAGTATTTACAATAATTTTATAATATGATATGGTATAACACCCACAAGGTCGTCCATGCGAATATCCACTTCACAACTTTATTGAAGGTAAACGGGTTTATTTTTTCAAAGCGAAGTCATTTTATTTGTAAACATGGAGTAGAAAACCATATTACTTTCAGAGAAAAGCCTACCTAGTTAAAATTGTACATCATCAGACCATTAACGTTGTTCAAAAACGTAGGATGGTTATTTCTAGTCAGCTTTTCGGCCCATTAAAAATTCTCGCAAGACATTTGAGATAATTTTTTTAGAGATTTATACAATGCTGAAATTAGGAGATATTGTACAACAAGGTTCTTGCAAAATGACTTATAGGCTTGTGTGTATCCTTTTACTAAAAGCATTTTAAGTTTACAATTTTTTAATGAATCTCTTCCTGTAAAGTCACATGAGTTTATTGGTGCAAAGGATCGATCACAATTATCACGTCGAAAGCTACTGTGATGAACTATACTTTTACCTTTTCGATCAATTGAAGAAAAAAGAAAAATGAAGAAAGAAAAACAATGCAATCCCACTAGCCAAAGCTAAATCCTGGAGCCACAATTTTGAACGTTTTTGATAAGCATAATGTGCTCACATATGTATGCGCATAAGCAAAGAAACCATTAGCTGATACATGTTCTTATCTCTGGCAGGCTTACAGGAAGATTAACCTTCATATTGAATATAAAATATGTACCGCCACACCCTTTATACATAGTTTCAACTTGTTATTAGTTACATGCGCTAGATCTCGTTCATGTGGCACACCATTATAATCTTCAAACTGTGGAAAAGAATAGACGATGCAAGATATATCAAAGTGAGTGAAAGTTGCATGCTCATGCAGATACATTTAATACAACATGTTTTAAAAAGAAGTATAAATGCCTCAGAGTAATCCTAAATTTATTCTAGCAAACAAAAAAATTAATAGAAGCAAAAATGTCAGAGGAAGAAAAAAAGAATTTTGAAACAGAAAAAATAAGCAAGGAGGGCACATTGGAGACAGATTCACAATTGGAGGATGAAATTACAGATAAGGAAAGAAGACAACTAATTAGAAAAATTGATCTATGCATTCTACCACCTATATCTATTCTCTTCTTATTTGCGTACCTTGACCGAGCAAATATTGGAAATGCCAAACTTGAGAATCTTATAGTAGATTTAGATATGTCTCCAGAGCAGTATCTTGTGTGCTTATCACTTTTCTTTGTTGGATATTGTCTTTTCGAAATTCCATCCAATATAGCCTTGAAATTATTTTCTCCCAAGATATGGATACCTTCTATTATGGTAGTTTGGGGTATTGTTGCAACTTTGATGGCACTTTCTTCTTCCTTTGGAGGACTACTTGCTGCTCGTTTTTTCTTGGGTGCAACTGAAGCAGGTGTGTTCCCTGGAGCGATTTTTTATTTATCAATGTGGTACCCAAGAAAGTCTCTTGTGACGCGCTTGACTTTTTTTAATAGTGCTATTTCCATTGCCGGTGCTTTTGGTGGCCTCTTGGCATGGGCCATAGGACATATGAGAGGTATAGCAGGAAAGCCTGGTTGGTTCTGGATTTTCACTATTGAAGGATTAGCTACAATTGTTGTTGCTATTACTGGCTTTTTCACTATAAGAAGATTCCCAAAAGAAGACAATTTCTTATCACCTCGGCAAAAAATAGTGTTGGAGGAAGTACTATGGGAAGATAACGACGCCATGAGAGAAGAAAAGTTTTCCTTGAAAGAAGTCAAAAAAACTTTTAAAGATATCAAGGTATGGCTTTATATGCTTTCTTGGATGGGAATTGCGTTGCCTGAATATTCCTTGACATTATTCTTACCAACAATCATTAATAATTTGGGCTACACGGCTGCTGATGCCCAGCTTTTGACTGTTCCACCAAACGCTGCAGCCTTTATATGCGCGATAACCAGTGCATTTGCCTCGAAGAAATTTAATGTTCGTGCACCTATTATTATTATTGGAATAACTGTAGCGTCAATAGGCTACATAATGCTTTTATCAAGTGGTCGTGTTGGAATACAATACTTAGCAACTTTTTTTGCAACATGTGGAATGATGACAGCGTCAGCTCTAATGTTTACTTGGGTGGCTACAAACGTATCTGGCCAAACAAAGCGTGCGGTTGCTACGGCAATTCAAATATCTTTTGGAGACATAGGTGCCGTAATTGGTTGTCAAATGTATAGACCGAACCAAACTCCAAGATTTTATTTGGGACATGGCATGTCTCTAGGTTTTCTTGGTCTCAGCGCTGCTTCATCTTTTTCTTTATGGTATATCCTCTCTAAAGAGAATAAGCGAAGAGATGAAATTACAAATGGCCCTCCACCTGATCAATCCTTTATTCGCAGTGAAGATTTCAAAGGGGACGACGATGTGAGATGGCGGTTTATTGTTTAGCGCTCAGTCTTTTTTATTAATTTTAGAGAAAAAAAGATTCGATTTGGTTCCCTGTGATCAAATTATTTTGACCAAACGCGTTATTGTTTTAGAGTAATTCCAGTAATTCATATGAGCACATCCAATAGATAGCAAAAAATTCAATGATAGATTCAAGGCTAGGTGCTTGTGATAAAAGGACTGGCCAACTAATTATAGATAAGCATATGAAGTAAAGCGTGAGCCAAACCCCATTTGCTATAATTGTTGGTAAGTTTATCTCAGACTATTAATTTATTATCGTTTTTCTTCCAAAAGTTAATCTTTTAAAAAAAAAAACAGAGAGTCTTACAAGGTGGTGCATAATCTATTCGCTTAAATGTCAAATTGTTTCAGTTACGTCACGTTTAATGTAGTTTACTACGAAAGCCTATTAAATTTTTTTTTTCAGCTTTAATAAGAAGATTTAGATTACGCTTGGGCGCTAATATTCACATTTATTCGCTAAAAAAAAAGTAAACATTTTAGATGCATCTTATTTCAAAACGCATAATCTTATGGCATTAACTACTGACAAAAAAATATGTATGAACTTAGGTCGAAGTCACAGCATTCGATACCCTCCTGAAGGCTTAATTTTTTTGATACCATCTTTGGCACTTTCCTTGTATGAAAAATCTACTCGTTTTTGTTACCGAACTGGTTAGAAATTTATACATCGTAGGTTGAGGTCTGATTTAAAATTTCACGTGCATTTAAAATCCTCATAAGGAGGTCTACACAAGATATTGCATCTTAATTTCCAAATCAACAAAGGTGTGGCTTGCCTGCAATCGCATTCAGGATTGTAAATATTTTAAAATTGTGGAGTCAATCTAGATCTACTGTTATTTGTTCTGTGCAATTTTTTTTTCCATGTTCATCAATTTTTCATTTAAAATCAAGCATTCCTAACAAGATTGTGATCGACGTATTTTCTGACAACTATAAAGACATTTAGTTTCATATCTCTGAAAAAATGAGTCAACTCGAAAACGAGTTTGAGAAGGGAGAGGATGTTGGAAGCAGCTCGACTGAAGGAGAACTTACCAGTAAATCTGAGACGAATGTTAACGTAGTTGCAAATACATTTTTAGAATTTACGTCTAAAGATGATGTTATAACTCAAGCCGAAAGAATCATTGAATTAAGCGGGCTTACCGAGAAGGCGGAATTGATTAAAAAAGGTGCATTACTAGTGAGTTTTCCGAATAAAACTTTTAAAGATTATGAATTGAGCATTGAAGAAAGTGAGAGTGTGAAGAAGTATAATAAATATCCTTGGAAGCAGACGTATACTTTGTACTTGTTGGCAATTACATCTGCATTGTCGGCAGCTGTTCAGGGAATGGATGAATCTGCAATTGGAGGGGCCCAATTATTTTATATATATGATTATGGAATTTCTGCAGATACTACTTACTATGCCAATGTTAGAGGCATAATAAATGCTATACCTTACCTTGCTGCCTCGGTGATTGGATGCTGGCTATCTATTCCCATGAATTTTTACTTAGGAAGAAGAATGAGTATATTCTTGTCAAGTTTCGTGGCAGCTGCATCTGGTTTGTGGCAGGCATTCTCACCTTCATGGGAGATGTTGCTAGTTGGGAGACTTATAATGGGAATCACCATTGGAGTGAAAAGTGCTACTGTTCCAGTTTACACCGCTGAGTCAACTCCTGAAAGAATTAGAGGGGGGTTGGTTATGTTATGGCAAACTTTGACAGCATTCGGTGTCATGATGGGTTCTGTTATGGGAGTAGCTTTTTTGAACGCAGGAAAGCATAACTGGAGATTTATGTTAGGATCGGTTTTCCCTTTGCCCTTAGTCGTATGTGCTTTAATTTTCGTGCCACCGGAATCGCCTAGATGGTTAATTTCCAAAAAGAGGTATAGGGATGCCTATGAATCCTTCACAAGGTTGAGACCTTTTGAATTATTAGCAGCAAAGGATTTTTACTACGCCGTATCGTTGATTGAAGTGGAGAACGAAGCAACTCATGGGACTACATTTTACAGAAGAATTATTGAGATTTTTACAGTTCCTCGTAATAGATTTGCAGCTTTAGCGAGTTGCATTCTTATGTTTGGACAGCAGTTTTGTGGAGTAAATGTGTTGACTTTTTATATATCAACAGTCTTAGTAAGTGCTGGTTTCTCCAATCATTCTGCATTGGCTGGAAGTTGCGGATTTGGTGCCTTAGCTGTTTGTGGAGCGTTGACTGCTATACCTATCATTGATAAAAAAGGAAGAAGATTCTTAGTTTTATTCACATATCCTTTGCTTGCCATCTTCTTACTTTGGACTGCATTTTCATTTTATGCTGAAACTGAAAAATCAAGATTAGGTCTCGTTTTAGTAGGAATCTATCTTCATGTGTATTTCTATGGTATAGGAAGTGGCCCAGTTCCTTTCACATATAATGCTGAGAGCGCTTCTCTTTCAGTGAGAGATGCGCACTCTAGTCTTGGAACAGCCACGACTTGGATGTTTTGTTTTGTATTAGGCTTCACTTTACCAAATATGCAAAGGTCTATTAAAAATGTCGGCGTGTTTTGTTTCTACGCAGGTTGGTGTGTAGTTCTTTTTATCTTGATACTTCTTTTTGTACCTGAAACAAAAGGATACACCTTGGAAGAGTTAGATTTAATTTTCAGTGTGCCAATAAAGAAGCATGCTGAATTTCAAGTTAAAAAGCTGCTTAATTTCGCTTCGAAGATCTTGGGCAAGGACGTAAAAGAACAATCAAGTATTCTTGACTATGCACTTTCACTACAATTCGAGAAGAAAAAGAGAGGCGTGCCATAAGCTCTTTTCATAATCAAATTAGACTACGATAGAGTATATATAAATAAAATAATTTTTTAAATGTAGAAGTCACGCAAGATATGATCAACATCGTTTCTAACTGTTCACAGCTACGCCCTCATGAGACTCTTTCAACTACGTTTTTCGTTACTATTTGGAGCTTGCTACTGACAAGTTTCGGGATAATTACGACTTCTGCTCAAATTTACTTGAATGGGGAATTTTTTCATATCATTTCATCCTCCTAGATATTTTTTTTTTTGCTGTTATATTATATCGAATAGTGTATATTTTGAACAATTGATAGCCAACGTGGTAGAATTTCGCGTAAATGATCTTTCACCGGATTCGTACATTCAATATATTGCCTTGAGTAAATAAAAATAACCATTGAAGTAAGAAAGGAGAATGAAAGAAACACAGTTCATAAATTCTTCATAAGCTAATTTAAGCAATCTTTCAAAAATGAAGGGAGAGAAAACCAATGAATCAGAAGTTTTTACTGCGAGAAGCGATGGTGAAGCTATTAACTATGGTTTTGAAGAAACCCACATTAACAAGGATACGGCAGATTTAGAGAGTGGAGACTCCATATTAGCAAGAAAAATGTTCTTAGTGAATAATACTATAGACGAAATTGGCTTCACAAGTTTCCATGCTAAGCTCTTCGTTTTGGCTGGATTTGGATATTCGGCAGATTCTCAAATTTGTTTAGTTCAAGGTTCTGTAGCGACCTATGTGAACTATCAATTTGGTAGAGTGTATCCTTACTCAACTGAGATACTCTACGTAGGATTGCTATTTGGTGCTCTATTTTGGGGTTTTGGTGCTGACATTATTGGAAGAAGAAAAATATTCAATGTGTCATTGTTGCTAGGATGCGTCTTCGGATTCTTGACGGGTGGAATGAATTCATTTGCAACTTATGGCATATTTTTAAGTTTTTGCAGTTTTTCTGTTGGAGGGAATTTGGCTTTGGATGTAACGGTCTTCTTAGAATTCTTACCATTTAAGTGGCAATGGCTTACCACATTGTTTGCCTGTTGGTGGGGAGTTGGACAAACAATTGCAACATTAGTGGCTTGGGCATTTTTACCTAATTCTCACTGCGAGTCAAACGATGATTGCCCGTCTCGTTTGAATCGTGGTTGGAGATATTGCTGGTATACTAATTCAGGAATTGTTCTTGCTTGTGCTTTAGCGAGACTCTTTCTCTTCAAAATGTATGAGTCACCAAAATATCTTGTATCAAATGGAAGAGACAGAGAAGCAGTTGAGGTATTACAACAAATAGCAAAGAAATACAATAGAAAGTGCACATTGTCAATTGAGCAACTACAGGAATGTGGAAACAGCTACAAAGTGGAAGAAACGAAACATAAATTATCATTTAAAAAAGTTGTAAAAGTTATGAAAAGCCATCTAGCATTATTATTTCAAAATAGAGTTGTTGCTAGATCAACAACGATTATGTTCATTTCCTGGTTTCTTATAGGCATTACATATGCAACTTACTCAAATTTTATATATTCCTATATTGAGGCAAGAGGAGGAAGTACTGGCTCCTCTGTATTTAATACTTATAGAGATTCCTCGATTGCCCTTTTTGTCAGTATATTCGGCCCAATTATTGCAGGTTTGTTGATATTGATACCACGCGTTGGCCGAAAAGGTACTTTGGTAATCGGTGGGGTGGCATCTATGTGTTTTTTATTCGGTTACACAACAGTTCGAACAGAGCTGGCTAACCTTGGTTTCTCATCGGCTTCATATCTTGCTATTAATGTCTACTATGGATGTTTGTATGCATACACACCTGAGGTGCTTCCAGCAGCCGCAAGAACCACAGGCGCTGGTATTGCATTGGCTATGAACAGAATTGCGGGCACTATTGCACCCATTATTGCATACTACGGGAACACTGCTTCTGCTATTCCCATATGGGTTTGTGGTGCTTGTGTTGGCGCAATTGGCCTAGCAGCTCTCGCACTTCCCTTTGAGCCTTCTAATAAAAGATCTGTTTAAATAACTTCTTACCCATCCTTTCCTTTTTTTTTTTTACCCTCCTAATTATCATATTTATTTTAATATTTAAAATTTAATGATAAGCTTCACAACTCACAAGAAGTATTTAGACAGAAGAAGAAATGATACTTCTGATATATGAGAGAATAATCAACAGTACCTTGATATTCCTTTATTTTATGTTTCTGGTATCTCTTGGGTAAATGAACAAATACTTGACAAATTATGTTGCATTATTTCATGGAAAGAAAAAAAAAACTGAATGATAAACATTTGAATAGTGCTCATAATGAGCCTACCAAGACATTGAAGTAAACAGGGTACCAAAACTGAAAGTATATTGGTAGAAAAATGATGCAACATAAAATGTCTTCATAAATCATAGGCTATGCCATAATCCTGAGTATATCATAGCTCTAGAATAATAAATTAGATGAAGCTTTCAACCCTGTAATTGAAAAATACCTACCAATTTTTCCAGGATCATATTCAAGAGCTCCTGATTTGTAGGTGCCAATTACTTGTTGCAAATTATAAAGTATTGAGTGAATTATTTGCTCTGTTGTTTAAATTATTTGATGAGCACTGCGATTCATTTAAAGAAATTGTCAGGTTATGTTGTCACTGTTACATGTTTGAATCATCTCAAAGAGGTCATTTTTCGCAGACCAATCCTCGGGATCACATTAGGGATTGAGTGGGTCGAGCAGCAATCATAAGGAGAAATTCAGACTAACCTTTTATCAATAATATGATGATCTGATATATTCTTCAAACATACCATCAGGTTTTTGGGAAGAGCCTCAATATATTTAGCCCTTTAGTAGTAATGGAGCGCCAAGCACTCAGGAGATATTTTGTTTAAAAATTTCCTTCCCCTATTTCGCTCTTTCAAGTATGTACTCGGATCATATTAGTATTTGAATCTATTATGGCATGTCGAAACAATATTCTCTTATTGTTTTTTTTTTTTGGTAATGAGTTACAATATCGAAAGATCGCATTGTTCTGCAATGTTTCCAATTTTTGACCCCACCATTCGAAATGGTTCTCCACATTTGCGGATTTTCTTCATTCGATATTGTTGGTTGATTCGGGTATACTCCTATTCTCGGATTAACAGATAACCGAAAGTAAGATTTCGTCCCTAGTCGCGTTTCATTCACACTTTTGAAATCTTATTGTGAAAGAAAATTGGCACTTATCGCATAACATTGTCATTCCAACTTTTTGCAGTCTGAATTTGGTGACTTCTTTTCACCAATTGTTGAGTATCCCCAACTTGCTCTATTGTTAATGAGAGTGAGTGATAGTTTTTGAAACCTAATTGTTACGGTTTGGTATTCTATAAAAAAGACCAAAAATCTCTTCAATCAAATTTGCAGCTATCAAAGTTATAAAGAAAAAATGCTACTCAGGATAGTTTCTTTGTTAGCTTTAATATACCTACTGTTATGTCAGACAATACATGAGTTTGATGAATCTGCTGATTCGGAAGTGACTCGTTCATATCCTGAATTCAGCTTCTATCCAAATCCAGCCCCCACTTTCGCGAAGTCGAATCAGGCGCCTACTAGGACGTCATATTTTGCACCTCACTTTTCCGATGTAAGCCATTTACTTGGTAGCGTATCTACAACAAGTTGGGGTAGTTGGAATCCCTCAGCCACATATCAAGCATCAGATGTAAATGATCCTTATGGACAGTACGCTTGGACCAAAATGTGGGAAGATGCTTCCATCTGGAACTTCACTAACACTGCGATTTATTCCACGACAGTGGAACCCACAGCAATCCCCACTGAAAGCTTGATTTTACCTCCAAAAGATGCATTCCAATTTCAAAACAATCTAAAATTCCCTAAAGACTTCATTTTCGGCGTTGCAGGATCTGCAGCACAGATTGAAGGTGCAGTAGCAGAGGAGGGGCGCTCACCAACTATAATGGAGAAGCTTATCACAGATGATAAGCCCCAAGATTTTGTCACTAACGAAAATTACTATCTTTATAAACAAGATATCAAGAGGTTAGCATCTATGGGTGTCAAAGCTTATTCTTTTACGATTCCTTGGACAAGAATATTACCTTTTGTCTTGCCAGGTACTCCCGTCAACAAGCATGGAATTGACCACTATAATGACATTATAAATACATGTTTGGAAAATGGGATTACGCCGATTGCTACTTTGACTCATTTTGACTCACCTTTAATGTTTAATGGAGGCCAACCTGTTTTAGGAGACTATGAGCTAGGCAACTATGGGGGATATGCTAACGAGACATTTGTTGATGCTTTTGTAAATTACGGAAAAATTGCCTTAGCCCTATATGCTGATAGGGTTCCTGTTTGGATTGGCTTCAATGAACCTTATGGTTATACGGGTACACCTTTGGGAGTGAAAAATGTCATAGGGGCCACAGCAAGATTGCACAAATTTTACCATGAGGAACTAAAAGGAAAAGGAAAATTTGGAATTAAATTCAATGATAATTTTGGCATTCCCAGAGATCCTGAAAATCTGGATGATGTCGCGGCTGCTACCAGATTTCAAGAATTCCAGTTAGGGAGCTTTAGTAATCCCTTATTCCTAGGGAAGGACTATCCGGAATCTTGGAAGACCACATTTACTAATGAGACTGACTACTTTTTCACTCTGGAGGAATTGGAGGAAGTTTCTTTTGGATCAGATTTCTTAGGAATTGATCCTTATACCTATACCGTAGTAACCCTGCCGGAGGGAGGCATTGACGCATGTGCGGCTAATCCGTCTCACGAACTTTGGCCGCTCTGCGTAAATCAGTCTCAAACACGAGAAGACGGGTGGAAGATAGGTTATAGGTCTCAATCATACGTTTATATCACCCCTGTTCAGTTACGAGAATATTTAAATTTTCTTTGGGATTCCTATCGGGCACCTGTATTTGTTTCTGAGTTTGGATATCCAGAATGGAGGGAGGCAGAAAAAGAGTTAGGTGATCAACTTTTCGATCTCAACAGGTCCATCTACTATCGATCATTCTTGGAAGCGATTTTGAAAGCAATTCATTATGATAAGGTCAATGTTATGGGCGCTTTGGCGTGGTCGTTTGCCGATAACTGGGAGTTCGGTGACTATGAGCAACAGTTTGGTTTACAAGTTGTCAATCGAACCACGCAAGAGAGGTTTTTCAAAAAGAGCTTTTTTGATATTATACAATATTTCGAAGAACGAAGTTCTAATGAACATTGAACATCATAGCTAAAGTGAGAAATTCTTTCAACACTAATCTTAAAGTAATTTAAGTATCCTTAGATTTTATATGCTCAAGCAGCGGCTACCATACAATAAAAGTATGTACGCACGAGCATTGGTCTTTCTTTTAACTTTTCTTTTACTGGAAGAAAAGTCTGTGTAGTTCCTTACTAATAACGCTCTATAGATTAAAAATATGAACATACGGAGTGTCTTGGGCATCAAATTACGCATCCATTTCTTTTTCCCTTTCGTAGAATTTGTAAGATAACAAAAAGAAGTCGGACTTAAAGTCGAATTTCATGCAATAACTATTGAGGTATAAATTGATATATCACATAAGCGACGTTGACACTTTTCTTGGCCTCGTTTAAGGATTAGAATTATCTAAAGTTCAAGGTTGCTTTCAAACAACACCCTAAATGTTAGATAAATAACTAGGTCCATAATTTAGAAGAACATATCTAAGCTGAAGAAGGTCTTTAAGCTCTTTTTTTTAATAAAATTATCAATTAAAAGGGTCACCTTGCTGGTACATGCATAAAGTTTTGAACTCTCGTTATTCATCCCCCGCTATAAAAAGGGAAGAAAAAAAAGTCATTTAGCCTATAATTAAATTAGAATTATTAAAGAATGGTAAAAATTGGAACTTGGAACCCAGATAAGGTCACGTTAACAGATGACTCGGTTCCCGATTCATTCAAATATTGTGTCTTACAAGGCGTTTATGGCCCAGATTCAGGAAATGACTATAATGGTTCTTTAGGTGCCAGAATATCTTCAGTATTCGTTATCTTATTCGTGTCTACGGCTTTTACTATGTTTCCGTTAGTAGCGAAGAGAATAAAAGCGCTCAAGATTCCATTGTATGTCTATCTTTTTGCAAGGTATTTTGGTACTGGTGTCATTGTTGCAACTGCTTATGTTCATTTAATGGATCCAGCTTACGCAGAAATCGGGGGTAATTCTTGTGTTGGAATGACTGGAAATTGGGCAATATATGCTTGGCCGCCTGCCCTCATGCTACTTTCAATATTTTCGACTTTCTTGGTTGATATGGTTTCTCAAGCATACGTTGAGAGAAAATTTGGAATTTTACATTCACATGCTGACCAAAACTCAATAGAGGATGCCATTATTATTGAAAAGAGCCAACACCAAGATCTTCTGGGAAATACATTAGAAAAGGATTTAGAAAATGACGTCCCAAAATTAAATAAAGAGAATAAATCTCCAGATGCAGATGTGGAAGATTATAATTCAGTAGCCGAAACAGATGCAGAGTACGATTTCAGTTATCAATTCTCGGCATTTCTCATTCTTGAACTTGGGGTAATTTTCCATTCTGTTATGATCGGACTTAATCTTGGAGCTGTTGGAGACGAGTTTAAGACGCTATATATTGTCCTAGTATTTCATCAATCTTTCGAGGGCCTTGGAATTGGTGCTAGATTATCTGCGATTCCTATACCGGACACTAAACCTAAGTGGCTCCCTTGGGTCTGCTGCCTTGTTTATGGGCTTGTAACCCCAATTTGTGTTGCAATTGGATTAGGAGTTAGAACTGCCTATAATTCAAATTCTTATGCGGCAAACGTTGTTCTGGGTGTTTTGGATTCACTTTCTGCAGGAGTTTTAATGTATACAGGCTTAATTGAATTGATCGCAAGAGATTTCATTTTCAATCCTAGTGCTTCTCATGATCTTTACCGATTAACATTCCTGATTTTCTGCATGCTCTTGGGGGCAGGAATAATGGCATTACTAGGAAAATGGGCCTGATCAAATTTTAATTTACAACGTGGTATAAAGCTAAGTTCATTAATAATTTCAGTAGATTAAATATCTTTCAACCACAGTACTAAAATACATAATTAGGTGTCGAATTATTGCTATTATTACAAGGCGCAATACTTCTATCATTAAGGCACCAAATATATATTAGATACTGCTAATATACTGCCAAACTTTTCTGTGCCTTCTTTCTCCATACACTATCATAGTCCGAAGTAACTCCTGAGAAACTACTTGTAAGGATTAACTTTTTTGAAGTGGTTTGCTATTTCCTCCCTTGTAGCAACCCATACTTCGTCTTCCCTTTCTTTGACGTATTGCATAAATTTCATCAATGCTGGCATTCTGCCAGGCTTTGTGATAACTCTTGCATGTAAAGCAACTGTCATCATTTTCGGAACACCCAAATCTTTGCCCTCCTCGTATAGACAGTCGAAAGAATTCTTTAAATGGATGAAAAAATCATCACTTGAAGACCATCCAGTAGGCATATGGAACCTTGCATCATTATTGTCGTAAGAGTAAGGTATCATTAACAATGCATCTTCTGTTTTAGGTACAGGCTTATAATAAGGCAAGTCATCACAATATGAATCTCCCATCCATAGTAAATCTGCACCAAGCTCCTGATACACATCATAAACTAAGCGGTATGAATGTTGAGATAATCTCGCATAGTACCAACCTTTAGGATAGCGTCCAAAAATTCTTTTAAAGCAATTCATATTTTTATAGATAAGATCCTTTTCTTCCTCTATAGACAACTTGGAATAGTCATACCACCTATAACAGTGTGAAGAAATCTCATGACCCTGACTTTCTAAAGCCTGTGCAACTTCTGGCATAAGCTCAAAAGCCTTTCCTACGCCAAAGGTCGTAAACTTCCAATTATACTTCTTGAAGGCTCTTAAAAGTCGCCAAATGCCCACTCGAGATCCATACTCAAAATCAGACTCGCAATCATATGAGCGAACACCATGATGTGGAACATAAGGTAGTTCCCAGATATATTGCTCCGAGGAAGAGTCTTTATTTTCTATTGTCATTTCGGCACCTTCTTCGTAATTTACTACGAAGTTCACGATAATCTTCGGATTGTGTGGCCAATTAAAATTAGGGGGGCTTTCACCATAGCCTTTGAATTCACGAGGGAAATAATAATGTGATTCTTCTAATTCAGCTTTTGGTTTGTCCTTCATTATATAGTCTTTCACTTGGATTTCTATTCTTGCCGTATAGCTGCTATTTAGGTACTATATATAATATTCGTGGTCTGAAATCGTGACAAATACTGTATTGATTCTTATCAGTTCCGGAAAAAGCATAGCTCAGGTCTCGGCCCGACGCAATGGGAAAAATCACATATTTCTAGCAAGGCGATGTACTAAATTTCAAAGTAAACCTACTCAAAAATGATCCAACCCCTAGCTCAATGGCTCAAATGGGAAGAGAGTTTTGGGCCCGCTCAAAATTTTATTTTTCCATCTTGATTTCATGGGTATGACAGCTGTCAGTCTTTGATTTTGTTCAAGTATCTATTTATGCTATAAAACTTAAAGATCAAGTTTCTTGATTTGATGTTTGTCTCTTGCTCTAGGTTGCTGAAATGACATCAAATCGAGCTCATAATATCTATTATTATGAATTAAACGTCTGCTCCGGCATTCTTTCGGGTGCCTTATTGGCTCAATTTTTTTGAGAAGCGTTATCAAATTTCCAAATAGCCGAGCAAACTGCATACTGTTTTAGATACTATGAGCGTTTCCGGCAATGGTGCTTCCGTCCTGAATATCGAAGACCTAGCCTTTGACACTGATAAGGAATTAGATGCGATATTGTAGATTACCTTCCGTACATTACAAATATAAGAGCTACTTATCTTTATGAATACGAAATGCAACCCAGTAAGAAGTGTGAAGAAACAAAGAATTTCTAACGAGTGTCTCGAAGAGAAAAAGCTCATTTGAAATAAAGTTCCAAAATGTCATTACCGGCATCTTTTTCCAAAAACGTGGAGAAAAAAAGAGAAAAAGTCTTTGTTGAAGAGGATACTTCTCCATCATATTCAGATCTCGAAATTGCAGAGGCCAAAGATACGAACGATTCAAAGACCAGGATCTCAAAATTTCTAAAAGGTCTTGAGCTTAAGACTTCAAATAATTCTAGAGGTTCAAATGTCGATTTAGATCCTGTCGTTTTGTCAAAGAGGACATGGAAAAGTCATAATTTTGCAATGTACTGGATATCTGATGATTTCTCTCTTTCCATGTTTGAATCAGCTTCGTCCTTAATGGAAGTAGGCTTATCTTGGAAGTTGGCCATCGGATGCGTAACCCTAGCTCAGTTCATCACATCTCTTCCTATAGTTGCAAATGGTTTGGTAGGATCTAACTATAGAATTGGATTTGCTATTCAATCAAGAGCTGCTTTCGGTTGGCACTTTAGTAAGTTGATTATTTTAATGAGAATGATTGTTTCGATTTTTTGGTATGCGATACAGTCCTATAATGGTGCAAGTTGTATCTATGCAATGACTGTAGCCATATGGCCAAGCTTCAAAACATTGCATAATCAGCTTCCCGAAGATTCAGATACTAGCACTCAGATGATGATTTGCTTTTTCATATACTTCGTTGTTGTGTTACCGTTCTTCTACATTCCCATGTCTCTTTTGAGGCATTTTTTCACTTTGAAAAGTATCGTAACTCCGATTGTGGGCTTTGGGATAATGGGATGGTGTATTCAAGAAGTAAAAAATAAGGGCCTTTACCATGAGCTTTGGTCCGATGACACAAACACTGCAACGGGATCTGAAAGATCATGGTTGTTTTTAAGCGGAATATACTCAAATATTGGGACATGGGCTACCATGGGAGTTAATTCTCCTGACTTCACACGTTATGCCAAATCGAATTCTTCACAATACATAACCATTCTAACGATGCCTTGCATGGCCTGCTTGATGACATTTTTAGGCGTTGTCACTGCAAAAGCAAGTCAGGTGATATATGGAACTATGTTGTGGTCTCCTATGGAACTCGTAAATAACTGGACTTCGTCAGGTGGTAGAGCTGCTGCATTTTTTTGCGGAGTTGCTTGGTTAATAGCACAGATTGGTGTTAATATTGCTGGAAATTCTGTTGCAGCTGCTAATGACATGAACGCACTATGGCCAAGGTACATTAATATTAGGAGAGGGCAAATAATTACAGCTGTTATTGGATCGTATGCGTTAGTGCCATGGAAAATCATGAAAAGTGGAGCATCCTTTTTGTCCTTCATGTCTGGCTATACTATCTGGCTAGGGCCAATAACTGGAATATTAATTTCCGATTTCTTTTTCATCCATAAAATGAGATACAATATCTGGGAATTGTACAATCCAAGTGGGATTTATAGATACGGAAAACTAGGTATCAATTGGCCAGCTTTTGTCGCTTTTAATGTAGGCTGGGTACCACTTTTGCCTGGATTGTTGCCTAGTGTGAATTCTAAATATGTCATGCCTGCAGGAATAAATCACCTTTATGCTCTAGGGTACTTTTATGGGGTTTTGGCAACTAGTGCTGTTTATGTAGGTTTGTGGAAGCTTTTTCCTAATAAACAGGCATTGATAGACAAAGCAGTTTATTGTGACGATATTGATTATGACCCATTTCCTACTGATTATGATCCCATGACTTAATATGTACTATGTGTATATGCAAATTGAATTATGAATTAAGTGAACTTGTACGACGCAAGGTAGATTTGAAGAGAAATAAAAAGTGTTTAAATTTGATTAAAGTAATATATAATATGAAAGGCTGTAAACAAGATGATATTTTATCCGACCTTATATCACTTGCGTTCTATTTGAGTACATTCCTGTCAAGCATAATGAGCTACTTCAAAGTTCTTGCAATACATTGATAAGACATCTTGTTGTTTAATATTTGATACCTCATTTAAATATTCATGGCTCTCGGTTCTAAATTCCCGTATTATTTTTTTTTTCTTTTCAAATGATAGAGAGGAGTGATCTCTACTACCCATCAAGGGTATTATAATCAATTTCCCTTGAATTTCCTCAAAATAGCTTCTATTAAATTATCAAAGAAGATCCGATGTAAGCAAAAAAATATAGCCCAGTCCTTGAATAGTTGATTCGAGTATATAGTAGCCATATATTTGGATTTTTTTTTAACAGATTTCAAAATTATTGCCATGCCTTTTTACAAGCTGACATTTTCCTTTTAAAGTGCTGAAAAAAAAAGAAGCAGATAAAACCTCCAGATAATTAATCCCTTTAACGATTGATTGTACAAAATAAAGTAGTATTGCTATTCGGAAGGTAATTAAAATCTATCAATTCTTCAGCCTTCACTGCTAAAATAACATATTTTTGCCTCATAATAAAGTAATAAATTCAAATCAAAGTCATATCAGTTTAATTCATACGTCAATAATCTTGTGGGCAAGATAGTACGTTGTTAAAAGTATCGTGAAGTTTGTTAAAATTTCTTCAATAAATGCTAAGAAACAATAGTATTGGTAGTCCCCGAAAAGAAAAACATACTTGCTTGGGTTTGAGAATATATCCATTCCTGCAAATGCGGAAACAACACTGTAAATACACCGAATCAAAAGAAAAGCTGAGCAAACCAACAAAAATTTGTTTACCAGACCATATTCGTTTCTTTTTTGCAAACTGAGTAAGACAACAGCTGTCATCGTTGCAATGGCTGCTAAGAATATAAGGCCACTAGCTTTAAACAAAGCTTCTGCGGTATTGATATCATCGGTCATGGTAATACTTCCAGCAACTGTGGTTATAACACCAGCGGTAACTAACAAACCCATGAAAAGGGCTATTCTATTTTGCTGAGGAGTATCCCTTGGTTTTCCTTCCTTCAGCTTCATCTCAGCTTCTCTAATCCCGTTGATCTCGTCAAAGCATACACGAGTTGCAATTGGCATTACAGCCTTCATCAAAAAACCCAAACTTGCATTGTTCAAGATATATGTAGCAATTGTTAATCCTTCGCTGGCTTTTGTTTGGTGGAAAAACACAATCATGCAAATTGCCCCACCGATCTTGACCACATTGAATATAGTTATAAAGATAAATGACTGCTTGATTAACACTCCCCTAGCTCTTGCAGTTCCCTTCTGTATAAGTAGGAATATTATCAGAGCTGTAGTCAAAACATAGATAACTATCTGCACGTATGAAATGGTCTTCCATTCACTTTGATCTTTTGGCTGAAGTTCCATTTTTATCAAAAATAATCTTTCTCTTTTTTCATACACTAGTTACAATACTTATGGATCATAATGCTTCTAAGAGCACCAGCAATGCATCTTCTTTTATACTTTTCAGCTGTGCAAGTGTGTCTTCTCGCATTTCAATTATCATAATTATGTAATCGCGTACTAGACGATTTTGCAACTTTCTCAAACGAAAATGATCACTTTCCTGCTGGTTATGATCCCATGACTTAATATGTACTATGTGTATATGCAAATTGAATTATGAATTAAGTGAACTTGTACGACGCAAGGTAGATTTGGAAGAGAAATAAAAAGTAATAAAAAGTGTTAAATTTTGAGTAAAATAAAAAATATGAAAGGCTAAACGCAGGGTGACACTTTATCCAGTTTATGCTACTATCGTTCTATTTGAGTTTATAGTAATCAAACATCATGAGCTAGGTCGAAGTCTTTGCAATTCATTGATTATGTCTTGCTCTTAAATATTTGATACCTTATCCAAGAATCCATGGCTCTCGATTCTAATAAAAAACCAAATGATAGTGATGCGTGATATCGACTACTTATCAATGATATTATTATCAGCTTTCCTAAACACCCATAAAAAGATTTCTATTCTATTATCAAAGAAGCTCTGATGTGAGTAAAACAATATTGTAATCCTTGAAGCATTGAATTGAGCACATATGAGTCTTATATTTATGATATAAAATTAACGGATTTCAAATTATTGCCATGAGTTCTACGACGCGACAGTTTTTGTTTTCGAATATTAAAAAAATACCAGGAAAAAGTCTTCTATCTCTTCAGATAAATAATTACTTTAGCTACTAGTTTGAAAAATATACTATTACTTTATTTAAATGTATCATTTTCTCTCGCTAACAAAAATACTCTATTTTACCACTTTAGCTAAGCAATTTAAGTTAATATCATAACAATTCAAAAGTCCATAACCTTGTAGGCAAGATAGTACGTCGTTGAAATGATCGTCAAATTTGTTAAAATTTCTTCAATAAAAGCTATGAAACAATAGTATTGGTATTCTCCGAAAAGAAAAACATATTTGCTTGGATTTGAGAATATATCCATTCCTGCAAATGCGGAAACAACACTGTAAATACACCGAATCAAAAGAAAAGCTGAGCAAACCAACAAAAATTTGTTAACCAGACCATATTCGCTCTCTTTTCGCAAACTAATTAAGACAACAGCTGTCATTATAACAACAGCCGCTAAAAATATAAGGCCACTAGCTTTAAACAAAGAGTTTGCAGTACTGATATCGCTCGTCAAGCAAGCACTTCCAACAACTGTGGTTACAATACCTGCAGTAACTAACAAAGTCATTAAATGGGCTATTCTATTTCGCTGAGGAGTACCCTTTTGTGTTCCTTGATCCAGCTTCCACTCATCTTCTTTAACCACAGTAAACTCGTCAAAGCACACACGAATTGCTATAGGCATGACAGACTTCATCAAAAAACCCAAACTTGCATTGTTCAAGATATATGTAGCAATTGTTAAACCCTCGCTAGCTTTTGTTTGGTGGAAAAACACAATCATGCAAATTGCTCCAGCGACCTTGACATGATTAAATATAAAAATGAAGATAAATGACTGCTTGATTAACACTCCTCTAGCCTTCGAAGTAAATCTCTGTATAAGTAGGACGATTACCAGAATCGTGGCCAAAATATAGACGGCTATCTGCACGTATGAAATGATCTTCCATTCACTTTCGTCTCTTACTTGTAATTCCATTTTTATCAAAAATAATCTTTCTCTTTTTTCATACACTAGTTACAATACTTATGGATCATAATGCTTCTAAGAGCACCAGCAATGCATCTTCTTTTATACTTTTCAGCTGTGCAAGTGTGTCTTCTCGCATTTCAATTATCATAATTATGTAATCGCGTACTAGACGATTTTGCAACTTTCTCAAACGAAAATACTGATTATATTTCTGATGATCTACGCCCCGTTAACAGAGCCATTAGCAGCAAGGGGGAACTCGCACGCTCATCTCTATCACCACTACTTAAAAGTAGTCTTAATACAATCGTAAACTTATTCACGCCTCGTTGATGACTCTTACGTACGGCTGCTCCAATTTCGGCTGCGTACTTTAGCGATTACCTAATCAAAAATGTTTTGAAGGAAACGGTACGCGGGTACTATTTCAGTGTTAATGGTTTCGTATTTTGTCGGTTCTGCATAGTAGGCCCTTGCTTTCTATTGAAAGGTCGAATATGTCAGCCCGGAAACTATAAGGTATTGACGTAAAACAGAAAAATTAAGGGGTATTCAAGAAGGGAGATCTAATTCCTAGGAACTTCGATACTTCCAAGAAAATTCAAAAAGATTGCATTATAGCCTTTTGCGCGTTAAGCGTTCTGGAAATTGATGACGTCGGCAAAGAATGTGTCAGTCAAGAAGAGGTCACGAGGTGGCTGTCTCAATTGTAAAAGAATGAAGATCAAGGTAAGTTTTCTTTTTCGAAAGATAGAAGCAGAGATGCCTTAATTCGTCACTTGAAAGAAACTAACAAAACATAGTGCGACGAGAATAAGCCAAGTTGTGAGTACTGTTTGGCAACTAAGCGTTGCTGTGTATATATCAAAGTTCCATCTAGACCCCGACAGAAAAAGATCGATCATGAAGAATCAATCGTTGAAGACTTTGCTAAAAATTTGAACATTTCAGCGCCGTTAAGTTTTGAAAATGACTCGATTCTGCTACCACAAGTGATGAATATGTCAGACATTGAGTTTGATCGAGATTTATGTGTTGACGATTTTAGTACAAACTTGGACGCAACGCCATGCTTTTCTTTTGATAATAGCTTGCTTCTGCCACCAAATCTGATGACTATATCAGATATTGAATCTGAGCAACAATTAAGTGCAGAAGAATATGATGAAGAATACACTGAAGAATATGCTAAAGAATTAGCTGAAAAAGTGAACACTTCACTGGCAGGTACTTTTTTTGATAATATCTTGAATCTGCCAACAAAATTAATGACTATATCAAATTTTGAATTTCGCTTAGTGAAATTCTTTGACGTCTATTGCATAAATTTATTCTCATTCGGAGCGGACAAATATGTTGATACTATATGGAGAAGACATGTCCCTCATTATTTTTGTCGATCAAGTTTGATAAGACTGGCGGTTTTTCTGTTTAGTTGTTTAAATCTATGGCCAATCTATGAGTATCAAAAATTTGGACAGGATTCCTCTAACGATGATGATATATATTTAAGAACAACGATGTATTTTGCAAATGCTGTTCGCGAAAAGAACTCTGCCATTAATAGACTAATGAGCCTTACAGAAGATGAAGCGTCTTCTCTGGAGGGCGTAGACTTGGCTGCAGAGTTAATGTTTACCTCTACTTTGATATTTTCCTTTTTGGGGATTCATAGTCACAAGTTATTACCATTAATTTCATTTAATGAAGGTCCAAAAAATGACTTTCTTTCGGTATGCGAAGGCCTAGTAAATATTAGGGAGGTTTGTATGCTGAGATCTGGCGGCCAAGTCCAGCGATACTTCTGGACGGCTAGAAGGATAAGATCCTTGAAATGTAAAAGCATTCCTATTACTGCATTGTTGAATGAACAGCTTCAGGAATATTTTGATGATGAAATTGTCGACGCTGCTCTGAGTCTCAAACGTGAATGCTATAGAGAGCTGATCACTATTTTACAACAACTGCTTCGCACTGGTAGCAAACACAATTACCCAATTCCTGTCTTTATATGGGTATTAGTAATTGATAATACTTTGTTCAAGTATATCAGATCCAAAGACTTTTTCGCGTTGAGGTTATTATATGTATACGCTTGTCTTTGCCAAATATCTAGATTTCTGTTAAATCTTTTACAGAATATGTGGATTGACTATATACATTGGTTCAGGGATTACAATATAAAGCTTTTTGGTGATTGGAAATATGCGTTCGACAAAGGTTTTTTCAACTTAGTAAAATCTGAATTTTTAATCGATGTGGGCAAATGCGCGATCTATGATACACTAGATCCAGGAGCTTATGCCGACTTCTCTGAACATTTGATATCTGAGGTAATGAATAAATTTCCAACTACATGTTGAATACAGAGTAATAATATTGAACGGTAAATTTACTGAGGGAATCTTTGATGAAGAGTATGGATATATTTGTTGACCTTGCCCAATTCAAAATAAGGTTTTCTTTAGTCGCTACATAAACAACAAAGTCTTTAAATAAGTAATCCGTAAATGTAATTTCCGTGGTGAGGATCATCTTATAATAAAGAAACTGCTTAATCAATTTGCGTCACTAGGATTATCTTTTAAGGGTTTTAAATCAAGTCACCATGAAATTGTAATATATGATATCATAGTCTATGACACTATCATTTTCTTTCGTATCGGATGTTTGGAATGATGAAGAAATATGGCTCCAAATTTGATATCGCCTTTTCTTAACAACAAAAAATATGGACAGAAAGTACTTTGCAAAAGGAATCTCAATAGCTTATTTTTCTAGCAGTTGTATAAAGACAGTATCGGAGTTAATTGAATAGTTAAGGACTATCATAGGGGGAGCTGTTAGGCGTTGAAATTATTATGTTTGAATCCTGTGTGTATGTGTTTCTTATTATGGTAAAGGTAGTAAGTTCTTATCTCGGCTTCTCTCAAGTATCCCGATCTTAACCCTCATCAAAAGTCTTAGTTTTTTCCACATATATAGAGGATTGATAATCTGTTCATGATGAAGGAAATATATTTCGATATCAGATAGGGACTATAATTGGCTTGAAATGTCTTTTCCAAGAATTTCAATTGAAAATTTGTGGGAAAACTTAACGGAAAGGACTAATAAATGGGGTCAGATAAGGGAAAATGAACATGGAATCAAAAGACTTGCCTTATCTTATGAAGATCAAATGGTAAGAGATTGGTTTGTGAATGAGTGCATCACGTTGGGTTGTGAAGTAATTATTGATCAAATTGGTAATATTTTTGCTATTTACAGAGATGTGGAAGCTCCATCTTTGGCACCGATTGGTGTTGGAAGTCACCTCGATACTCAACCAACCGGTGGAAGGTTCGATGGGATATTGGGTGTCTTGGCTTCACTTGAAATTTTAAGGACAATTAAATTTTCTGGTTATAAACCTTACCACCCAATTGCTGCTATTGATTGGACAAATGAAGAAGGTGCAAGATTCCCTAGGATGTGCATGGGATCGGGTGTATGGAGTAATCAAATTTTGCTTGAAGAAGCCTTATCTACAAGAGATAAAGAACAAATCTCTGCTGAAGAGGCACTTCAAAGAATTGGTTATGAAGGCGATGTTCCTGCTGACTACAGAGTGAACAAACTTGCTGCTCACTTCGAACTACACATAGAACAGGGACCAAAGCTTGAAGATAAGTTAACTCTGGTAGGGGCATGTGATGATGCTGCAATAGGTGTTGTTGAAGGCGTGCAGGCAATGCGGTGGTATGAGATTTGTATAAAAGGCAAGGAAGGACACGCAGGAACCCTCAGTATGGACAAGAGAGCAGATGCTTTAGTTGCAGCATCTAAACTTGTTTTGCTCATAGATCATGAATCTAAAGCTATTGGTGCAGTAGCCACAGTAGGGAGGCTAGTTCCTAAAACGAGAGCCCCTAATACAATTGTCGGTGAAGTCAATCTAGTTTTTGATTGCCGAGCTAAGGTAGAGGCGCAGTTAGATTACATTGCAAGAAAAGTCCGAGAACAAATCAATGTTTTCGAAGTCATGGGCTATAATATAACACTCCAAAAAATATGGGGTCATAATTCAGTTTCATTTAATGAGGAATGTATAAGAATAGTGGAGGAAGTCTGTGCGGACAAAATAGATTTGCCAACACTGAAAATGTACAGCGCAGCTGGTCACGATAGTGCAATGACAGCAAATGTTGCCCCTACATCTATGATTTTTGTCCCTTCAAGAGGAGGTGTGTCTCATAATCCTGAGGAATTCACTTCCAGATGCCAATGCGAGACAGGGGCTCAAATTTTACTCGAAACTGTACTTCGTTTCGACCAGAACCTAAAAATGCGCTATAAACAAGGTCGAGTATAGCTTGTGATATAGGGTGCTTACCAAAACTTCAAATATAAAAGAAAGCAAATTTTTATTTTGACAGTAGTTTAAAAGTTATAGGATTCATGTATGCGCATAACCTTTTGCACTATATTTATTGGTACTCACTAATACAGACCGTTGCAACATTGAAAAGTTTCCCTTTTTCACTTTTCTTAAAACACAGGATAATTTTAGAGTCTCATGAAACTATTTCATCTCAAATATGTCTAAAAGTCATCCATATCGGTTTTGATAGTATTTTTAATATCAAATAATTCGTCATAAAGATAAGAGCTTCCACTAATGCCTTTATTCAAACTAATGAACTGAAATAGCGCATGTAGATCGCGACTCATTGATCTAGCAGCAAGGTTTCCACTAGCGCTTTGAAACTGCAAAATAGATAAGGGCTCAAGCACTTCATAAAATCCCTGTTTGTGATATCGCATCATCTCAATTACAAATATCACTAATATTGCAGAATAAATGTAATGAGAATCATAGAACCCAAAGGTAGATATCATCTTATTAGCCTTACAGTAGCTTAATATCTTTATCGTAGATTTTGCTGCGGTAACACAACACTTTATATGCGAGTCTTTCCATAAGTTTTCATCGATCATGGATGATTCATTACAAAACAACCTAAAATAATAAAGAAGAACCGGTCGAGTAGCAAGAATCACTGTTTGATTATAAAATAGGTGTAAAGATGCATCGCGTCTTTTTATTGGATAAATATCTTCGAACGACCTTCTATTCTCCAAAGGAAGATTACTCTTCCATTCATGGAGGCATTCTAGCGCATGTGTAACAAGGTGACTACCCGATGCTACCTCGAAATCATTTTTATAGACTTCTGATATCACCTTAGAAGTGATAAGGGCAAGTCTGACATTCAAGGCAAAATAATTGTGTTCAAAAAAAAGTGACTTTTCACTTTTGTTTAGATTAGAGTTAGAAGGAAGAGCAACGTCGATGGCATCTATGCAAATAGTATGAGGAGTTCCCAAAATTGAAACACAGAATATGTCAGTAACAAAGGCAGTCCACCAGGTCCTTGAACGATGCTCCCTTTCCACAGCTCTTATGGCCCCATCCCACTTATGAAGCCCTATACAAAGAGCTTTCCTAATAGCAATTGAGCTATGAACAGATGCAAGACCTTTTTTATTTAAGATCAAAAAATACCATGCGAACAAAATATGTGATTGAATAGCCACTAGTGAAAAACTATGTTCAATTCCTGGTAAATAATGGCATGCCAATTTGAAGTACAGATACCCAGGAATTTCATCAGTGAGAGGACTCGATCCATGATATATAGCACCTAACGACATGACTAAGCAAAATTGGGATAATGCGGCCGGCTCTCCCTCAAGTCCCTCGGAATATATTTTATCTATATTTATCAACAACTCGTCATAGAGAAAGAAGTGATAATCAAATTTTAAAAAATTAAGAAATTTTTTAAGATTTTCAATCACTGCGATTCCTGAGGGAAGCGTCGACTCATCGTTAACATAGAAGGTATTCTCTCCATACTCTTCATTTTCATCTTCTAAAAGATCAAAGTTAGCAGCTGGGTTACTAATCTCAACTATTTTCCTGAGAAAGTCTCTCGTACTACTAGATTTTAATCCCAACCTTGAGTTGCAAGGATCTTTGGAGCTAAGAAAGTTCCAGCATGTGAAATTAGAAGGTTTCTGTTCGCATTCTTTCTTTAGCATAACAATTTGTTTCTTTAAAGTATTTAGCTCATTCTCAGATATATGTATTTTTCGGTCTTTGAGAGGATATAAGCAGTCAAAACTCCCGATCTTACAACTACGGCAGCTAGGTTTCTCACCAGAACACTTTATTTTCAGTTTGTGGCACCTGGTACATCTTAAATGGTTAGTTAAAAAAAAAAAACTTCGAGAAAACTCATTCTGGCTACTTACGCAACAAACGTCCTCATCTTTTCTTAATGATATGGAAGTGGAAAGATTTCAAGATCCCGATCAGAAAATATGAAGGAAGACAAAACATTATCTCCATTTTAATTGCTTAAATTGGTTTACACACTCAGGATCTCGGCATAAAACTGCGATCCCGATCTTTTCTTATCAGCGCATAGAAGCTTATATATTGTCTGCAAATAAATCGTTATTTGCAATATAGCTGAAGAAACTAGTAAAAATTATGACGAGTCCCAGCAAGGAAAAAGATACTACTTATGTAAAAGCAGTTGGATGTGAAGAGAGCAGCTCATTTATTGGACAAAATGACAATTCGAATGAGATCGAGAAGAAAGTACTACGAAAGTTCGATCTATTGATAATTCCATGCTTATGTCTTGCATATCTTTTTTCGAATTTGGATAAGTCTAATATTGGAAATGCTGAAGCTGCAGGTATGAGCAAAGATTTAAAATTGGTCGGAAATCAATATGGAAACGTCGTCAGTTTGCTCTATGTAACTTATGTCATTTTCGAAACTCCAATTGCACTTTCTTTGAAATATATTGGACCCAAATATGTCCTATCAGTGATGTGTTTACTCTTCGGGATCAGCTGTTTGTGTACTTCTTTTGCTAATGGCTATCACTCACTTTTGGCCTGTCGCTTATTAGTAGGATTGTTTGAATCTGGAATCATTCCATGTATCAATGTGTATTTAGGAATGTTGTATACGAGAGGAGAAATGGCCAAGCGCTGTTCAGCTGTTTATGCTGCGGGTGCTACTGCTGGAGCTTTTGGCGGTCTCTTGGCTTTTGGAATTACAAAAATTGAGACAGAGAACTGGCAAGGTTGGAGGTTCTTGTTTGCAATAGAGGGTGCTTTGACAATAATGTGTTTTCCTGTACTTATTACCTTCTTACCTCGAGATGTCACCAAAGTTTGGTGGCTCAGTGAAGAAGAAAAGCGATTTTTGGAAAACAGAATGAGATCTAACCCTGATTTCCACATGTATGAGAAGTTTTCGTGGTCAGAAGTAATCAGAGGTTTAAAGGATAAAAATACTATCTTAGTATGCCTTTACCAGTTTTGCGTAGACATAACATTATTTGGCATTTCAACATTCCTCCCATCTATTATAAAGGGTATGGGATATGGATCTTATAGCACACAGCTTTTAACAATACCATTTTATGTCGTTGCACTTATAAGCTTCGTAACAGTAGCCTATTTTTCAGATAAAACGGGAAACAGGGGTTTCTTTATTATAGGAGGAGTCCTCTGTGAGGTTATAGGATATGCAATACTTATTGGTTCCAGGGCTCTTGGAGCACGATATTTTGGCTGCATGATGCTAGGGCTAGGTATTTATGTATGCTCTGGGCTAAGTATAATGTGGGTTAATAATAATAATGCGGGCCATTATAAGCGCGCAACTGCAGCAGGGATGTGTACAACGGTGGGAAATGTTGCAGGGGTTGTCACTGGCCAGATATATACAGCTGATACTGCTCCTAGATATTTTAAAGGATTGAAGACTGCATTAGGTATGACTTGCGGAGCATTGATCTTTGTGAGTTCCATGGTATTTAATTTTGATAAAGAAAATAAAAAGAGAGAAAAGATATTGAATGATTTGGAAGGAAAAGATATTCTGAATCCTGAGTACTTTGAACTCAAAGATGACACTTCATTAACATTTAAATTTTTACTTTAGCTCTATCTAATGCAAATCTCATGATATGTTGGTCAAGTGTATGTTCTCTCACTTCTTCTCAAATATTCAATTGAATCATATCAAATTGCTTCGTTTACAGTTCTAAAAATATTCTAAGTACAGAGAAATAGGAACAGAAAAGTAGTGTAAAATATGGTGATTAAATATACCTCTAACTATACCTCTTATATATTCTATCTCAACATTTTTCTATGTAAGATGGCCTCCACTCTGAAATCCATTTATTTCTGGGTGACGCTAGCTGACTCTTTGCTCTATGTAAAAAAGTTCCATTTCCATCACCGATGTCAGTCAAAATACCTTCTTTAAATACAACCTTTCCCTTAACAATTGTGTATCGTGGCCAATTATTAATATCATAGCCTTCAAAGGGCGTATAATCGCAATTGCTGTGTAGGTCTTCAACCCTAATTTTGTCTCGCAATTTGTTCTGGGGGTACCAAATTACAATATCCGCGTCCGATAGCCCTGGAATAAGAGCACCTTTCTTGGGATAAATTCCATATAATTTCGCTGGATTTGTGCAATTTAGTTCAACTAACTTTTGCCATGACAATCTGTTGTTGGAAACACCATAGCTGGCAATTAAACTTAACCTTGTTTCAACGCCTGGACATCCATTGGGAATCCACTGGAACTCACCATTATGACCATTCTTGAATGCTACTTTCTTACCATCATCGGAATAGTATTTAGTTGGACAGTGGTCAGATGAAAAGATCGTAATAATACCGTCTTTCAAAGCTTTCCAAATAATGTCAAGATCTTCGTCATTTTGACGAGGAGGTGGAGAGCACAAGAATTTTGCTCCTTCGAAAGGGTCGTGGCAGTGAATTTGTTTCAAATCTGCCGATTTCAAAAGAATGTATTGAGGACAGGTTTCCGCAAAAATTTTCAAACCTCTTGATTGAGCATTGTGAATTGCTTTGATTGCTTCCGGTGCAGAAACATGCACGAACAACAAAGGTGCATCCAATGCTTCAGACATCACGATTGCCCGGTTTGTAGCCTCACCCTCAAAGATAGAAGGTCGCGACACCGCATGGAAATAAGGATCTGTCTTTCCTTGCTCCTCAAGGGAATCGATCATCCATTGAATCATATCCCCATTTTCAGCATGCAACATAACAGTGATGCCACATTTTCTTGCTATATTCAAGGCAGTCATAAGATCATAATCCCTGAGTTGTAACTTCGGATATGTCATGTATAATTTGATACTTGTAACCCCTCCTTTCTCTGCTAAGACTATCAATTGCTCCTCAAGATTAGTCTTCTTAATTTTGAACATTATTAAATGCAAACCGTAATCGCAATATAAATTTTTACTGCAGTGATCTTTGCAATTATTTACTGAATTAAGTAAGGCATCATTTCCATCATCATTTGGATCTTGCGATGCAAAAGCTATAATAGTTGTAGTTCCACCGGCGACAGCGCTCCTTGTACCAGCTTCAAAGTCGTCTGAAATTTTACCAAAAAGATCCAAAGGCTCGGTTAAATGAACATGGGCATCAACACCTCCAGGTGTCACAATTGCACCCTCTGCATCGATGATGTCTTTGAATGGATATCCACTCAAGTCGCCAATCATGGCAACTTTACCGTCTTTTATACCCACATCGGCCTCAACAAAAGACTCTGTACAAATAATCCCATTCTTTAGAAATGTCAGTCAAATAATATCTATGTTAAAATGCTTTAAAACTTAAAACTTACTTTAACTATCAAGTCGAATATCATTTTCGATAGTTTTGTTGAGGTCAAAAAAATAGTGCGACATCTTAATTGCTTTTATCCAATTCGATGTTATCTATCGATCGGCAAAATCAAAAATTACCGAAAAAGAAATATTTGAATGCAAAACTTTTGAAATGATCAACTATTAAAGTGTATGATAAAACTGGCTCTTCCTAAATCTATAGAATAAATTCAAAAGTAGTTCGCTTTTATAATGACGCAGGATAAGCTTAACATTATAATTGTAGGAGGAGGAATAGCTGGGTTATCAGCCGCGATATCCACGCTAATTAACGGTCATAATGCAATTGTTTTGGAGGCATCTAAAAAGATAAATGAAATAGGTGCTGGTATTCAGGTCTCTAGCAACTCAACAAAGATATTGAAGAGGTGGGGTGTATGGGAATATTTAAAGGAGGAAGCTAACATTCCACTTTACACCGATTTGAGGGACTACAAGACGAATGAAGTCTTTTCTGTCGCAGACCACACTGCTATGTCAAAGATGTACGGTGGGCCGTTTGGGAACTTTCATAGAGCTACCCTTCACCGATGTTTGTTAAAAAAGGCAAAAGACCTTGGTGTGACCTTCCTTACTGATGCTAGAGTTGAGGGAATTAACTTTGATAAACCATCAGTTACGCTTCAAAACGGAAAAGAAATAAGAGGAGATCTCATTGTTGGTGCCGACGGTTATAGGTCTAAATGTATGGAATTATTTAGAGGAAGTGAGGATAAACCTCAATTCTCAGGGGATATGGCTTACCGAATTTTACTTGACATCGATGACGTTAAGGATGATCCAATTTTGAAAACAATCGTTACTGATAACAATATTCATTACTGGATGGGACCGGATTCCCATATTGTTTCTTATGCCTGCGACAACAATAAATACTTCAATGTCGTTATTCTTACTACTTGCGATATAGAACCCGACATGAAATGTTCTTCAGTTCATGCTGATATCAAAGCCGTGCAAGAGAAGTTTCAGAATTGGAATCCAATTGTGAGAAGCATTCTTGAAAAAACTAAAGAAGCCTCAAAGTGGCCATTATGGATGAGAGAGGGTATATCAAAATGGTCCCACGAGAATGGTAAATTCACTATGTTGGGAGACTCAGTTCATGTTACAGTGCCTTACATTGGACAAGGAGCTGGAATGGGCATAGAGGATGGCTGCGTCTTTGGTGAGTCTATTGGAAAGATACATTCGAAAAATGACTTAATGTTTGCTCTTGCTGTTTACAATGATGTTCGAATCAAACGTTGCTCGAACATAGTTAAGATGAGCCGTGACATGGGTATTATTATGCATTTGAAGGATGGACCAGCCGCCGCCAGTAGAAATGAGCTAATGAAAATGGCACCACCACTTAAAGGAGATCTTAACCTTTGGAGAGATCCTATTAATGCTAAGTGGCTATTCGGTTTTGACGCATTCGAAGCAACAAAGATGGCTTTTAAAAAGGTTCTGAAACTACACGGACTTAATTGAAAATTAACATTCATTCCCGATTCGACTGTATACACTTATTAACTCAATAGCTAGATATACGTGATAGAACAAAAAGAAGCCTCAAACCTACAAAGATATAGTTACATAACACTATTTTCAATCAATCCTGTTCGTTGGCGGATAAGATTTTGATAATAAATCACGCCAGTCTCCTTTATGGGGTTAAGAATGCCTTGATGGTATTTCCCTGTTTTGAGGTTTATTTGTACAGCTTCGCACAAATCACGATCTTCTTCAGCCACCTGTCTGACAAAGTGATAGTACTCTTCAAACTCATCATCCAAGCCTTCGAAAAAATAGTCGAACTCCATGCGGCATTTATCGGCACTGATTGGACATACTCTAAAGCAGCCTAACCCCCCACCATATAAGTTCAAAGATGAAACGGGAAAAAAATATAGGAATAGGCCGGCTGTGTCCTCTGCCAGAGTTCCAGAGGGAGTAGCGAGATGACGGCAAAAGTTGGTATATGGCTCTACCTTATAAAAATCTATTGAATACATCTTACTCAAACCAGGATGGGTATACTTGCAATGTAAGCATTCTTGATACCCGTCAATAAAAGTCAAAAAATTGTAATCAGTTTCATAAACCAATGAACGACGCAAAGGCATTTTCCTAAAGTCTATGGGGTTAATGAACTGAGTCAACTGATTACCATAATATTGTTCAAAAGTCTGAGATGGAGATTTTTCATGTGTGATAAACACCAAACCACTTTCACTAACTATGCTGTTGACTTTCTCCAATTTTGATAAGGCAACGCTGACATCCTCTTCTTCCAAAATTTCATCCTTATGCCCATAGTAAAGGTTGATTGACGTACAGTTTTGAATATCTTCAATATCACACAAACCGAAAAAAGGATTCTTCAAAAAATCAAATTGCACCGCTTTTTCTTTCTCTGATTTGGTAAACCGGCTAAGAGGCACAACAAAATGCCAACCTTTGTCAAAAATTTCACTTTTAGCGAGTTTGAGAAACTCTTCACTCGTGTAACATGAAGCAGGTAATGTTTGTACTAAATTAGTTGACTTGGTCATTTTTTAGATTATAATGATGCCACATAACTTCTTGGCCAAAGACTATTATATATATATAACTTCTAAATAATATTAAAATGGAGCTTTTTTCCTAAATTGGTTCCATTTCACATGTTGCATAGCTCTTATCTTGAAAATGCGACAAAACAATCTTTGCGACACTTAAACTCGTAAAAACACACTTCAATCCGAAACTAATAGCAATGAGGGGTCAACTTTTCCTAGTTGTGCAAAATTAAGATCATGATTAAACTGTTGTGCCTTTCCTATAGAGCCTATTTATGTCACTTAATACCTCTTTTATTGCACATCTCAGGATAAATACACTGCGTTAGAATACCATATTTTACGTGCATCCTCTATATAACTCAGCCCATTTTATACTATAGTTAGACATAACAAGCGTGTATCATCGTCAATAAGATCAAGTATGAATTTTGAGGGAAATGACTTGAAGGCAAATTACTACATCTAGATCGCTGGAAGAGCTCAAACGTAATAAATCTTCAAGTGCTTGAGCACCTATTGTTATGCTTAAACATCTAACCAAACAAGTAGTGGAGCCAGTCCTAACTATAGATTCTTAGAGCCGGAAAACTCGGTTTTTGATTTTGTAGAAGTTATTCAAATGTATAGATTCCGTCAAAGGACATTAAGCCTTCTAATTTCAAAGTTCAAGGTTTAAGATAGGCGTTCGGAGCATTTCTTTCTCAATTCGGTCTAGTTACTAATCAGGGCTTCATGTGCCACTTCTATTGATGGTTTGAAGCGCAGAGTCAATAAGCTATATAAAGAGATAGTTTAGATAGGATGGTGTCAAAATTCAAGTTCTTACTATTATGAGAACATCATGAAAAGAGCCACTTTAAACTTAAAAAGGTGAAAACCTAACGCTCAACCTAAAGATTATGCGTCTGCACTCATTGAATTTTTAAAAAAGCACTATGCTGAGAGTTAAATGCATTCTCTTTCACTAATCCATATGTAAATCTAAACTTTGAATCTACCTCAGTAAAATTTCTTGATTTGAAGTAATAATTGTCATACCTGTTTAGAAGATGGCTTTTTCTTAAGCAGAAGATGGACAGAGATTCTGTACCCTAGTGAAAACGAATCATGTATGAGATCAAGTATCATTAATGATATCCTCCTTTAAACTTTGATTTCAGCAATCCAAACTTCTTCAACGTAACTGACTATCTGCCTCTAAAGATATTAAGAAACGCAACAGGAGTAATAGCTGAATGCACGAATAGGTCAGTCCATGTGCCTAGCCTAAAGGCGATAAATAGCATATATTAGCCCATACTATAGAGCGATGACTTATCTAATTCTGCTATTCGATGATATTAGGTCTTGCCAACTCAAGCGGAACCAAATAGCTTCCGAATGTTCATTACTGCAAAAAAAACTCAAAGCTCTTCGAGCGATCTCCTATTTATTAATGCCTGCATTTAATCTATGAGCGCTCGGTTACGCAACCTTTCTATTCGATGGGTTGATCAATTTCCATTTAATCTTAGATATGGCAAATAAATAAAAATGAGACAATATTTGTATTTGCAAAAGCATACAAGGCCACCAGGGCCACTAGAGACTTTCTATTTATGCAGAAACATTGAACACTACTATACTAACTTTAATGTGACGATTTCTTTGAATCAAAGAACTGATAATATTCTTCTTTCAAATGCACTACGATCAATTATATCCAAAAACACCAGTTTCACTATTAATGCTTATCCCACTGAAGACTGTAAGAAAATATATAAAGGAAAATATAAACTTGCTCCAGTGAGGGAAATCAGGTTTGATGATGTGGTAAAATTTGTCAGGATAGAAGACAAGCTAGATGAGAAAGTCTTGAAACAAATGGACGCGGAGATATGCAACATGAACACCGACAAACCCTTATGGAAGCTAATTGTTTACGAATCTCTTAGAGATGGCAAGCAGTACCTTTCCTTTTGCTGTGATCATATGTTATTCGATGGCACTTCAGCAGTTCATTTCCATGAAGATTTAGTGAATCATTTAGGCCACTACTCAAATATAAAAAACTTGAAGTTTCAAGAGGTTTTATTCAATTATAGTAGTGAAAAGTATACACTCCCGCCAATTCATCCTTGCAGCGAAGATCTCACGGATTTGTATCTGAGTTCATGGGTTTATCTTATATCAGTGATCGTGAAGAATTTTGTTATCGTCACATTCTTAGTGGAATGTTTTAAGCTTCTCTTAACTAAACAACGAAAGGGCGTTCTTCAAGCTCCGATATTTTCTACAAATTCTGAGTTACAAAAGTATCCTGTGACCCATTTCAAATTAATAAACTTACCTCCTAAACAAGTTAAGAAGCTTCTACTGTTCTGCAAAGAAAATGGCACTACTTTAACTCCGATGTTGACGGCTATTGGAACAGCATGCTTACAAGAAACTATTCAAAGAAACCAGTCTAAAGAATTCTCTTTCAAAGTTGAAGTCGTTGTGGACGGGAGGAGATACTTTCCCGAGAAAACAGATCTCACACGCTATGGAATCTATGTTTCCCCGGTATATTGTAGAATAGATCCTCTCGAGGTAGCTTACAAACAACCAATGCAATTTGAAGTGCCTGTTAGGAAGCTTTCTTATGCTGTCAATTCTGCCCTTAAGTCTCGTTCATCATTTAAGTTCACAGGTCTTCTAAAGTATGTCAATTGTTGGGACTTTTTAGAGAATAAATTCAAAAAAAGTTCCGATAGAGACACTATTTCAATTTCCAATTTAGGGAGGCATGATATTAATCTGGGCCCTTGGCACGTTGATGATTTGTGGTTTAGTCAATCGATTGGAATATCATCTTTCTTCGGATTATCATTTGTGAGCTCTCCTCTTGGAGGGTTGAACATAGCTTTTGGTTATTTCAAAGAGTTTGATAATCTTCCAAAAGGCTCAACTTCTAAATTGTCTTACGCAGATCAATTTCAAAAAAAATTTACTGATACCTTGGCATCCTTAGCAGCGACTTATTAGAATTGTGAATTTGTTGCATTGAAGCTCTGCTTGCATATGGATAAATAGCAAGAATCGAGAATAGAATCGTAACAATAGAATAGTATGTTTCCTTCTTTTTTTTTTATATATCATTAGAAATACTAGAATCAATAATTAAGTAATAATTATAAATTAACTAAAAAAAATAGTCAATATTAAGAATATCCAACAAGGTCGGCTATTGTTTTCAAGATTTCTATAACTTTCTCTTCTTCTAATCTCTTGCATACTACCTGAAGCGCTATCGCACCTCCATGACTCTCCTGAGGGTTATAATCCCTCCATATATTGTTATCAGTTTCGTTGCGATTTGTCGAAGAAGCATCAGCAATATCAATATTTTGGTTTACCCTAGAAACTGGAAAAGTTGCCGCTGAGAAATCAAGAGCATTGAATGGTGAAGTATATCCCACGTAGTCATGGAACTTTCCCTTAGGATTGCCTGCAAATGGCGATACAGGAAGTATTATGGCATCTATAGGTTTACCGTTTTTTGTTTTCAAAGCAGTCTCATTCCATCTCTGCAAGTATTTTTTTTGAAGCAATTTTCTCTCAGACTGAAGTTTCCACAAATCAGACACGCCTAGTTCAGAGGAGGTGCCATACAGACGCATATAAGGAAAAAGAGGCTCTCCCGTTTCATTCAACACTTCCATGACATGTTTTCCGCCATCACTTAGGAAGAATGATGTAATGATCTTTGAGAGTCGCAAATGATCGTCTGCTTCCCAATCTATCACATCGTGACCATCCTTTTTCAAAAGATCAACGACTGTCAGAATGCCTCGGCGAATAGGAGGAGTCGGACGAATCCACCCGTCATCAGCTAGAACAGCAATGTTTAGTTTTTCAGGAACACTTGCTTCTCTCCAAGGCAAATTTATGACACTTGGGTCGTAATCCCATGGCTTTGCATCTATTACACTTTTGCAGTAGAATTCTAAAGTCTCTAAAGACGTCGAGAGAGGTCCATTGACGCTGTTAACAGATTCTAGACCGGGAAGTCCTGAACGACATCCATATGTAGGAAACCTACCAAAGCTCGGTCGCAAGCTGTACAAGTTTTGAAATGATGCTGGGATCCTAATGCTTCCACCTATATCTGAGCCTATACCCAAAGGTGATCCTTTAAGAGCCAAAAGGGCAGCCTCACCACCGGAAGAACCACCAGCACTCAAAAGTCTATTAAAAGGATTGCTTGTTTCCCCATAGATGTGATTTATTGTTTCAGGTAACATCATTGCCACAGGCACGTTTGTTTTCGTATAAAAAACTACACCCATATCCCTAAGTATTTCAACTAACACTGAGTCTTCATCAAAGACGTCAGGATTGAAGCAAAAATTCACCATTCCTAATGTGGTGGCTTGTCCTTTTATATTGAAATTATCTTTAATGGACATAGGAAGTCCATGTAGTGGCCCCTTGACATTACCTGTTTCGTCTTGATATTTGTCAAGCTCTGCAGCTTGTAATAGAGCCTCGTCAAAAAATACTTCAGAAAGGCAGTTCACAAGTTGATGTGCAACGCTAGATCTATGGCAGAATGCTTCAGCTACTTCGAGGGCTCTCCAATCCCTCTTTCTTATCCTTGAAACTATGTCAATTGCATTGGACTCAGTAATCTCAATTTCTCTTTCACTTAGAACACCTGATTTTTGAATCCAATTTATAACGTCTTTGGATTCATCTATTTTAGGAAGTTTGGAACTTGGAACTAGCCATTCTCTTTTGAACCGCTTGTTTCTTTCATTTAATTTCTTCGATGCTATTTCTCTATATGTATCAGCTTTCTTCGTCATTTCTACAATGATGGAAACACAAAGGATTGCCCTTTAGAAGTAATCGAAGCTGGGTTTTGTTTTTAATTCTTTCTAATCCTTTTTATTTTATATAACCGAGAATGTATAGATAGCAGAAAATTGAGATAGGGAGTTCGGATATGTGCAATTGTGATTCCCGGGTCCTTAGTTGGATTTCCTTTGGCCTTTCAAGCAACAATATTAATCGCAAAGTATACCCTTTTCTAATAGGGCCGCGCAGCTCGTGGCTCAAGACTACCCAGGACAATCGATTTGCATATAAGCTTTCTAACAATGGTGCATCTTACAGGATACTCTATACAAAAAATCGCAGCATTACCGAAGTATGCAACATAGATAATATTGAGTTTAAAATTAATATTGATTGTGAGAAAGGCTAAGTTGAGGGGTAAGCTCAGCTAACCATAAGAAATTGTGAGCGGTGGCACGGATGAATAGAATAAGAAAACCAACAGGGTGGGTCCCCACAGCTCGTGTTTAATTAGAATTAAATATAAGAGGAAACCAGCTTACTTTGAAATTACAAGTTCAAATTAGTCAAGACCTACTAGTTGCGAGTTGCCACTAATTTCAAATAATATAGTCTACACCTTAAGAAACATTAAACTGGCAGAATTCTATGATGAAAATTCCTTTCCTATTGGCAATTATAACTATCGGATTAGTTACCGAGACTGCAGCATATAACTGTCGGTTTACTGTATACAACCAACCTGACTGCAAAGGGGATGCCTTGTACCTGGGTACGTCAGATGGTACAAGTGACGACCTGACAGACTGGATAAAGATTGACATCGGCCTGGATCTACAACAAGGCTCCGTCGGTTACGACGTAGTTGAAAATTATGGAATATGTGGTTCAGGGAGCACTAATGAGAATTACTGCGATCAGTTCTCAACCGATGGATGCTCAGCAAAGGGTGGTGCCTGTGCTGCTCCTCCTGTTTTGGGAAGTTTCAAGTTCCAGAGGTGGTCATGTGGTAAATGTGGGACTTGAATATCGTTAATATCATGTCTAGTTTACAACGGCAGTGTTATATAAGCCTATTTTTGCATGCAAAAAGTTATATCTGATATGAAATATTGAACATAAGAATAATCCAAGATAATATTAGTGTTTATATGCAACCACGATATCAAAGTTAGTTTTTCAAGTTGTTAGATCTGTAGCATTTTCACAGACCTTCGCCTTCTGAGTTTTGCTGAAAATTACTGGTGGTAAGTCATCCTCTGTAAATGAAAAATCTCCAAATGACTAAATACTAGTTTTTGCTCGAAGGGCAGCTAAAAATCCAAGAAAGAAAGTATAAACAATTCGACTGTGAGAATTCACCAAATTATCTGCAAAAATAATAAATTTACTGTTATGGAACATTGACTTTGTATTCAGCTTTCAATTTGGATGTTTCGATTCAAATTACTAATTGCAGTTTTTTATGGAGCATATTTATCAGCAATCCTTTGCTGCATAGCTTATTTAATCGACTATGTGACGTGATTCCGAAGGAGTTGTCCTCTTATTTTTAATCAAACAATAAAATAAGTAAAGAGCAAAAGAACTTTACACCAAGTATGATGATATCAGCCTCAAGTGGTAGCTGAATGTTTGATGGTTGACAAAGATACTGCTCAATAGTCACTTTTCATTGTAAAACTCTTAGAATTGTAAGCAGAAGGTATATGTTTACTGTTGCAACATGAATTAGTGTATATTCATAGTCTACTCAATTCTTTGATTGGTATCTATACCTCTTTGACATCTATCGCAAATGAATCTTTATTGACTTGAGACTGGTTTACCAGAGAATCTTCTCTGCTTTCTTCGCTAGCGATATTATAGTCTTGCTTCGCTTCGCGTATCTGAAGAAACCTTATCATACATGCTACTATTACGCTACTGAGGACAGTAGAAATCATTGCCCAGCAGCCCTTTCTAAATTTAGGAACATCACTGGCTGCATAAAACAAAATAGACCACCAAGCGTTCACCGCGTTGCTAAACATGTTCATAGATCCCAAGACAATTGATCGTTCTTGTAAATCATTTTGGCACACAATGTTCGCCCAAGCGAAGAAAGAAGCCTGTCCAGCATATGAGATACCTGATAGGTAGTGACACGCGAAGACAAAAGAGTCCGAAAGGGGTCTTGAAAGAAGCAAAATGGTTGATATTATCATGCATACGGCAATAAAAACAGCAACACGCCAATGGTATTTTGCTCCAGTGAAGTCAACATAGAGGGCAAAAATGAACGTGGCAAAAACTCCAACAGCATATACACCCATTGGGTAATGATTTATTTGTGGAACTGAATAGCCATAGAATTTGAGCCATAAAGCAAATAACGAATTGGTCGCAAAAGACTCGTTTTCACCGCCAAATACCCAAAGAATAGAGAAGAACCACCAGTGCCATCTACCTAAGACTCTTTTAAATACAGACCAGTCTAATTTAGTTTTGGGCCTATCCGGTAATCTAGATTTTGCTAATTGGACTTCATCTTCTGTAAAATAGAATGCTTGACATGTTTCAGGGGTGTCAGGAAAGAATATAAAACCATAAAGTGCTATTGGAATGGTGATGATGAAATCAATTATGAATAGCCATCTCCATCCAGCTATTCCTCTCAAGTTATGCATATTTGTGTAGATAGCGCTTTGCATAGTACTAGAAAAAATATTCCCAATCAAACCTGACAGAGTGAAAATAGCACTTCTCTTGGTCAATTCTGATTCCTTATACCAAGAACCTAAGATCAAGTGAGTTCCCGCAAAAGTTGAGCTTTCGAAAGCACCCTGGAAGAATCTTATTGCACAGATCTGCTTGTAAGATGAAACTCGATAAATTCCTAATGTAAGAACACCCCAACAAACAATACAGACGGTTAACCAATATCTAGGACGGACAATAGTAAGTATCACGTTATTTGGAACTAGAAAGACTGTATAACCCACAGTAAAACAAGTGTTAATGAGATTGTATTCATTTCCAACCATTTTTAGTTCCTCTTTCATTCCAGACACATAGGCATTAGATACATTTAATCTGTCGACATAATTGATCCAATACATGAGACACACATAAGACAAAACAAACCAATCTATCTTAACCAACAATTTTGATTCTTTCTTACTTGCCGGTGCGATTCCCCACACAAGCTCTTTTACTTTTTTTAATACATTCATCGAAATATCTTCCTGCTTTTGAATCAATTGCAACTTGTTCCAAACTCATAACTATTACCAAGCTGAAATTGGCTACTTATATTCAAAAAGTGTTTATCTCATCATCGATAAGACAAACCTGATGCTACCTCGGCAGCCTGCAAGCAAAATTTCCGAGTTGATAAATACTTGTGAACAAACAATAAAGTCGGAATATGCAAACTGATAACAGGGTAATGTAATTACATTTGTTTGCCACATCTATATTTCTACAAAAACCATGGATACTTAAAGAAGAAAACTTGTTATTAAAAACTCTCTCGAGATAGTGTCAATTTTATTTAAATATTAAAGTATTCACTCCACAGTAAGGGAGTCAAAATTTTATTTAATGACGTAGATGTTAAAATGTCTATTTGACCCTCGAGAGCCTTCTTGGACTCATCATTTTGTATTACGGTATCTATCATCAAGTTTATATTTTTGCTGATGATTGAAGAAGAACTAACTGATGATTCGTAGTCAAATTTGATTGCCTTGATACTTGAAATACCTTTAAACAATCTGTTAAAAGTTATTCCGAACTCATCATCCAACTTCTTTAAAATAGGATCGCTGGCTCTGCTCAATCGATATAGCCAGACGTAACTGACAACCAAAGTCATTGTCGCATGGTATATAAATATTATACATAGATTTAACTCATTGGTTATTAACTCTAGACTTTCATTAGCTTGAACGATATCACATATTCTCAAAGCAGAGCCTATGGCACTTGTAATGAGCCCCAACATTGTCTCATTCAAGCAGAGCGTTTCTTGTTTTAAAGAGGTTAGCAAGACTGGGAAGCAAAGACAAATAACATAATAGTGATACTTTAAGTTCAAATTTAGGATATAAAACCTTGAAAATAATTTCAAGTCTCTTAACAGGATATCAAGATCGATATACCAGTCAAATAAGGCCCTATAAGATCTTTCAATTTCAGATAAATTAGAAGGAAGCATTGGGTCACAGTAATCGATGGATTCCCTACATCTGAGAATAGTAGTAGAAACCTCGCTGAGTTTAATTGACAGTTCGTAGCATTTCCGACATAAAGAATCTTCAACGTCAACTAGGATAGGAGCATTTAGCTTGTTTTTACCTATTGGGATGCAAGAGGGACGATCCATTTGAATGCTCAATTTGATTTCTAGTTGAACTAAGCTCCACCACGTTTTACGAACTTCGTCAATTCTCACTGTATCTTCTACTTGGAGCAAAAATACATCTGTATGGAACCCAATGGCAAGCGCTTGTCTTATTGCCAATTCCACAAGAATGTAGCAACTTTCTCTTTGTCTGAAAGCATCAAAATATATTGACAAAAGTAGCATACATCTAATCCCATCTAAGCTTGGAATAAGTACCATTTCTGAAAGAAACTGATTAACAAATTTTAAGTACTCGTTGAATATACCATGGAAGCGTGGTTCCCTTAGATCTTTCGGAGTGAAATAGCTACCTAGAATCAACACCATATATATGCAACATATCTCTATATTGGGTATCTTCAAGGTTCTTCGTAGTGCCACGTCTGAAAGAAAACTATAATAAGCACCTAAAAACTTCTTTTGATCGAAGCAGAAATAAATTGGATGCAATTGTCTAAAAAATGCGTTGAGACAACTGTCCCCTAATTCCAGAGGTAACTGATTAGCTATAGCAAATGATTCAACGTTGATCTTATATTCATTACATTCCAAGAATTCATGATGGTTACTAATCGCGTGGCCCGACTTGAAGACGTTGAATGACTTATCCCATGAAACTTCAAGAAACTCCTGGGCAGATCTTTTCAAAACATTCAAGGTATCTATGAAAAAACTAGGGGCACCATCAGGACCGATAGCGTGTCCCGTCCCTCTTTGATCGATTAAAAGCTTATCGATCTTAACCCGACATGCTTCATTGGAATTACTTATAGTCTTCGAAAAATCATCTTGATTAAACTTTTTTTCATTTCTTGGAGATACCAAAAGCAGAGCAATATATTTCAACTTTTCTCTCTCTTCGTCGCTAATTCCTTCCCTTGAAGGCATTTGAAAATTAAGATCCTTTCCGAGCTCTATCAAATTATCAATATCATTGACATCCCTATTTGGATACAACCCTTTTACAATGGAAATTAAACAGTAGTAATGCATAGCGATGTTTTCAATTGGGCCATGGTCCTTTTTCTTTCTAGTGCTAGTTGTGGAGCATTCAGCTTTTGCCTTTAGGCATGATCTGCATGGAGTTCCCGCCAGTGCATTTGGTTCCGACCTTTTGCAGGCAATTTTTTTGCTTCTACAACGATCACAACTGAGAAGAGCCCTTTTGCGATCACCGAGGTTTACCACTCGCCTTTTTCTAGCTTTGATTTTCATTATAGTTATCTTTCATCTTATGAAATAGGAGGTTAAGATAAGCGTTCAAGAAATGCGCGACCCTTTGATTAGATAATGAGTTTACATCGCACTGCACTGAGAATCACCGATATTAATTATAAGTTTAGTGAACTAGAAAAGTGAATAGAACAAATTCTATAAATATTGTCTGCTTTTATCAGGTAAGGTCTTTGCTGAATTACTAAGTAGTAGACTTGTGTAGAATAAATTGAAAGAAATAGATCAATAGAGCCCCAGTTCCACATAAGCCTCCCATAAGAACATAGCAGAACCCGATTCCCATGGTATCGATAATATTTTGCAAAACCCCAACACCCAAGCTAGCTAGCAAACATCTCATCAAATTCAATGAACTAGTCAGTGAAGAACTACTCTCTGGAAATAAATCAACAAGAAGAACCGTTAATGATGACATGAAAAAAACTGTACAAAATGAGAAAACAAAAGCAGAGATAAGAATTGGAGCAATATTCGTTTTCAAATCAAGACACCAGCCAAAAACCATGAAGCATCCTATCAGAAGGAATGTCGGAATCAATGTGACTTCCAATCTAGCTCTCGAAAGATTAAATTTGCAGCTAGGGTTGTTTTCTTCATTAAATGCTTTTGTCTTTTCGAAATGCCTTTTATAATTCCAGTCTAAAATACGGCCACTTGCAATTGAACCAATAAGGGTAGCCAATCCCGATGAGAGGTAGCAAAGACCTACTTTTATCATTGGAAAGTGGTACGAGTTCTCTAATGATGTCGAGAGTGAAGCTAGTGCCATGGTCCAGACCATGAATTGTAACCCAGCTGCTAATAACGATAAAAATATATGGAAATTGAAAAATATTTTATATGGGGTAAGTGGGTTGTAATGTAACTGCGTGTTATTAGATAACAACGTGTTTCGATGCATACGACCTGCAAAACTTCTTTTGTATATAATCGGCAGCCTATTTCTTGCTTTTTCTGGAAAAACAGATAGATTATCTACAATTTGTCTGTTCGTTTCAGGTAAAAATATCAAATTTAATATGAAAACGATTCCGCTACCAACAGCTAGAAGGACAAAGATCCCACGCCACGAAAAACGGGTCATCACTGCAGCGCCTACTAATGCACCAAAACCCTGACCTACTAGCGTCCCTCCACTTAATAATCCAATATAAGTACCTCTTTCTTCACGAACACAGACATCTCCTAAAACTCCGGATGTAACTGCAACACATGGAGCGATTGTAGCTGACTGTATACACCGGAGGACAGTCAAAAGCCAATAAACTTTTGTCTGTGAGATGGCGATACAAGTTGCACAATAAGATAGAAGACAAGCTAATATGATGGGCCTTCTTCCAAAAGAGTCTGCAAATGGTGCTATGAATGTTGGAGAGATACCTTGAAGTATCAAATAAGCTACCACGGTCAAATTAGCTAAGCTTGTGCTGACATCAAAGGTTTTCGCAATCACTGGGATTGCAGGAAAATAAATAGACGAAGATAAGGTCGACCAAATCGCCGTCATGCTCAATAGTACGGTTAAGGCGTATTTTTCTTTTTGTGACAAAATGGAATAAGGTTCTTCATATTTGACGTTATCACCATTGTTTTCGACTATACTCTCTGGATCTGGTTGAGTCTCCATTTATTTTATCGTGCTAAGACCTCAAAACTTTGACTCTTTTCACGAACAAAGGTAGATCACTTTTAATTCTTTGAAAAAAAGTTATCTGGGTTAGTGATGATGAATGTTTATAACACACCTGGTTTTGTTGAAGAATAGTTTTGCATGCGTCACTTACCGAATAAAATCTCGGGTGCAACAGTTATTTACCGAAAGAAAACTCGGTGATCTAAATTTTCGCAACTATAAATAGTGTAATTATCTTGAAGTAATTATTCCTTATAATTTTTGATTTAATTAAAAATGCCTTTAGAACTTAGTGCTTGCTGTTTAAAAAGAATTGATCATGAGGGGACCCCGGTAGGTAGCCATGAAAAGCTCTTTGGTTTAGATACTTACAAAGTCGGTGATAGCCAGAGCGAGAACTGTATTGTAATTTTCACCGATATATTTGGAAATAGATACAAAAACACATTGCTTGTAGCTGATATGTTAGCTAAATTAGGGAATTTTCAAATATTCATTCCAGACTTATTTAATGGGGATGCGGTAACTACCTTCGAGAATTTTGATCGTTCAAAATGGCTAGCAGAGCACTCCGCTAAAAAATATATGCCTAAAGTAGATGCCTATTTGAAAAATTTAAAGGAGTCAGTTGGGCCCAAATCCTTAGGAGCAATAGGCTATTGCTACGGTGCTGCTTTCGTTTTAAAGAATTTGTATGAAGGAGGTTTGTTGGATTCTGGAGCGGTAGCTCATCCATCATTAGTTACACCTCTGGATTTTGGGCCAATTAGGAAGCCACTCTTAATGTCATTGGGTGAAGAAGATGACTATTTTCCTCTTGAGACAAGGATTAAAGTTGAGGAAGCATTAGTGAAGTCAGGAGCTGATTTTCAAATAATTTTGTTCAAAGGTGCAGGCCATGGCTACGCAGTAAGGGGCGATCCAAATGATGAAAATGTCAGATATGCTATAAACAAAACTGTCTCAGATCAGGCCAATTGGTTTGCTAGATATATTTGAATTTTATAGTTCAAAAGATCAAGAAATATGCAAGCGTCCTATTTATATATGGTTTGAATTACCAAATGAATAATTCGATCTTTTGAGTTTTACTCCAGTGTAAATATAGTAATGCTGTTAAAGCATGATGTCACGAGATACCGAATTTTTTTTCGGGGATGCACCGAACTTATAAATATATATATATATGTATGTAGTTCATAATACTGACGATGTTGCGGAAGTTCTTTAGTGATGAAGTATGTTCAGGGAAAAAGACTTAAGCTTTCAGCTGCCTGTGATAATTGTAAAAAAAGAAAAGTCAAATGCGACCGGGGCCAACCTTGTCTTTCATGTGTGAAGCATAAAATCGGACATTCATGCACTTATAAAAGCGATGACTGCTGCTCGACGAATGATAGTGTGCCTGCTCATATGTCTAAACTCTCTGAAACAAATCAAAGCAGTTTTAATCATGTCACCGAAGGAAATATTAGTATTTATGGTTTGGGTGAAAATTCTCAATTAGCAAATGATGGAGCTTTGTCACATTTAAATACCAAGAATTCGGAATCGGCAGAGCCAGCAACGATACTCGAGCTGATGCGGCCCCAGACGGCTGCTATATTTGTCTTGAGAATGATAACACAAAGAATCCATGAGCTCGAAAAGTCGATAGAAGGGAAAGGGCCTATGGATGATACCAGGTCATGCTGGGGCCTGACAGAACCCGCAAAAAATCTGACTGGTATCAAGGAATCAGCTCGAGTATATGCGCAAGAAACGAAAGCTGGTATTCAAACCATTGGAGCTAATATCGTAGGATCACCAAATGATGTGATTAATTTTTATCAAGGATATACTCCAATCTTTGAAAAGTTTCCAATGAAGCGACACAGCCATGGTCCATTTTCGTGGATGTCTTTATTAAAAAAAGACAATTACTTTCATTACCTTTGGAAATACTTGGATGCGAATACAGATTCCGGTTTATGGGCAGATATCTTAGCGAAGTTCAAACAAAAAAGGAAGGATGCTGGAGAAGATGACCAAGAGTTCGAAGAAAGGGCCATGGAGAAGGACGGATTGATTTATATGAAACCATATGAAAGAATAGTTGCTAACATAAAAAGGAAGAAGAGGGCTGTCGAGACATCAAGTCCCTCCATTGGTCGAGCTCAAAGGAATTTCCAGTTCAACGGAACAAGCAAGCTTTCGTACTTAGAGATTAGAATAGAGAGAGAGCTACAACTCATTGAAGATATACGATACATTCTACCTCCAAGAAGAGTGATATGGATGCTAATTGATATTTTTTTTTCTCACCTTTATGCATTTTTTCCTTTTCTTAATGAAATAGATTTTAAAAGTTCTGTCAGTGGTATCATTGGTCCGGAAGACTATTCTGAGAAAGCCGAAATGCAATATAGAATAGAGAAGAGGTTGGATCTAGCGCTGGTTGGAATTATGCTCATCGTGTTGCGTCTAAGCTTCTTGGCGCTAAGTTCTATTAAAGAAGAACGTAAAAATGATCATGAAATAGGCAAAGGCAAGACAAATCGAGCTTTGAAAGATGACGATATTGTAATTCTCTCGAAATATCCCATAGAGAGTGATCTGATTTTTTTGGCGCAAAATTGCTTTGACCAGTTTCAAGTTCAAAATCATTTCAACTTTACAATTTTTCAATTGGCATTCTTCTTGAGAGTTTATGGAAGCGTTGCACCAGAGAATGGCGATGGAATAGATACAAGTGAGGCCCAGTTGAGCAATGGGCTCCTTATTCAAATGGCCTACTATATAGGGATTCACAGAGAGCCTGATCAATTCATGGACGTTTGTTCAGACAAAAAAGTAAACTGTCTAGCACGGAAGATGTGGTACTTTTTGGTTCAAAATGATCTATTTAATGCATACTCATTTGGAAGCTCTCCTCTAATTTCGATTGACCAATTTGATACGAAGCTTCCTTTTGTAGACAAGGAGGTTTGCAATACTAACGACTCTAAAGTCGAGGAGATTATATGTAGTTGCTATGAAATGAGCCAGAGCTTTTATGAACCAATGAGGAAAATATTGGATATATCATTGAAGATAAATGGAAGGGTACTAGTTAGTGATTTTGTTTTAGGCTTAAATGAAATCGAATTATTACTTGAAATCAATTTTGGCTCATTGCAGAGTTTTTTAACTCCTTTTGAACCAGAGAAGGACTTGACTCCAGTCTTCAGAGTTACTAAACTTAAGAACTACCTTTCGTTAAAGACGTTCTGTGTATCATCCTATTTCCACCTTTTTCTATATTACGAGGATATAAATACGGAGGTGGCCTTCTTCTATTTCAAAAAAATTTTTACCGTTGCCATAAATGACCTAACAAAGTGGTTTCCAATTCTCATTAAGAACATGGAACTCTACTTTGGAGCTGTATCTGGAATTGCACTATACCCCGTGATTCAACTGACTCTTCACAGAATTAATAAAATCATCATCTTATATTTGCTAAGAACCAACGTTACAATATATGATATGGAAAGACTGTATTCACATAAAGTTAAGATCAAGTCAAATCTTTTTTACAGAGATCAGTTCAACTCTTTATGCAATCTTTCCATAGTCTTGCGCAAATGTGTTGAGACTGGCGTTTCTCTTATAGCTACGATAAGTAACTGGTACTTCCTTGCTTGGAAAGTTCTAAGGACGCAATCGCTGTTTTTGAAGATATTGGGAGAAAAAAGCATCTATGAGGATGTCCTTGTAAAAAAACCTTTACAAAAAACTTTCCATGTATTTTCAAAAAGTCAGCTTGATGATATAAGTGAAATATGCTTAAAAATTATAACAAAAGAAGAAAACTCAGCGGAGGGAAATGAAGGCCCTGACTTGGAAAGCCCAAATCAGAGAGAGACAATTTTTGTTGATCGGATTTCATCACCAAATATAGATTACACTAGTTCCAGTGGTACTTCAAACGCCTATTCACCTTTTGAAAAAAGCGATTTTCAGGTACCGTCCGTTGAATCGATTCTATTTTCCAATGAAAACATCACTTATGATAACAATAACTATGATTATCTTTGGACCGAGTCGGTTTTCAAAAACCTTGAAGATAGTATTGACATATTTGAAAGATTTAATGAAAGCCCAGGTGGCCTGCTTTGTGATCCAGAATGAATAATGAACTTAAATCTATTAGTAGTAGTATTTTCCATGCAGACTTCGATATGAAATGAGAGCACGGATGTGTTGTTTTTCATGTCTTTTTATTTCTTTGGCTCCAGCAGGCAGTATCTGGCAACTCCAAGGCTCCAACACAAATTTATAGCTATATAATATTATCCCGATCAAATTAGGGTCAAATATAATTGTAGCAGAATTCATGATTCAAAATTTTTCTTAAGTCCTTAAGTCATATAAATTTGAAAATGCTTATTAAGATAGTCGTTAGTCGTGAATCATGCACTTGGAATTTCAAACTTAGTGTTAGTCGAAAAATTGCCGTTCCCTTTGCAAAACTTCATCAGCCGTGGTATGATGGGGTTATATACTGTTCTCTTAAGAAAAAGTGACGCTTTTTCAATAAACTTCATTTACTTTCAATATATCTTTTTCTTTCCACACGATAAAGAAAGTAAAGATAATTGAAGACTACATATGATTTAATTGGTAAATGATAACATTAAGTGAAATGAAAAAGATTCGGAGAACAGAAGAAAACTTGCATATAGTCTAGTTCGCTGATTTTCACTTATTATGTTGAAAGAAACACCGCGATCGTCTAATTCAAACAACGACAGAGTTACAAGGTAATATGGGAGCAAAATTAGAAGAATAATAAATAATTATGACCGGTGCTTATTTTTGACACCAAAAAGAGACGAGTGTATACCGTAATCACTCCATAGATGGCCTAAATGAAAAAAAGATAAAGTGGATTTAATGTACAGGACTGGCTGCAAACTTCATGCAGTTCCACTTTCCAAGCCGCCGTATGCGTGTGAATTTCACTAGAAGCATCTGAATTGGATTGTCGAATGATAAGGTTATACTGTGAAGAGCGAAACTGATATATAGAATACATACAAGGACCAAAGGAAGTATATTTAAAACACAGCAAGCAGATTATTATTGTTGTAAAAGTCAATTTCAACCAATCTGAACATCGACTAATTCGGAACGGCGGTGCAAGAAGTATTCTCGTATACGAACTCGGGAATGGTACTCTTAAATGTGCGCGACCAAAAAGTTTAAGTTTGCTTCTTAGCAGTGAAAGTAAATATACATGGTTTGGCCCTTCTAAGGTAGGTTTCAAGGTATCAGTTGGTATTTAAACTTCCCTCATTTCCGTGTGTGTGATCGTGAAAATATATCGGTAAAAACTCCGCCATGATACTAAGGTTGGGGAAAGAAATTTAATGTATGACAGAAACTGCATATAGAATTTACGAAGTTTTTGTCGAGTTTCCTCCCCCTCAGGCGCAACCATTTAGATAAAATTTGTTGAGCATAGCTGGCTAGAAAACTTGATAACAAAATATCAATTACTAGTCATAAAACGATACGAAGCACTTACAAGGGACCGCTTTGGTATCTCCAAAATGAAGTAATATTGAACTTAAGTGCCCCAAGTAATTATTGATTTTAATTGAATAAATGGCAGGCTCTCAGAACCATTGCAATGTCTTTGAGAACAATCTTTGGGCAAGATCTACTTCCAGTGATGTAGCCGCTGATATTAATCGTTATAAGTCATATCAGGCGCTAACCACTAGAACATTGTCTATTGTTTCTTCTTCGATATCCATACTTTGGGGCTTACTTGGATTTTATTTCTTATTAGCCATTAGTCCAAAGAAATGGGTTTTCAGACATCAGTTGATATCAATTCTCATCTTTTACGACTTTATAAAGGCAATCTTTTTATTAATGTATCCTGCTAGGGTGATAAGTAAAGCCGCTGCTTACTATGATTTGGATTATTGCAAAGTAGTAGGTTTTTTCACCGCGATGTCTATTGAAGGTTCCGATATAGCTATATTGAGTTTTGCTATTCACCTTGCTTTGCTTATTTATAAACCACAAGCATATGTTCAAAATGGTATCAACAAAGAGGGTGGGTTGTATCGCGTCAGGCATTCTTTTTATGTATTGGCAATCATTTTACCAGCTTTGCTTGGATCTTTAGTATTCATCAATCCCGAAGGCTATGTACCGCTCACGAACTGGTGCTATATTCCAAGTCGGCCAATTTGGCCCCGCATGGCACTAAGTTGGGGTCCTCGATACGTTATAATAATTTCGATTTTCATAATTTATGCATGCATTTACCGACATGTTACCAAACAATATCTGAAGCTCGGTGCTTCACTTGCGAGCTCTCAACGAGAGGGAAGTGAAAAGACAATAATGTGGAAAAAATTCGCAAGAATACTAAGATTTGTATTTTTCTTCAAGATAATCTTATCGGAATCGGCAGATGATGGAAGCGTAGAAAACAAAGAAAAAGATGGTACTGACGCCTCGTCTCTTTCTAGTGGCATGAAAACAACAGTGGTAGAAAATGTGCAATCGAATCTAAGCAACGTGAGGAACGGGCAACAAATATCTGTTCAAAAGAGCATAAGAAGAAACAACGTGGAACAATTTGTTCAGAGAAAGTTACAAGTAGAAAGGCAGATGAAATCTATCTTTATTTATCCTGTTTCTTATGTTTTATTGTGGATTGCACCATTGGTGGTGCATGGCTTTGATTTTAGATATGGTCTTGATCGACCTCCAATTTTTTGGTTAACTTGCATTGCAGCATTCATGCAGCCATTCAATTGTACCATTGATACTATAGTGTTTTTGGCACGAGAGAGGCCGTGGAGAATTTCTGTTTCAAAGGTCGGAGTATCTTCAGCTGATAATAATATATATTCGAGATGGACTGACTATATCTCGTTCATGCCTTTATTCCGTAAGCCTGGAAACGAAAACACTTCAGAACCGAAAGATTCTAATTCGAATTTCACCAATTTGGCATTTCAAGACCCGCATGATTTTTCTAATATCTTATCCGACTATAACGGTAATAACAAAAAAGATGACTACAGTTATAATCCGAGCTCAGGCAGCTCGACAAACATTTTGAGAGCAACTTTAGGAGACCGGCTTAAAAGACAAGGACTGCGAGATCATTATAATCACCTGAAAAATGAGAAGGAACAACAAACTAGCGATGGAGTTCATGAAGACGAAAATATAACGTTTTTGGATTTTTTAGAGGCGGGTCCTCCAGGATCCTAAAAATGCCTTATTTCCCTTTGAAGGTAGGCCATCTTTATTAGCATAGGAGCATATCCATCCCTTTATCTTCATCTATGGTAAAGATTTCCAACAATCTGACAAAATAAGTTGAACTAATTATTAAAGACCTTTGCCTGACAGATAAACAAGATTAGCGTGGAGTTTAGAAATAGTGCATATATGTGGGTAGATAGTCTTGTACAAAAAAATTAATAACTTTCTTCTTTCTTCGATACGGTTATAAACGACAGCAATATACAGCTAACTTGTCAAGAAAAAAAACAGAAAAGGCATGATTAGCTTCATGGATCCACAGTAAACGTGAAGATCGCCAAATTGATTATGCCTTTCGTAAATAGGGCCCTTGGCGACTCACTGTGGTTTTCCAAATTTCACTATAAGATCATGTTATCACGTGAAATTGCAACTACTTTTCTGGTTGCAAAACTTTATGGTGTTGCTTTAGGCTCGTCTACAACAATAAACGTTTACTCACTTATGATGGAGAAATTCAAAGAGTGCGAACTAAAATAAAATGATTGGCAAGAAGCAGTGGCTTACAAAAAGAAGCAGTTCTTGTTAGAGACTAACACCACCTTTGACACTTTAGCCATAACAGCTTAGCTCCCTTAGAAAGGCAAAGAAAATTGCCGTGTTTTTGATTTACGAGGGTACTAACGACCCAATTAAATAATATACACGTGACATATACTTTCTACTCTCCTAACATCCGGGAGTTGAAATTGATGCCTAGAATACAAAGAATGCCTTGCGAGTAGAGCCACCATCTTTTTTATTTTTTATAAATTTTTTCTTTGACTTCTTGCCATTTGGTTCAAAGGAGATTTTATTTGGTATAAAAGAAGACGTTATTACCCAATTTCACTTATTATAATCCTACTATAATGAGAATATAATATTAGAAATGGGAGCAATAGAAGTTTATAACCTGGAGCTTGATGCTGAAAAAGTACCTGAGGAATATACCGATGACAATATAAGTTTTAGCTCCAAGAGAGACGCTGAAGTGGGAATTGTGCAGATCGATCAAAACAAGAAAGAAATTGGTTACATATCAGCAGCATTCTTATGTCTCAATCGAATGCTTGGGGCCGGAGTTTTTTCGACTGGATCAACCATTTTTGCTCTATCAGGATCCGTTGGTACCTCATTGATACTATGGGCTGCTGGTTCGTTAATTGCTTTTTCTGGATTACTTGTTTATATGGAACTTGGATCCGCAATACCTAGAAATGGTGGAGAAAAGAACTATCTTGAATATATCTACCGAAAGCCTAAATTTTTGGTCACAGCTATGTATGCCTCTTACGTCTTTTTTTTAGGATGGGCAGCAGGCAACTCTATTGTCGTGGGTGAATACTGGTTAAACGCAGCCGGCAAAGAAATAACGCAGTGGAACTCTAGGGCAATTGGAATAGGTGTTATTACATTCGCATTCTTGATGAATGCCATCAACGTTCGCGCTGGACTCTATTTGGCAAACCTCTTGGGTGTATTTAAAATAGCTATCGTTTTATTGATAACTGTAACTGGCTGGGTTGCTCTTGGAAATGGAATCAAAAGTTCCAGTTTTCAGCCTACACATAATTTTTCAGGTGCGTTCGATGGTGAGAATCCTACAGGTTTTGGGATAGTAAATGCATTGTATAATGTCATTTGGTCGTATGTTGGTTATTCTAATGTCAATTATGCGTTAGGTGAAGTTAAAAATCCAGTGAAGGTCCTTAAATTTGCTGCTCCAACGGCATTTATATTTTTAGCCATCATCTACATGTTTGTGAACATAGCATATTTTGCTGTCGTTCCAAAGGAGGAGATAGCAACTTCTGGAAGAATTCTTGCAGCCTCTTTCTTCAAATATGCTTTTGGAGATAAAGCAGAAAAGGCAAGCTCTGTCTTCGTTGCTTTATCAGCACTTGGAAATGTTCTCTCTGTCATATTTTCCCAAGGAAGAATTGTACAGCAATTAGGAAGAGAAGGGAGTCTTCCATTTTCCAGATTTTTTGCTAGTCTGAGACCCTTTAACACACCCTTTGTTGGTTTAATGCAACACTGGATAATTTGTGTGATTACAATTGTGGCCCCGCCTCCAGGCGATGCCTACAACTTTGTGTTGAATTTGATATCATATCCGTTGAATGTTGTTAACACGGTGCTAGCTATTGGTTTATTGTATATTCAGTGGAAAAAATTCAAAGGGCAAATTGAGTGGAACCCCCCAATCAGGGCCACAATACCTGTTACCATATTTTTTGCCTTGTCTTCTTTCTATTTAATTGTTGCTCCATATATTCCACCTTCCGATGGTCAAACAGTTTATATAGACTTGCCATATTGGATTCACCCAGTTGTTACATGGGGAATTTTTGGAATCGGTGCTGTATATTGGCTTGTATGGACAAAAGCATTGCCTTACTTCGGAGGATATGAATTGGCTGTGAAAGAAATCTTGGGAGAGGACGGCTTTTGGCGGAATAAAATTTATAAGGTCGATCCATCTGAAGCCGAGGATTCATTCCGTGATCCATCTGTTATTTCTAGCTCATGAATAGTATATAAGCAAAAAGTATCTTAATATCAAACTGATCATACATGTACCTATTTAAGTGCGATATCTGGTGTTACTTCTTACCAATATGAGTTATAGAAAGGAAATCATTCAGTGTTTCAATCGTTCAAGTATTATAGTTACTTCAGGGTTGTTGAGCCACACAGTAAGGCGCGAGCAAGTAAGGCTTTTTGAATAAGTCAGTGAGTGCATGAGATTAATTTGCGATTAATTTGCATCAACTTGAAAAAGTAAATATCAGTTCCTTCCCTTTACAAATCCAAGAAGAGCTCTATACCAACATATTTTTATCAAGTGAATTGCTAATCAATAGTATGGAATAGTAAAATCAGCGTGATTTGTGCACTGATAACAAAATTTATTTGAGATTTGGAATAATTTACACCATAGTATTAAAGTAGACTTGGCAATTACACTTGGCACAAACCTTGAAAATCATATGGCCGCGAGGAACCTAACACATACAGAAAATATCAGAAGCTTTATGTAGACCTTTAAACGTTTAAACCTTCATGTTCCCTCATCTCAATACAAGAAAACATATATGGATTGTTTTGCTGATGCTTTGGAAAAAAAAAGAGCTATATACGTTTTATTTTCCCATCATGAACTTAAATTTAAAGTCAAGAAAAAATTAATTTTGATGCAATCCTATTGAATATGAAGCCTCAACTGTGGTTGAGCAAGGAGAAGTAATTTCTTTGAAGAAGGAAGAGACCTTATATGAATAGGTCAAATCTGTAAGTAAGTGAGAAATTTTGCTAGAAATCGTAGAAGAATGCTTGCTAAAGTGGATGAAAAGCAGTATGAAGCTTCCGAGAAGGAGGCTTACAACGAAGGTTGCTTAGAGGTTGTTGCTAACGAAGATTTATCTTCTGAATCAATAACTTCTATCAGTCCCAATCCTTTTTCAGATCCTAAAGTTGCAAAATATTATGAGGAAGTATATGAAGGTTGCAAATATGAATGCAGGGAAGCTTTTGACCCTCTGTTTGAATGGGATATTCAAGAGGAATCCAAGCTACGTAAACGACTTGATGTTAGAGTGGCCTTGGTTTCCTGCGTAATGTTTGTCGCATTGCAAATAGATAGAGGAAACTTAGCACAAGCTGTAAGTGATAATATGTTAGATGATTTGAATCTCACTACAGCTGACTACAATTTAGCCAATACTGTTTTTTCCGTATCATTTCTTGCAGCCGAGCTTCCCTCTCAATTGATTTCGAAATGGCTCGGTCCCGACAGGTGGATCCCTACTCAAATGATATTATGGTCTATTGTTGCAACATCACAGGCTGCTTTGAGAGGACGCAGTTCTCTACTTGTATGTCGGTCTTTGATAGGAATTTTGGAGGGAGGATTCATTCCTGATTTGGTGTTGTGGCTATCATACTTTTATACTTCTAGGGAGTTGACGCTAAGACTATCTTGGTTTTGGACCACATTGTCACTAACGCAAATTGTCACTGCACTTTTAGCAGCAGGAATCTTGAATATGCGAGGAATAGCTGGCTGGGCAGGATGGCAGTGGCTCTTCTTGATAGAAGGTCTTATTACTTTATTGATCGGCATTGCTTCTATATTCTTAATGGTGCCGTCTGCTGCTCAGACAAAGGCACCTTGGAGACCTAACGGTTGGTTTGATGAGAGAGAAGTGAAAATTGTTGTCAATCGCGTCTTGAGGGATGATCCATCAAAAGGTGATATGAGCAACAGACAAGCACTTACGCTTGGAATGATATGGAAATCTTTAAGTGACTACGATCTTTGGCCAATCTACATTATTGGCTTTTTGGCGTACATTCCTACCCAAACAGCTAACACATATTTAACTTTAACTTTGAGGCTGCTAAATTATACAACTTTCCAGACTAATTTATTGACGATTCCTCCGACAGTTATACATATTATTACTTTGCTACTAATAACATGGCTATCCGAAAGACTTAATGAAAGGTCTATTGTTTCTCTCCTTGTTCCTATGGTTCAGATACCGCTAATTGCAGTTTTGCGATGGTGGAAAGGAAGCATGATTAATTCGTGGGGCACATGGGCGGTGTGTACTTTATTTATTGGATTATCACCATATATTCATGCTATCTGTGTCTCTTGGGCTTCCAGAAACTCCAACAGTATTAGATCTCGTTCTGTTTCTGCTGCTCTTTACAACATGTTTGTACAGGTAGGTTCAATCGTCGCTTCTAATATTTATAGACCCGATGATGCTCCTTTATATCATAGAGGAAACCTTAACTTATTCATTCTTTCAGTAGCTATGATACCTTTGTTGATAATGACAAAAGCATATTATGTTTTCGCAAACAAACGAAGAGATAGAAAGTGGAAGGAAATGACAGTTGAGGAAAGAGAGCAATATGTTAATTATAGCACTGATCAAGGTAACAAAAGATTGGATTTCAGATTCGATTCATGAAAAGTATGTCTATTTGGGTGCCATTTTTTTTTTCCAGAATAAGTTTTTAGACGAATTTTTCAACTAGGATGAAGGGGCCCTTGAGTCAGTTTCTTCTTTTTCAAAAACAAGTATGTTTAAGTGGGTGACTCTATGGACAACAGACGTTTTTATGAATATCATTATCGTTTTTTATCTACTAATGCTACGTTCGCAGAGTAGTAATATAAACCGTAGCATTTTCAAGTAAAGTACCTATTTCATCGCTGAGTTTAAAATTATCACTTAGCAATGTTAATTGCCTTTAGGATCTTGCTTTGAATTCTTTTAATATATCTATAGCCAACAAATGGTCCTCTTCCTGAGCCAATCCACTAACTGTTAGAGCCCCAACGATAATATCCAGACCCTCATTCCTTATAGCAACACTTCCACCATGGGTGGCATAATCAACTGCTGAGATAAAAAGTGCATCTTCAATTGATTTGCCTTTTAATCTAAGTTTTTGGCCCATGTAGAAACTCGATCTACCAAATCTGAATACCGTTCTTTTCTTGCGATTTACCCATTCATCATTGTCAAGAGCAGTTCCACTATTAATTACAGTATGAAATAACACTTGACCAGATGGTAACGAAATATCAATTACAACTGACTTATTAGGATATCTGGACATGGCTAGGTTTCTTGCTTCTGTACCTAAATTCCAAGCATTTTCGGTGTCAAATCTCTCCAATTTGATGTCCTCTATTTTTTCTAAATCTTCCAAGCTGTAGCTATAGATCTTTGCTACCATAGTGAATTACTCCTTCGCTTGCGGTAACGAGCTTTGACGAATGATTGCCAGCACTTAAATGGACTAATGAAGTGCGAGATTGACGTGCCAATCTGTATTCCTGCGCAAACAGATTCGAAGTTTGTTTGAGCAAAAATTTATAAATGGAACACGACACCACCCTTTTCATACGACGTGGAAATCGATTTATCTACCGGCGTTCCTCTATAAATTGATTCCAAAGGAATGGGCCATGAGAAAAGGGATTGAATGGTATTCTTGACATGCGATAGGAAGCGATTACAAACACCACATTTATTTTTTGCAATTGAAATATCTACTGGCTTCTCCTTAATACGTATCCTAAGAGACATGAAATAATGAAATCGGTGTATACATCATTAAATTTTGTTATCAATCCAATGAATTATTTGTCGGTGAATAGCTGCCAAAAACATGTGAGCTTTTCGATTAGCGGGATCTTGCTCGCAAATGAGAAAAAATGATTTGTTTTCCATTCATAGCCAGACTAGAGCCATACTAGAGCCATACTAGAGCCTGAGGACATTTATGGTCACCATTAGCTTGCCAATAAAGTGGTTACTTTGGGGTTTTATACCAGGAGCATTTTAATAGCTCCTTTCGGTAGTGTATATTGGTAAAACCTTCGTGCGAGATACTTCGTTTGTTTCCATACAGTATTGGATTATTTAATTCTTATCTTTGATCTCTTATAGCGATAAATATCGATTCATATGAGACTTCTATGTCAATGTCAGAAACAGGTTCAAAGATGTCCAAGAGACGTTTTATATGCGAAGATCCAAAGTGCTTGAAATCTTTCACTCGCAGGGATTACCTTATCAGACATGAAGCTAACCATAGTAAAGTTCGGCCCTACCATTGTATACTATGCAAAGTAAGATTTGCACGTAAAGACCTATTACGAAAGTAAGTGAAAAGTTTATTAGCCCTTATTGTGAACAGGGCCGATTGCTATTATTATGGGTTCATCTACTAACAAGAATAGACACACTAGTTCCCATTCACATCTAAAGAAGCAAGAGGCGCATAGTAATCACCACAAAGAACTTGTCATAATGAATTTCACTCCGAATCCTTCAAGTGGTAGCAAGAGTACTGATCTTAGAGAGTTATCAGAACAGAAATATTGCTCAGAAGAGGCGATTACCGAACCTCATTATGAATTAGGAAACAAGGATGATACTTCAAGTCCTACTGGGAATAATTCTGAGATTAAGTCTAAGAACTTGGATCTTAATGTTCAAAAATGTACTTCCTATGATCACAAATCAATAACTCCCTCAGATCTGCAAAATTCAATTCTTATATCCCAACTTTCTGAAATTTCAAGTAGCAAAATTGATCCGAGAGCAGATATTTTTACGGATAATCAATTTTCATTAGACCAGACCTTATTCCCCGCTCAGCTGGCCCATATGAATTCTTATTTGAACTTCTCTGCTGGAAATTTGGAATGGTTGCTTGGTAACTTCATTGGTGACAATGATTTTCTGTCGAGAGAGGAGATAAACCCTCAGAACTGCGAACGTAAACCTTCACCAGATTTCTCAGAGAGATCAAGCAGCATAAGCTCAAATCATAACGTAATTGATAACGAAACATATAGTAGCATTTCGAATATACTTAAAGATATTGGGATTGAGCAGATATATTCATTGGAAAGTGTGAATAACTTTTTAGCACTCTTTTGGCTGAAATTTATTACCACCTATCCAATTATACATTATCACACTTTTGAAGCGAATAATTCGGATCCAAAATTATTGTTGACTATGATTTCGTTAGGGATGGCTTATACCGAGGATAAACATGACTATCACTTTTCGAAGATGATTCATCGAAATTTGAAGAATTTACTATTTAAAGATGTAGTTGATAGGGCAGATGTCAAGATTTCAACTTTGCAAGCTATTCTATTAGATAATTATTATTGCAAACTACTTGGAGACACAGCACAATTTCGAATTTCAGAGTTGTTTCACGGCACAGGAATTAACTTATTGAGATACTCTGGTTATTTGGACAATTTGGTAGGGCAACCATTAAAAGATTTTCGCCAGTTGTCTAGCTTAGAGCAATCAAGACAGTGGAAAGAATGGATAGATTATGAATCGAGTAAAAGAACGGCCTTTTTTGGATTCTTGATAGATGTTCAAAATACGTCATTATTTGGTTATCGACAATTGCTTTCCGCTTTTGAAATGCAATTAGAATTGCCATGTTCGGATGCTGTTTGGAATGCTGCCAATCCAATATGTTTTTACAAAGAATACATGAAGCAACCTAAAGAGTTGCATTCAAGAATGGAGCCAAACTGGGAAGTTGATATCAACAAAATCAAGACGAGAATGTCTCAAAAATATGGAGAGGGATATGATCCAAATAATGGTACGATTCCAATGCCCGAAATCAAAATAGAAGGTAATTGGCCATCATTTCTATGGAGCTTGAGACGGTTAATGCAGCCATATAGAAAGCATCACAAAGAATACACTATGAATTGCTTTTCTCAGTTTTCCAGATTGATTTTATTGCACGGTGTTTTAAGTGTGGTCTCGGATTTGAAATGGAGGAATTTAATAGATTTGAGGTTTTTGTCAAAAAAGAAACTCTCTGATTTATCTAAGCGCTTGATGGTTGCACTTCTCAATTGGAGAGGTTATTTTCATAATCAAATATGCTTCACAAATGAATCACTTGGGAAGTTATTTGATGATTCGGTTCTTAATGACTACAGAGCTTCAAATATCTTTTGGGCTAACTTAACTTTGTTTCAATTTGCTGTTGTTGCATTGCATGTTGATACTGTGTGTGTTGTCAGACTTGCGACAGAATTTGTATTTCATACAAGTAGTTTAGAAGGTACGTCGAGAAGAAATACGAAGAGTTATGAAAGCGATAGAAACCTCGAAGAAATTGAACAATGGACAAGATCAGCAGACGGGAAGCTTGCAGTAGAGCAATCTAGCAAAATTTTGAATACTGTTATTAACAATCCTGAAATAATAAGCTACCTTCCTCATACTCCTTGGACAATTTATATAGCAACATTAACCGTATGGTGCTTCGAAACATACCAGGATGCACCATGTGGATGTTCAAATAAGAATTTTTCACATCAAATATCCGCTTCGAAGTATTCAATGCCTTTTGAAGATGAATTTGACTATACGTTGGCACAAAATGACGCTATGTCGTATCTAGCAAGAAATTTAGAGGACAAAGAAGACAATATAGAAGAACCAGAGGGAGTAGAAGTAGAGCAAAAATATTGGAGAAATAGACAGCAAGCGTTAGGAATCGTTGTCTTTGTTATGCTCTTTATGAAGAATTGTCAATGGGGAAATACTGATACATTAAGAAGAAAATTATATTTATTAGTTAAATCACATAAATAATATTTCATTAAACAGATATTCCGAGTGCTTCTTTCTGTAAAATTTTACATTGTATCAAAGGGGGATATTAGCTATTTCAAATCTCTGGTTTTTTTCCAGGGCATTCAAGATCTTGATAATACCAGTAGCCTACGTTTGGACCGAAATCAGAATATCTTTTGGAATACTTGAGGCTGGAAAGGTCCTTAAAGTTTTGATCACTTAACTCTAACTCTTCTGCTTTCAAATTCTGTTCAATTCTATCTTTTTGAACAGACTTTGGGATGACAGAAGTACCACGCATTAAAGCCCAAGAAAGTAGCACATTTCCTGGCTTTGCATTTTCACTTTCACTAATTTTAGTAACGCTAGGATGTTCAAGTAAAATTGGTTCATCTTCGACAACGTAGCAAGAGTTCTGATTGCCAAATGGAGAATATGCGGTTACATGTATATGATTGTCTTTATTGAATTGCAAGAAATCATCCTGTTTCAAATAAGGATGCATTTCCATTTGATGAACCTGGGGTACAACTTCACAGTTTTCAAGAATTCTATTTAATTCAATCTTTGAAAAGTTTGACAACCCAATGGCTCTCACTTTTCCCGTTTTCAATAATAGTTCCATTGCCCTCCATGTATCAACGTAGTCTATGTCAGCCTTGATGTACTTTCCTTCTTTTTCGAATGCTGTTCTATCATTTGCACAAGGATAGTGCATTAGATATAAATCGATGTAGTCCAAGCCAAGAGCTTGTAGGCTGTTTTCTAGGGCAATGGGAACATCTTGTGGATGATGCATCGAGTTCCAAAGCTTAGTTGTTATAAATATGTCCTCGCGGTTAACCTTGCTATCCTTAATACCTTGGCCTACTTCTGTTTCATTACCGTATATTGCAGCTGTATCTATATGTTTATAACCAGTCTTCAAAGCGTGTTTAACTGCCTCGAAAACTTGAGTTGGTGCTGATTGCCATGTGCCCAATCCAAGTTGAGGCATTTCTACGCCATTGTTGAGTATAATAGTCCTAGTTGACATTCTAATTTTCAAGTTTGTCATGTTAAGAGAGTAATTTAATATTCACCGAAGCTTATATAGTTTATATCTTGGTGGGCAGTAAAAGTAGCGAAATATCAAAGAATGCACTTGATACTCGGGTCGCATTTCTTACCCGATTAGGATGTCACTGGTGGAGGAGATATTCCCTTATCAGCGCACCCCTCAGGATTAATATACTATTAGGAAGCCAAACGTCAAAAGTTTGTGAAATATAATTCATTGCTAAAGTGTTCAGATTGGTATCTACCAAATGTTACAATTGTAATACTATAGAATTGAGTATGTAAAAGAGATTTGTTTATTAATATCTAAACCTCCCTAGTAATAGTTCGAACTTTACATTTCAGCTTTGAAACATCATCCATGTCTTGCGTCTGCACAGTACTAGATTGATCATCCTTCAAATATTCAGATACCAAATTTCCATCGCCAGTGTAAATATCGTCTACTGCATCGCTTAGCGGCTTTTCCATTTTTGGAAAAAGAAAATGTAAAATCATTAAGGATATACTAGAGATACCAATTCCCCATGGATAAGATAACTTAAATATCCAATTCCAAAAGCCCATATCTCTATCATTAGCAGCTGCTGCCAATCCTGGCATCAAAAATACTGTTCCCAAGACCCAAGAGACAATAGATCTCCAGTCAATTCCTCCATGGAAGAAATAGACAGATGAACTATCACTTCTGTATAAATGAGAGATAACAATTTTTCTCTTATAAATAAAGTAGTATTTGGTAATAACGATTCCAGTTAAAGACGAACAGAAGCATCCCCAGCCATTCCCAAAAATAATGACCACTTTTGCACTCGATTGTAAATACCAAGGACAACAACATATACTGATAGCGGCCACAATATAAGATGCTCTTCTAATGTTCAAGAAACGAGGAAATAAGCCCGACATGTCCATACCAGTGGAAACTGAATTTAAGAGTAGATTTATAGCCAATTGTTGACCTATGAAACCACACCCAGCAAAAAAAACACCCGCTCTAGCCTTGGCGGAGTTACCTTCGTACGCCTGAAGTGCGCTCAAGAAATCAAGAGGATTCCAATATGCTTCACCAAACAAATCGCTTGAAGCAGAAGTTATCAATGCGCCCATAAGTCCAGCAAATGTAACAGCTATTGGCGCCCCAACTAGCTGGGCCACAACTGGTCCATTTTTGGATTTTGAATAACGTGTCCAATCACTCTGGCCCAAGATTCCTGTTCCTGTAGTACCAACTATTGAAAATATTCCTTGTAACACAGCCCATGCCAAGGCACCTCTTGAATTTAAATCAGAGGAATTTGCAGTAAGCATTGGACCAGGGCCAGAATTTGTATGCATAGCATATATAAGCATACCCATCATTGAACTAAATACCATAACGAAGGTAACTTTGAATAAATTATGCAAATTTTCTGGTGGGATCAAGATACAAGGAAGAATTAGTATCATGTAAATCACCAAGCCTACGAAGTCAGCAGATGATATATTACCTGACGTTTTAGCAAATGTATTCCAAGTAGCAAAACTCGGATTCATTGTGGCTATCACGACGCGTACCGCTTGACCACCATAGTAGCTTTGAACCCCAAACCATATCACGCCAGTAATGCAACGAATTATTATTGGGAAATAAAATCCTTTGATTCCAAAAGTAGCTCTAGAAAAAACCAGAAAACCTAGGTGATGATGAGATCCAATCCATCCCATGATAACAGCCATGACACCATATATAATACCTGCTGCTACAGCACACCCAAGGGACTGACGAACAGATAAACCAAATCCAACTAAAGAAGATACAGTAGTATAACCAGATATAGAGACTCCTTCCACGATCCAATAAGAAAAAAAAGTTAAAGCACTCCATTTTCTTCTTTCTAGCGGGATTGGAATTAAATCTCGATTTGTTAGCTTATCGTTCTGATAGTACTCATCCTCAGCATCCTTTGGCACTTCGAGTCTGTTTCCTAATCTAATCCAAAAGTTAGAATTTTGTTGTTTATCTTCGAAAAGTGATTCGTTCTTTTCCAAAGATTTCTGGGATTCTTCCATTTCCAATTGTATCTTTAGTAAGATTTCTAAGGATAGTATATCATATAGAAGAATATGCCATTTTTATACATTTGGCTATTAATTTATCTCTATCAAGCGAATCAATTAACAGTAAATTAAAGTCTCCTTATCCAGCGCCCACCACAATACAATTTTCAAAGTTACGTATCTCAAGGAGATAACATTTCCAAGCGCGGAATATCTTGGTGGAGGAATAAATACCTGCATATAATCTATAAGGATTTATTTTGCAGCAGTTTATTTCTGTTCAAGATGGTAACTCAAATTAGCTTTCAAAACCAAACAAAAGCATAGAAACAAATAATTGAGCCCTATAAGATTATATGGAATCAAATTTGACTTTTTCTTTTTTTTTTTCCTTTGGACTTGCTCCAAATTCTTCTTACAAATTTTCAGTAGTTGATGCGTTCTCTAGGATTTAAAATTTGTATATTGAATCTCATATATATTTAATACGTAGCATTGAGTCTCATGCTTAGATAATCTAAAGAATTTATTGGCTTATATCTCTTGGGTTCACTCTCTGAGAAAGTGCCTGGAAGACAGTCAATAATTACATCTTTGTTACAGGAGACGAAGAAAGGAATCGAGTATCTGACTTTGGAAATTCCTGTTTCAGAATCCTTTGGAGGGGACCTTACCCTATGCAAAGTTGATTTTAATTGATCATTAGACCACCTCATTAAGAAGTCTCCGATATTTACGATAAGTGAATCTTTTATGAAAGGTGCAGATATAAATGACCCGGGGGAGTGAGGATTTTCAACTTCTAAACCTCCACACTCGTCCTGAAGAAGCATTGTTAAGGTTCCAAAATCAGTGTGTGCTGCAATTCTTTCAGCCTTTCCATTTTGCAAATCCTCCTGCTTGGTTGGTGGATAGTGTAATAATCTCAACTGATTATCAGAATCGGAGTGGTATGGAAGAAAAAATTCCTCGTCAAGACCCATTCCTATAGCTATAGCACGGAGTATTAACTTTGATGTATCATCGAAAGCCTTGAAGTATCCTATGCAAGCACCTTTGAATCCATGGATTGCGTCTTCTTCGGGCCAAAAATTGCAGTACATCGAATTTTCGTTTCCACAATCGAAAGACTCTTTCACATCGGGCCTTTTTCTCAATTCAGAGATTTCATCTTCACCAAAAACCATTTGAACAACTTTTTCTTTCCCAAGTGCAGACCAACCCCTGTGATGTGCTCCATTTGCAGGATGAGCACATTTTGCTTTCTCATCATCTGATAAAGCAAAGAACATTTTGCTAAATTCAAATGCTTCTTCCATCATAATTGAGGATATTCCGTGATTTATAAGATACATAAACCCAACATCTTTCATAACTTGGACCATCTTTTTACCAACTTCTGTTTTCGTCTGAGCATTTCCAGTTAGAAATGGCTCAAAATCAATGATTGGAATATCTGGGACAGTCTCTGTATTTTTTAATATCGGCATTTTCTAAATATCGCTGCTAAAGGATTACTCAGAATAAAAATAAGAAAAATGAATTAATACTACAAGCGGTGATCATTTTTTATATTCCTCCGTAATGCTTACTTTTCAACGTATATCTACTACACATACCTAAATGGGCATATCTCGGTGGGCAAGATCTTGACCTGTATATAAATAAGAAAAATTAATGTACAATCTATATTATTATAAATATGAATTCCCTTTCGACAGGTTCTCTTATAAAGTCTCTATAAAACGTTATTGATCTGCCATAGTTTCAACTCCGATGGAACCATTATAATCATGAACTAGCGATATATCATTATAAGTGAACCCTATTTTTGCTCAAGCCCATATTGAATGCGTATAATTTTAGTTCATGAAAGAACGCGAATTAAGAATTGTCCTAAGGAGGATTTATAACATGTAGGGCTGTTAGATTGCAACAGCGAATTTGAAATCACCTTTCAATGAGTATATTTATCCTAACTAGCATAGAAGTAAATGACTTTGCTGAAGCCTCACAAGCGAACTGCTTATCGCTTAGTAACTCGTCTCGTAGAATGCATGACTGCCATACTTGCTTTTCTCAAATAAGATTCTAGATCTCGACACAGCATCCTTGAATACGAGAAGTGATTATCTAAAGAAAAAAGGATAACCATGTCGTTGTCTTCATATATTAGTTGCATTATGGGGGATGTCAGACATTTAGGCAAAGTATATGAATAGTGTTAAACGTGGACGCAATATGAGCATTATGTGAGGGTGTAGTTAGAGGAGAGTTCTGTGCTCAAGTTCAAAGTTCAATTAAGAGATCTTCGATGCGGATGCTGCCTGAATCTGTTTATTGTCTCTTTCAAGTTGACATTTTGTTTACTCTGAGAACCAATTCACATAACGCATGCCAAGAATACGTGGAATACCGTTGCTTCAAAGTATGTTCGGTAATATTCCTTTGATGAAATAAAGGGAAGGTCCTTAGCTTCTTAGGGCCAACTGGTCACAAGCGACCCCTCAACTTTAGCTATGTGATGTGACGGAGGCCCCCCTCGAGTGCCCCATTTGGCAAGCATTCTTACGCTCAACCAGTGCGTAGCAATGCTTAACTGCGAAAGTGAAACATTGAATCAGAATAGTGACTACATGCAGTAATAGAGAAATATGACAAAAACAATGTCCCCACAATTTGACCAATAGTAACAACTACTCGCGCATCTGCCATGGGAGAAACTGCTATATCTCATTAATTGTAGATGTCCCCCATCAATCCCTATGCATCTCGAAATAACTAGCGAGTTTTACGACACTTCACTCTAACTTCTAAGTTTCCTAGTGCCATATATGTATCACTGCTGGTAGCATACTAGGAATTATTGTAATAATGTCAACCACGTTACTGCATGTTGACCTGCCATGAGCTCGGAACGCCGACTTTGGCCGTAAGTTTTGCCGTACTGTAACCTTCAAAAGAATAATATAAGTTCTATGGAACGCCACTCTACATAAAAGCAAAGAAAACAAGAGAGGACCACCCTTCAAGTGAAAATTTAGAACACGGAAAAGTAGAAGGCTATACCGAACTACATCAAGAGAGTAGGGTCCAATGACTATTTCTGCTAGAAAATAATTCCAGGATGCTTCGATCGTCGCATTTTCCCCACCATTTTTTTAGAAAACATCCCCACCATTCCTGTCCAGAGCCGTGCGTCATAATGCGCGTGATATGTTTAGCACAATACCAGGCAATTGCTGCATTCGTGAAGTGCACCCCGACAAGATTTTAATTACACAGAGACGTACAATTACATAATAAGATATTGCCAGTTACACGCTCTACCAAATGTATATATATATGGTCATTTTTGCTCTCCTCGAGGCTCTTCAGTTCTCATACTAACACTTTGATCAGAAGATTCTTAGATTAGTTATTTACTTTTTTCACGTTTCAGTTAGGTGAGAAGACAACTGTGATAAGTTATATAAGCAGAAAGAGGTGTATAAGTAGTTGGCTGGGTTTCTATTTAAATATGTCGTCTTCAAGTTCTTTGGAAAAGAGCCCTAGTGCTAAACACGAGACTATGCATTCCTTCATGGGTATGCGTGGTCCTAGGTTAAATTTCGCTGTATCTGTAATTGCTGGTGTTGGTTTTTTATTGTTTGGGTATGATCAGGGTGTCATGGGCAGTTTGCTAACCCTAGAATCATTCAGGCATACACTCCCAGAAATCGATGTGCAAGATAATCCTAGCAGGTCAACTTTACAAGGTTTTGTGATTGCGTTATATGAACTCGGTTGTATGTCTTCAGCCTTGTCGACAATATATTTGGGTGATAAATTAGGTAGATTGAGAATAATATTTTTGGGGGCAATCATAATGACGATTGGGGGTGCTTTACAGTCCTGTGCTTATACATTGGCCCATTTCATAGTTGCTCGTGTTGTGACTGGTATCGGCAATGGTTTTATCACTTCTACTGTTCCAGTTTGGCAGGCGGAGGCAAGTAAATCTCACATGCGTGGTAAGCTTATTATGATGGAAGGTAGCTTAATCGCGTTGGGTATCACGATATCGTATTGGGTTGACTTTGCATTATACTTTGCTAGAGAAGGGCCCACTCACGACGTTTCGTGGAGATTTCCTATTGCATTTCAATGTGTTTTTGGTCTCATTCTTATTGCATGCATTCTTAAATTCCCTGAATCACCTAGGTGGTTATTGAAGAAGAACAGAGAAAACGACGCAAGAGTAGTTTTTTCAGCAATGTATGATTTACCAGATGATGACCCATTGATCAACGCACAAATCGATGAAGTTAAACAATCCATAGCAACTGAAGTTGATAGTGGGCTGGATAAGTTTTCACTTAAAAGTTTGTTCACTCAAGGCGAAAAAAGGAACTTCCACAGGGCTTGTTTAGCTTTCTGCGTTCAGATGATGCAACAAATCTCCGGTATTAACCTTATCACGTACTATGCGGGAACGATTTTTGAAGTTTATATCGGAATGCCACCTAAGCAGTCTAAAATTTTGGCTGCTTGTAATGGAACTGAGTATTTTCTCGCTTCGTTGATTGGGTTTTGGACAATTGAAAGATTAGGAAGAAGGTTTTTGTTAATTTGGGGAGCAGTGGGAATGTCGGTTACAATGGCTATACTAACAGCAACGAACTGGAAGGCCAATCCAGATTTTAAAAATCTTGATTCTCCAGATAAGGATTCTAAAGCCGCCATAGCTTCCGCTGTATTTTTATTCGTCTTTAACTCATGTTTTGGTATAACATACTTGGGAGGAACCTGGCTAGTTCCGCCGGAGATTCTTCCCTTGGGTATCAGAGCACCCGGTGCTGCATTATCAACTGCTGCCAACTGGATTTTCAACTTTCTAATTGTTATGATAACACCCCCTGCTTTCACTAATATTGGGCCGTACACTTATACAATATTTGCTGTGATCAATGCCTTGATGGTTCCTGTCGTTTATTTCCTTTATCCGGAGACCAAAGGCAGAAGTTTGGAGGAAATGGACATCATATTTGGACAATGTCCAGTTAATCAACCTTGGAAAGTTGTACAAATTGCGAATGATTTGCCCTACATGCATGCGGGTGCTAATAACAACGAGGACATAGAGGATAAGCCCAAGGGTTCTTTTGAGCATGATGAAAAGGTGTCTGTGAGAGAAGAGGAATTGATGGGTTAAAAGCTGTGACAGTGTTGCTATTGTTCAAATTTCTATTTAATTCTACATTTGATGAGGAACTGTTTATTTGTGTACTTTAGATAAATATTATCTTGAAATAAATTTTCTACTTTGAGCTTAGTGAAGTAATAATATCTAAAATATTTAATATCTATTTTCGTGATGAGATCCATTGGAAACCACTAAGCCTTAGAGAAAGAAAAAAGACAATAATCCTAGATACGGGCATTTAAAAATTGGAAAAACCATTAACATAAATAAGTATACTTTACTTTTTCTTTGAGCAATGTTTTCATATCTGAGCTCAGAGTAGAGAAAAAAAAGAATGACACGATTCATCACTCTTATTAGCTTATTCCATTATATAATTATAAGATTACTCTATTGGCACTTATAGCCGTTTTGAAGCATGGGAGCTCGTATACCCAAATTAATATCATACTACTACGAAATTTGCAGCCGTATTCAGATCGTTTAAGTAGTGAGTGAGTTACTAGTAGTTTTTTTCAGTCCATGATTATAGAATACTACTCTAATCTGAGAGGATATACTGTTATAAATTATTCATGTCACTTTAAATTATTGAAGGTAAATAAAATTTTATCTTCGGAGTTGGTGGTTGAGATAGGTCGTTTATTTGGGGGGTTTTATTTTATTTTTCTCTGTTTTCTGATATTGATCTTCAGCTTTCTTTGAAGAGAAAGGGAAATGCTTCGAAAGAAAAAGGTTCGTGCTGTTCAAATCACTACTATTAAGATAATTTCAGCTTTCAGGATGAGAAAGTTATTTTTGATTGAGGTTATAAAGAGGTAATAATGAAGATATCGAAAATAAACCAAAGATTTCATAAAAGTAGTGATAATGAGGTTAAGTTGGTCAAATGAACATTAATTGACTTTTAAAATACATTCCAAATATATTTAGTTCTAATCGATAAGCATTCAGTTTATTTTATGTGCTTTAGATAAAGCTATCTTTAAAAACAAATCCACTTTTCGTGAACTTCTAAAAGCCTGGTCAGATTTACACCCACATTTAAAGTACTAGCTGAAGCAAAATCTTTTTAAATCTTTGCTTACTTTATCTGACTAACAATATACAAATTCCCTTGTGCTTAGGGACGAATCTTGTAATTGTAATCATTAATTTATGATTGAACTTGTATTCTCGAAATCGATGTATACCCTCAAGGTTTTAAAGTAGCGAGCTGTTAGCCCCCTATGGGAATCTAAAAGAATAGAGGACAAGCCCTTTCCCATGAGGAGGAAAAAATACTCTCAGAACAATCAAATTACTTTCGAATTTTCTTGTCACGCATAGAAAAGCTTTAATTGAGGTCAGAAATGAGTAGTCATTTAGTCATGATTTGCAAAATTTAATTTTTTATTTAGAGTAAAGATATAAGCGAGTCACTATGGAATAGTTTCTCCGCCTCCGATAGTCTTGATTAAAAAGCAATGACGATATATAACTTTCAGAGACTTATTCTTTAGAATCGATAATCTCGTTTACTCGACCATTATTCATGTTACTAGCGTATAAAGAAGTCTCTGATACACCCTTAATATTGTAATGCTCTTACGGAACACATCTTCGCCGTTTATATTTGGACGACTATAATATGGGACTTTTCGTCGTTAAGATTTTCTTACATTGGCGCAATAACAATAAGAAAAAAAACCGAACTTAGTAATATTCTGTTCTTCGAGAGACCACCTTTAAGAGTATTTTCGTAATCTGAATTGTTCATATTTTGAAAATTTTGCTGCATGTCAGAAACTCCATGATATCTTTATATCGACAGCTACTTATGATAACTCCGGAGGTACACCCAAATGGAGGTCTGCATATATCATATTGTTACTGATTTGTAAGAATCCAAAAACTACGTGAGCAATGTTGTTCAGTTGTTTTGCAGTATGCTTTAAACCATGGATAATTACCACGTAATAGTCAAACACAGTATAATATAGCACGGGTACTATAGAATACAAACTTTAAACCTAAGAGGATCATTGGCAAGATCTGTGACTTTAAAGAGCCACCAACCAACCTGGCCGCTACCTCTAACAGAATTCAAAGCTGGCAGTTCGGGAGCATCGTTCTATTGGAATAATAAGTTACTGCAATCTCCTCAGGTGAGGCTCAGGTGAGGGATACATGACTAACTTGTCAATTAATATCCTGAGGCAGTGAGCTCTATAAGCGATGTCTAAGCGATATCTAAGCCGCGACGTATAAACTTGAAAGGGTGCAAAGAATATTGAGAATGAGGCTGACAACAGAATGATTAACTATCTCAGGAGTTGGTTGTAAAAATGGAAATAGCTTGGGCTCGTCTCTTGTTATTTGGGATGTGGTATCAAGGCTTCATCAATTGTAGCAAAACAATGTTTCACTTAGAATGAACTTGAAATACAATTTGGTGCCATTGGGTAAGAGAAGTGCTTTTACAATTTACGAGATGAAGAAGTGCTATTAAGAACTTCAAGTATCCAGTCAGATCATGAGCACCCTTCTACATTTTAGTTTCTTTTGTATTGAAGCTTATCAAAATCGGGTGTCGAGGCGGTAATTCGCGGAAAATGTATGTTCCCATCGACAATAGATAATTCTTGTTTCTTGCGCATCTCAATATGCACATTCCTAGACAATTAATTGAGAAGAGATAAGCCGGAATCTTGGCTTCTTGGTCTCTATTGTTCTGATTATTCGTCTTGCGATAAAGCACTAAAGGTGTTACCAGTACAACAATTTTTGCCTTGTGTGGATGCCATGTTGCAATACAAACGAGAGACAACATTCTTTGTGTGTTGTATTTCTAGCAAGTGGCCGTAGGGTCCATATACATATCTCCAGGGACTAATTTCCTTCTTACGCACAAAATTCGACCACTCTACCACAAAGTGGCTTAATATTTTGTGCAATGTGAAAATCTGGATGAAGGAGGCTGATCAAAGAAATATGCTGACTATCCTGTGATGGAAACCTGATTAGGTTGCTGATAAAAAAGCTGTGTTTAATTGGATTTGTTGATTTGTTACATTTGACGGAAAATGGTAGCCGTTCTAACTCACGGCTCTCAACTCTCGGTTATAGGGGACCAAACTAACAGTGGCATGCATTCCTCACTGCCTGAAGACTGTACTTCAAGCAGACTAATATTGCTCGCATGTCGTATCGATTGTAAGCGTACTCCTTCTCTATAACTTGGCTTTAAAGTCACGGTGACAACAACTTAGAGCCGTCTCACCAAGAACCGTACCCTGAATTATAAGATGGATAAATTATCTCTTCCTTCCTTGTAATTTGAAGTTGACATAAGAAGAGTGCTATGTTTAAGAAATACTTCTCGAAATCCCAGTCTGAGCCTAGGACGGGTATGATATCGGAAGGTACAGGGAACGCTGCTCTAGAGGCTATATCGAAAACTATATCGAACAATAATGGAGTTCCTTTGGAGAAGAATACTCAAGATATCGATTTGCAAGTGGCAAGATCTACTCAGATATCATTGGGTGAAGTCGCAGATGAATTGACTGAAGAACAGAAATACAGAGCTCTAAAGAGATATGATTTGAATCATCTAGAAAACATGGAGGATCTTCCTTTAGTAGCTCTGTTTATGTTGGAACAGCTTCAGGCTCTAAGTGTCTCAGAGGCTATCGAGATCTTGAAGGAGGCGCTTCCAGTTCATGAACATGATATCAACTTTCCAACAGGTTTATGGGAACGTTACTGCAAGATCATTGCAAAGTGCGAGCAGGGTACACTAACCAATTTCGACTTAGCGCTCAAGAAGGAGAGTGGTGACAAGGAGCTGGGAATAAAAGAGTCCGCTAAAGAGATCCATGATTATGAAGTCAATGATGGCGACTCTGAAGACTTAGAACATTGGGAATTTGATGCACGTATCGAGGCTTCGTTGATTGCTTTCTGGTCGCCTTATCCAGAGATCCGTGCCATTAGTGATCCTTTCGATGACCCTAATGAGCTCTGTGAAACATTTAGGGCTTACGTCATCTCTATAATTTGGCAAGGAATTGGTGCCTTTATTAATACTTATTTCAATGCCAGACAGCCTTCGGTTAGTCTATCGGGTGTCGTGGTTCAGGTTTTTATTTACCCATGTGGTTTATTATGGGCCAAAATCGTCCCAGCTTGGACCATTAGGTTTTACAAAGATTATAAAATTGAATTAAATCCAGGGCCGTGGACAGCAAAGGAGCAAATGTTTGCTACCTTGATCTTTATTGTCGAAGGTGGGGCCAATTTTGTATATCAGGCTCTTATGATTCAGTCGTCCAAATACTTCTACTATCAGTCGTGGGCAGGCTGGGGATACGGTATTTTGTTAGGTTTATCTCTTACATGTATGGGCCTTGGTCTTGCAGGACTTTTGAGATGTTTTTTTGTGTATCCTTATGAGCAAATCTGGCCTTTGATTATACCAACTAAAGCAGTGAACCAGGCCTTGATGTCAATTGAGAAAAAGGAGAACTTGTTTGGATGGAAGATATCAAGATACCGCTTCTTCTTCTACTGCTTTATTGCTTCATTCATTTATTTTTGGGTCCCTGACTACTTATTCCAAGCATTATCTCAATTTAGTTGGATGACATGGATCAGTAAAGATAACGTGAATCTTGATAATATTGTAGGTTTTAATGGCGGGATTGGACTTAACCCTATCACAACATTTGATTTCAATATTATGTGGAACATGTCTCTGCCGTTGGTTAGTCCTGCTTACAATACTATACAAAATTATATTGGAGTTGTTATCACAGCATTTACTTCCTTGGGATTATATTATTCAAATTATAAGTGGACTGGTTATATACCACTAATCAGCAATGGCTTGTATGATAACCAAGGCAACGCCTATGATACTTCCAGGGTGTTGACTGATAAAGGACTTGATGAACAGGCCCTTAAGGATTACAGCCTACCATTTTATGGGGCTTGGAACTTAGTTGCAACAGGAGCAGGATATGCTACGGTTCCATTTTTATTCTTGTACATGATATTGGAATTTTGGAAACCATTCACTCGTAGTTTTAAGGTTTTATGCAAATCCCTTAAGAGAAACGGAACTTCGATGTCAAACTATAAGGACCCGTTTTGCCGTATGAACTCAGTTTATCCCGAGGCCCCAGAATGGTGGTTCTTAATTGTATTTTTTTCAGCTCTTGCATGTGGCATTGCAAGCATTCGTGGTTATGAAACTGATACTCCCGTTTGGGCTTTGTTTTTTGCTTTGTTTTTCAGTCTAGTTGTGATGATTCCAACAATTCAGTTCTTAGCTGTTACAGGCTCCCTTATTACCTTGATTGGTGTCGTAGAGATTGTTATTGGGTACGCATTGAGAGGGCACATAATTGCTTATATCCTTATGAAGCTCTTTGGAAGTTACATTCCTGAACAATGTCAAAACTACTTGAGCAACCAGAAGATAGCACATTATGCAAAAGTCCCACCAAGAGCAATGTTCAGAGGACAGCTTCTCACTAGCATTATTAATGTTTTCATTACGATTGGACTTATAAGATGGCAAACAGGAATGGAGAATTTTTGCAATCCAGATTTAGCCCTTGCTCCGAACAGAATGACTTGTCCGTCAACTAGGTCATATTTTAATGATGCTGTCGTTTTTGGCCTTGTTGGGCCAAAAACTGTTTTCGCGCTGCTCTACCCTATTCTTAAATATTGTTTCCTCATAGGTTTTCTTTTGGTGTTCCCTTGTATTGCCTTCAAATGGTATGCTCCAAGAAAGTGGACGACACTGTTTCAACCAGTTTTGTGGTTAGGTGGTATCTCTGCCGCAGCACCCTACAATTTATCATACTACACGCCAGGTCTTTACTGGGCCATTGGATTTATGTGGTATTTGAAGAATAGGTATACGGCATGGTGGATAAAATATAACTATCTTTTCTATGGTGGAGTGCAAGCAGGGGTTGCTTTCAGTTCTGTTATTATCTTCTTTTCAGTTTTTTACCATGATAAGTCAATTTCATGGTGGGGAAATAATGTTATTTATGAAGGCGTAGACGGGGCAATGGGTGCCCCTCGCTTGAATGCCACTTTACATGCTGAAGGTGGATACTTTGGCCCACGTAAAGGTGAATGGAGTTAAATTTGTTAATGCTTAATTATATTTTATATAGGACCAATTAATTGTTAATTCTTGATCCGTAGTAAAGAATGATACACCTTTGAAATCACTTCGCATTATAAAGAAAGCAACAAGCTTACCTATTAGTTCTGGAGAGTTTGACGGGGAATTAGAAATCAATGAAGTATGAGAGATAAATCCTTTTCCGAGCTAGATGATAACTGACATGATACCATTTCCGTAAGAAAAATGACGAATCTGGTTCAAATGAAGTATGAGAGATGAAATTCTAACCTTTACCAACTAGTTGATAATTGATAAGGTAATGTTTCCATAGTTCTTGGGTGCAATAGACGAGAATAAACGAAATCGGTTGCAAATTATTACCTTCCTTTCTTTCTTTTTTTTTTTCTCTTTTTGGTTTCTCAGATAACGATCTTGATATCTATCTCTTAAAGGCTGCTAGCAGTAATATAATTTTGTGAAACATATGTTCTTTTACATTGTATTCAATTCAAGAAGTTTATACTCGCAAAAAGTTGCAACCACATCGGATTAGGCCACGGTCAGCTTCTTTTCATATGTCTAAGATTAGTTAAACAATCAAAATCCATGATTATGTTTTCCACAGTTACCTCTGTATAAGTTCATTTAAAGTTGTTTAAATGCTTGGGATTGCAGTTGAAATAACTGATCTGCTTTCGTTATCTCCGGAGTTGATCGAGATAGTTCATTTAAATTAAATCTTTTTTTTTTTCTTTTTTTCTCAAAATATTGATAGACTCTTTACGACTTAATTCTGTGAAAGGAGGAGCTAAAAGCTTTTGTACGAGTGTATAAGGTATATAAATATTCTGGATCATTTTTCTTCTGATACTGTCTCAATTGTCAGAATGGGAAAGACCGTTTTGATTGTTGGCTGTGGTGTTATGGGGCTTTCAACGGCTGTACATTTGGCTGAAGCAGGATATTCAGTGACTGCAATTGATGCTTATCCAGTCCCTTCACCGTGGTCTGCAGCCGCGGACATGAATAAGATAATTAGGACAGAGTATACAGATTTCAAATATACTGAAATGGCTGTTGAAGCAGTTCGCAAGTGGAGAACAGATCCTATCTACAAAGAAGTCTACAATGAATGTGGAAGGATTTTAATGACGCCCCACCACCACGAAGAAAGAAGGAAGTTCGAGGCTGCTGGCATCGAATGTTTGCGCCGTATTCGTTTTGAGGGAGTCAAGATTGAAATATTTCAGGGTGGTCAACTACTAGGGTCGAAATTTGACTTTCTCAAGTATAACACCGTGTCTGAGGACACCGAAATCAAATGGAATCCTGAATCTGGTTTAGCGCACGCTGCCAATTCCTTGTTTGTTTTGTATCAACGGGCTTGCAGACTTGGTGTGAAGTTTATTTTTGGCGATTCTGGAAGGGCGATTAATATTGAAACTGACGGAGGCACTGACTGTATTCGGACTAAAGACGATAGTATATATAGAGCCGACATCATACTAATAAGTGCTGGTGCTGCCTCGGGATACTTAGTGGACCTAAGGCAGCAACAATCCGCTACTGGTCTTTTCGTCACTCATATTAGACTTACAGAGAAAGAGTATGAGACGCTCAAAGATATCCCTATTGTGTTTGATGCTGAAATGGGATACTTCTTTCCTCCAGATAAAAAAACTCACCTTTTGAAAATCGCTTTGTCAGGATTAGGTGGAACCAATAACATAAAAGACCCTTTTAGAGAAGATTCTTTACGTTCTTTACCGAGATATAAAACAGAATATCCTAATGATACCATGCCCATTCTAGGGAAGATTAGAGCTAAAAAGTTGCTAGGAAAGTATATTCCGGAGGTTGCATATCATACACTCATTGAAAGTAAAACATGTTGGATAGCAGATACTGCAGATTCCAATTTTATAATTGACAAGGTACCAAATTACTGCAACATTTACGTTGCAACAGGGGATAGTGGTCATGCTTTCAAGTTCTTGCCCACCATAGGTGGATATATTTTAGAAATGTTGGAAGGGACCCTCGACAAAAGGTTTGCTGAGAGTTGGAAGTGGAAAAATCATGGAGAGTCGTTTGATGTATCTAAATGCAAGTGGAGGGTGGTCGCAGATTATTCAGATTTTTCGGATATCAAGTGGGTTGAGAAGGATTGATAAACTTGAAGATACTATAATAATCTTTGACAAAATCTTGAACTAACGGCTTGGACAAAACTACGATATAAATTACTCAACTATCATGTAAACCTTAAATTTACAAATTTATAGATCATTTTATTACTTTTTGTGTATTCATTTATTTGTTTTTCTAAGTTGATCCCCCAATACCAGCAATGAAAGCAAGAGACCACGTCCTTGACATACCATTATCTATCAATCTGTCGTCCCAGTCATTTCTTGAAAACCATTTCCAAGCATATTTAGGATCAAATAGTGCTGCATTTAAAATCAAAATTCCTTTCCATCCGTCGGGAATAGCATCAATGATATTAGCCAACTTTTGATCCCATTCTTGTTTCACAAATTCTTTTCCTCGTATATAAGATGAAATAGGACTAATAGGAAGCATATGAATACCATGGATCCACTCATCCGCTACTGTTCCTCTTCCGAAATAGGTTGCAAAATCAATCTTGTTTTCAAAGCTGATCCCTGCAACTTTATTTTTAATGAAGTTCTTTGGTTGTACTTTGTTGTCATCAGAGTATAGCATATACATGTTCATGGATCTTTTCATTATTGCAAGCATAAGATTAGCACGAGCCTCCATATCCAAATCCCCAATAACTTTAGCAAAGAGCTTCATTCCATACGCAAAATGGTAATCCTCAGATGAAGATTCCTCATCTTTTCCATCGCCAGACGGGAAAATTCCATGTGCGAATGAATGACCATGAAACCAGTCAAATGACCTTGACTGTGGGAAATATTTATCCGCCTTAGGACTTGCTACATCTCTTAATAAAGTAATAGCATAATTGAAAACCAAATTATTGTTAGCACTCAACCATTTTTCATCAATTTTAGCTATAAGTGAAATTGCATGAATATGGTAGCCATAATGAAAGTGGTGATCATTGTAGTTTGCATTACCGAAATCAGCAGCTGGTTCCGCCGAAGAAATAATTCCCTTCCAGCTTGTGTCATAAAGCAACGGAAACTTCTGCTCGTTTTTTGCAAATATTTCGATCGCCTTTTTAACTTGAGTAACTATCGTTGAAGTAAGATTTTCATCTTTTAAAATGAAATGACATACGTAAGCGATATAAGCAAACTTATCCAAAATTTTCCCTGAGGTATACATGGAATCAATGTTTGCCATAGTGAAGACATCTTGCTTCGTTTCCTGTTCAGCAGCATATCTTATCAAATCTTTCGCTTTAGTTGAGTATGAGGAAGCTTTCGAAAATGATGACCAAGGTTCCCAGTTAATATCGACTGGCAATGTCTCTTCCATAGCCAACTCATTGGTCTGATAAGCCTTCATCATCCCCTTTGTAGGCGAATCGAGATACATTCGCGTATCCCGAGTGGCTACATCGCTTAATAAAGCCTCTTGATGATGTGGAAGGCACCATACGATTCCCTTGCCGCATTTCGATCTACCTTTCATTTCATAAAGGAATCTATATGTACCCTTGTCGCCGGTAACTTTACCATCTAGGTGTGCAGCAACTGGGTATGAACCTGCTGATTCATCGTAAGCTTTGGATTCTCCACGACATATTTGAACAGTGACATTACCTACCTTGTCTCCTACAATGTGATTAGGATCTTTCAAGCTAAGTTCAACATTCCCATCAACGTAAATGCTCCAAGTAACTTGATTGAATAAGGTTACTATATATTTCTTGATTGATCCAATATTTGAGGACTTTTTGAACCCTTGGACTCCGACCTGTGAAGCAATTACAGGTTTGACATTATGATAGAGAGCTGTTACAAATCCCATCCCATGGACAAGAGGAACGGTAACATACTTATCGCTTTCTAAAACTAGCTTTGAGGTAACTGAAAGCTTATTGTGGTTTTCCAATTCTAAAGCGACATTCTGAAATTGTTCACCAGAAATGACGAATGACTTAATCTTTGGCGGATTGAAGTAAAACTGTGCAGGGTCTGCATTAGGGTCAGGACCAAACACTCTTTGAGAAGCTTCAGTATGATTAAAGGCAAGTCCGAAATCTTGGCCGGGATCTTTTGAGAGCCATAAGGAGTATGGAAGCGTCCAAACAGGAAATGTCTGATCTTCCAATGTCAAGTTATTGTAAAAGTTGTTCGTTTGAATGGGCTCATCTTTATCTCCAAATTTACAGCCTTTCGGAGATTGATGGTGCTTTGACCTTTTAAATAAAGCTGGAGGTTCAGAATCCGTAATTGGTTTTGAAAATATCCCTGTTGTAGAAAAATCTACGTTCTTTGGTTCTGTTTGGAAGGTCTTTTGCTCTCTCTTTTCATTGACTTTATTATTGTTCTCTTTCGAATTGACATTCAATTTTTCTAGTTTTTTCACAGCATTTTTAATATCAATGAAACCCATATTAGGCTTGTTAATGATAAGAATGATGTAATGGCTTATGTCTAGTGGAATACTCAAATGGATGTTCCGCAGTAGAGGTTTATTTTTAGCAGAATTCACGATAAAATGCTGTACAGCCTTTCTGACCGCGCTTTCCCAATTCAGAGCTTAGCGAAATATATCACGTTACATGGTCGCATTAGGATACCGTAGCGGTTAAAACGTATTTAGTATAAAGAGTCTAAAGAGTTTTAAAAGAGATAAAAACTTAACTGGCTATATTATAACAGATATTCCCTTTCGGGACCTAGGTAAAGCATTGACTCATGAAATATCAGATTATATTGATTGCACTTTCATTGGGCAGTTGCTGTTCCAGCAAATTGCATTCTAATCCTTTGAATTCTGATGAAGTTGAATATGATGGGAATAGAGAGCCGAGCTTAGAAGAAACTTGGGGAGCATTATGGCCATTTCAAGGAGTCAATACTTTTGCTCATTTGGACCATGCAAAATGCTTGATAGAAAAAGATGAGACTTATGATATTGGGATAATTGGAGTTCCCTTTGATACTGCTTCTTCTTACAGACCTGGATCCAGGTTTGGACCCAGAGCCATTAGAGCTGCATCTCAAAGACAAACATCATTAAGGGGATACAATCAAAAAGCAGGTATAAATCCGTACCAGAATTGGGCCAAAATCATAGATTGCGATGATATCCCAGTGACTCCTATGGATAATTCACTTGCCTTCAAGCAAATGAACTTGGCTTTTGACCAATTGATATCTAAACGGAAATCCAATGCCACTAATGCACATCCTAGATATGTGGCGTTAGGAGGGGATCACTCCGTCCTTTTGCCCCATTTAAGAGCATTGCACAAAATCTATGGTCCTTTAAACGTAATTCATTTTGATGCACATCTTGATACATGGAAGCCAGATAAGTACCCTTCATTTTGGCACTCAGATCAATCTGAATTGAACCATGGCTCGATGCTATGGAAGGCACATGAGGAGGGATTGCTTACGACTCATAACATACACGCTGGTCTTAGAACAAAGCTTTCTGGTAATGAAGATTATCTCGACGATGATGAACAGAATTTTACAAGGATATATGCGGACGACGTATGGATAAAGGGAGTTGACTATGTTATTAAGAAGATTTTGGATTCTGTACCAGCTGATACTCCAACTTATCTCTCTGTAGACATTGATGTTTTAGATCCCGGATTTGGTAGTGGAACTGGAACACAAGAACCTGGTGGATGGCTACCAAGGGAATTAATTTATGTATTGAGGCATATTGATGGTTTAAGTATTGTTGGTGCTGATGTTGTTGAGGTATCACCTGCTTTTGACAATGCAGAGATAACCTCTACAAACGGAGCGCAAGTTGCTTTTGAGATTATTACAAGCATGGTGAAAAAAGGTAAGCTTGACCACCTTGCTCGTGGGATTCAAGCAAAAGACCTCATTACCATTAAAGAGACTAAAAAGTCACTGAAAGAAGTTTCGGAAGATGAAACTGGTGATAAGCAACTTCATAAAAAACTATTAGAAAATTTAGAAGAAGTAGAAAGGCTCAAGTTGAAGTTGTTAAACCAGCTCCAGCAATTCGGAGACAATAAGATTATCATTTAGAACGGATATATAAATTGTAATGAATGTATTAGATAAACAATATCAATAGATAGGAATAATAATAACAGTAATAAAAAAGGTATTAATTGACAAGCATGTTCTTTCTAATTTTTATAATTTGTAACAACATTGTTACATCATTAAGCTTGAAAATGAATCTTGAGCTTTTAATACCCATATGCTCCAAGATGCTGTAATCAGTAACATTCTTCAAAGGACCAAGACTAATCCAGCTGCAAGAACACCAGCTGCACCCAAACCATAGCCAGCAGCAAAGTTAGCTTGGTTTTCAGATGAAGTTGAGCTATTGGATGAGCCATTGGATACACTATCGTATTTAACTAACCTCAGTTGATCAACAAAGACAGTGGTAGTAACTGGGTTTTTAGTCTTATCAAATCTACCGTATTTGTGAGTACCGGATGATGAGGAAGAACTAGACCTCTTAGTCTTATCAAATCTTCCGTATTTATGAGTACCAGAAGACGAAGGACTGCTAGATGCCTTTGTCTTATCAAATCTACCGTATTTGTGGGTACCGGATGATGATGATGAACTGGATCTCTTGGTCTTATCAAATCTTCCGTACTTGTGAGTTCCAGAAGACGAAGGACTGCTAGATGCCTTAGTCTTATCAAATCTACCGTATTTGTGGGTACCGGATGATGATGATGAACTGGATTTCTTAGTCTTATCAAATCTTCCATACTTGTGAGTCTGAGTAGAACCAGTTACTGTAACCGTAACCGTTGAAGGAGGCTCTGCTGCAGACACAACTGCAGTAGCAGAAGCGACACCAAGCAAAAGATTACTTAACTTCATTCTCCAAGTCTACTCTCAAACAAACTTGAATGCAATCCACTAAAAAGTTTATGATAGACGAAGGAAAAGCAAGATTAATAAATGAATTTTCTCAAGACTGTGTATTTGAGAGATTTTAGAGGGATTTATTTTGAACTGTCCTGCTTCGGAAATTTAACGACGAAAACATTCCCGCTAGCTGCCGACCAAAAAAGGAACTTCCAGTAGGGTATGCACTAAGAGTTACCCTTTCTTTTTAAAAGTAGCCTATTTCGGAAGTATCGAGGCTCTTTCCGGTCAGAAAAAACCCTGAGCCAGCTGATTGATCGGAGTCGGTTGAGCCGGGCAAAACGGATGGTGCTCTCGGATGGGCATGGAGGTCGTGCGATGCTGTGAAACTAAGAACCGAACTCAACGGTAAAAGGCAGGAACATAAACAAAGAAATTAACTTGTCCGGGTCACACTTGTCATCGCTCAACCCGTTAGACAAGAGATAATTCAAAAGGCTCATCAGGTTATATGAGAATAGAGATTAGAAATCGACTAAAAAAGGTACCTGGTTTACGGACGCAATTTTCAACTGTTAGTCATGAGGCTGAGGATCACTCATATACAATCTTTGGTGTTTTGGTAGACCATTAGTATGAGAGGACATACCTCTTAATACTATAAATCAATTTCATACATGGAATGCCGCGTCTTGTGGGGCCGTAGTGCAATAGAGTACAAAGAATTATGTCTAACTTAATAGCCACTCGCAAAATTCTGACAATGTTATATTATTAAAAAAGTAGAGATGCAAGGTCATGGACTCAAGAAAAGAAGAAGGAAAGAGCCTATGTAGAGATATATATAGAGATGAGTAACTAAATTAAAATTGAAAGTTTTGTTGCTGATTGGCATTAACCCCAAATCCAAAGGCATCGCCATATGCCTGAGGAGCCACACCTTCATCATCAATCTGGTCGTCTTCTTCAGAGAAGTACTTTTCGATGATGTGGTACGCCTTTTCGTATATCTTTTCATTTTCGTTAGCCTGACATTCGAAAATCTTCTCCATACCACCCGCTTCTTCAATGTATAATGCATTCTCGTTAACGGTAGTATTGCGAGCTTCTTTATCCATTTCACCCATTTTTAAGATATTGTCTAGTGAGTCCAATGTGACCTCAATTATTTTAGAATCAGCAATGGCAAGTAAATCACATAAGGGCTTTATACATCCTTGGCTCACGAGGTAACGTATCTGATCTGGCCTTGTCAAGCCTCCAGACGATGCATTGGAGATTGCCCAACATGCCTCCTTTTTTGTTTTGTAGTCACCATTAATCAACAATCTGATAATCTGAGGAATCAAATTTGCATCTATAACCGCCTGTATTTGATCGGTATTTCCAGCAGTGATATTAGAAATGGTCCAACAAGCCTCTTTGCGAATTGTTTCCTTCGGCGAATTCAAAAGAGGAGCCAATGCAGGTAAAACTCCTGCATTAATTACTATTTGTGTTTGAAGATCATTACCTGTGACAATATTTCCTATTGCTCTCAAAGCCGGAGTTTGAACCAAAGTGGATTCGTGTCCTAATAATTCAACGAGACGATGAGGAATACGTGCATCCACGACAGCTTGGATCGCCTCTGTTGTGCCATCTGATAAATAGGAAACAGCCCAACAAGCATCGACCAATGTCTCCGAGTCAACAGAATATATCAATTTAGCCAATGTTGGAATTGCTTGTTGAACTATGTTCCAATCAGGCTGTGGGTTTTTACCCCTACATAAGTTGGATAAGGTCCAAGTTGCTGTTCTTATCAAAGACATCTTGGTGCTGTTGAATAAGGACAAAACAGGATTCATAGCGTTACATGCCAACACGTAATCTCGATACTCTGAAGAGTCTCCGGCAACATTACCCAATGCCCAAATGGCTTGCTCCTTGACTTCAAGCGATTGGGAATACAATAACTGAACAAATAAAGGTACAGCACCATACTCAACTACCACCCTGGTCTGATCAGAATTACCTGAAGCAATATTAGTAAGGGCCCAAGCAGCCTCTAATTGTAACATATCCGGATGACTTTCCTTCATGAATTCAACTAAAGTTGGAATGACACCTGACTGAATCACTAAGTCTATTGGAGGATTGTGCTCACGAGATAATATTTGACGAAATTTAACTGTAGCACCTAGCTGATTCTCAAAATCGGATGACTGAATCATCTCAACCATTCTAGGTAAATCTTGTTGTAACTTTGAATAAAATTGGCTCTCGTCATTATTAGCTTGTACATTAAATTCATCTTCATCTTCAGAATCATTTCCTTCATTTTGAAAGTTTCTTCTCTTGGCTAAGACCTCCTCTCTTTTCTGCTTTCTCAAATCAACTTGATGAGTTTCTCTCCGTCTTCTCAACTCATCGCTTTGGAAACGACCTTTATTCTTGAAATTTGTACGACGATATTCTGGGATGAATCTATTTGTAGTGTCAGAATCCATTATTACTCTTTATCTACAATGTCTAGATGGAATTAATTGAGGGCGTTGTTGATTTTTTTTTTTGAACTTATGAGACTTTGTGTAATTATTTCTTTTAATTTTTGTTGTAAAGGAATATCATCGAAATGAACTTATGTAATCTACTAGTAGAAGAAATTTATTTTAGTACAACGGATTTGTTGAACGTCGTGAACATATGATGATTCGTACTATATCAAGGTCTCAAACCACAATTGGACGATGGTTTTCTAGTGGTAGGATACTCGCTAAGCATCAAGGTAACCTCAAGCTGGAAGACACGACTGTAGATGCAGACGAAATCATAAGTGAAAATAATCCGTGGTCACCTACCTTGTATAATGATATTGTCAGCATAAGACCTCCTGGATCATTTCGTTCAAAGGAATTACCACTGAAATATAGATTATCATATCTGCCATTGTATGAGGCTCCCGGTGCCAAATATGTTGCCTTGTTGAGGAGGATCACATTGAGTTTTGCGGTTATAGGAGTATATGGCGCCAAATTATTCTTTGACTCTGCACAATTTGATGATCTTTACGCTTTGGGCTCTATCATTGGTACAAGTGCTCCTGCTGCGTTTGTTCAATATAAAACAAGAAATTATGTAACTAGAATTTTCAGGCTTTACAATAAAGAAAAACCCCAGACTCTCAAGAATTTGATCGATGATGAGAAAGTAATTATGGAGAAGCTCAATTTCACTGGAGGCAAAACATATAATCAATTGCTAACGATTACAGGAAACAAGACAGTAAAGATATCTCCAAAACCAACATTTCCCTCGTTGGCTCCCTTAGCATCATGGCAAGATATAGATCCAGAAACAAACATTAAACTTTCCTTTTACATTGTTGACGATATTGGTGGAATAAAGATGGACAGATTATGGGGAATCGTGGAACACAATAGTGGACTTAACAATGGTAGATATATGGAACTAGATATCCCCAAAGATTGATCATTGGGATATTTGTCTTCAAGTATCCCATATTTAAGGTAAGGGCCTTCATCTCGCCTAATTGTATATAGAATTATTCTACAATTTATTATTGAATGTACATGATTATTGTTGGCTGATTGTAGCTTCAGAAAATCACGTGCACATCATCTTAAGTCAGATCGGGCCCCACTGTAGAGAAATAATCTGCAGAGAATTGCCATTGCATTAATTTAGCCGTACTCAAACGCTTTACTTTTGGGAGATTAAGGTTTGTTATTTTAAATATCTTTAAGCTGCATATTGTTCGCCTTTTGTAGTGAAAGGATCGTGCCAAGATGGTGAGGCTCTTCAATCATTCCAAGACAGGGACGATATTACATTCTAAAGATGAGCATCAAAATAATGATAAAACTAAACAAGACAAAAATGCAAATGAAAAGAATACGAACGAAAGCGAAGATCATTTGAGTAAGCATGTAACTACAGGAGATAAATCATCGGATAAAGAGAACCAAATTGAAGGTGGAAAGAATGATCAAAGTAAAGAAGAAAGAAATGCGGCTTTGAAGAGCTCTACGGCCATTGCTAAGCCTAGGATAAAACATAGTGAATATCCGCCAGATTCTGAAACGCTGATCAATACGAGACTCAATGCACTTTTATATCACACAAAAGACGAGACTGTTGATTTATATAAGCAGGAAAATAATGCTTCTGATCTCTTGGGCCGATTGTATTATGATGACTATGACTCTGATTCTTCGTCACCTACCATAGGATCAGATTCATCTACGCCAATGCTGCCTTCTAGTGCTAGCGATCGCATGGGTCCATCTTCGGGGTACTTTCAATCCAAGTTGGCCATTGCTTCTGCTTCATCCCCAAGCATAAGTTCATTGATTGCAGCGCGCTCACCTTCTTCTCAATCACTTCAGCGTCCAGAAATGAATCGCATAAAATCTTTCGAGCGAGGGATTTCTTTTCAAACCGAAACCGATAATCATGGTCGATCATTAACTTTGAAAGTCAAGCATCCCAATTTCAAGTTTCGTAGGAATAATAAGACTTTTCTTGCTGGTTTCAATGACAACCAAGAATCTTTGAGAGCTATTGAATGGCTTTTTGAAGAGATGGTTATAAATGGCGATACTATAATTATACTTCAGGTGCTAGACGAAAAGAGCCATGATACCATAGATAATGTTGAAGCTGGTAAAATTCTTAGTAGGATAGAGCTATTAAACAAACACTTCAGAAAAGTCGCAATAGTTTTCGAAACCGTCATAGGAAAACCTCAAAAATTATTGAAAAGAGCAATTGATGAGTTTAAACCTGCAATGATGATCATTGGAACCCATCATCACGATGACCCAAGCTATCTTTCCCATAGGTTCCTTGCAAAGTCTTCCATGTCAAAATACTTTTTGGAATGTGCTTTGGTGCCTGTAATTGTTGTTAAAACGACATATAAATATAACGAAACTCTTTCAAAAGAAATTGATTCGCCTTCCTATTTCCATGATTGGTTAGCAAATATCAATATCTCCTCAACCTTTTCAAAAGAAAAAAGCAGACGATCAAAATTGAGGTCTTTGAGTCCATCACCATCCAGGACTTCGTCTCTGAAAGACATACGGGCAATGTCAAATAAAGGAAACACAGAAGATTTACTGCAGGAAAGAGGTAGAAGGAGTCATAAGGAAGAAAATGATCGTTTTCGGTTTCTGCTTAGTCCTTCAAGCTCACGATCAAGATCTACATCGAGTTCGCGTCCAGTCTCAAACGGTCTAGCCAAATTTTTCAGCAGTCATTGAACAACAGCTCCATGTATAACTTTTTAGCTTTTATCTATTTCCTTTAATTCATAGAAATTTAGATTTCACATCAGTTCAAATTTGACCATTTAAGATCAAGCTCTATGTTTCTTCCCTGTCCTATTTATGGCCATTTGCGTTTGTGTAACTTCATCGGAGTATTTGGATATATCGAGCTCATAAAAAAAATTCATAAACTGGTGTTCATCTGAAGTTCTTGCAACGATGATTTATTTGAAAACATTATTGAATGTCATAGACAACTCAGGAGCCCAAGTTGCTGAGTGTATTAAAGTCTTACGTCATGGACCTCGAAATTTTGCTAAAGTTGGGGACGAAATTACAGTAGTTGTGAAGCAAGCTAAACCACTTCTGTCTGAAATAACTGGACAGTCCGCAAATAACAGAGTTAAGAGAAGGGATATTTGCCGTGCAATTGTGGTTAGGACAAAAGCTCCGTATAGGAGACCCGATGGATCGACAGTAAGATTTGACGATAATGCATGTGTCTTAATCAACAAGAATGGTGATCCACTTGGAACCAGAGTTTCGTCTCTTGTGGCCAAGGAGTTGAGAGATTTGAAATACAACAAGATTGTGTCGTTGGCACCAAAAACTTTCTGATCGAGGTCGTCAATTTATAATTCTTGTACATAAAATTTAATGAAGATAGATGGATTATCATTAAAATATACGATTTTGAAGAAAGTGTGGGTGCATTGAAAGAATCCTTTCTAATTTCTTTATTCTAATCTACTTTATAATTTCTTAGTTTCATTATCTTCCTGAAATTGCCTGTGAAGTCAACCTGTCCATCTGCTTGGTTGTTGTAGATATATTCCTGATTCCTGAAAAAGGTGCTTAAAATCTTGACGAGTAAACTCTAAAGAGCCATTTTAGGGAATCCTACTAATGATTTATTGTGATAGTAATTACCAGCCCACTTTGGTTATCAGTATATATTCCTATTTTCACTAAGAAGATCAGACGTTTTCAGCAGCGTAAAGATTGGTCGCGCTGAGTAAATTTTATCATAAAATTTGATACTTGATTGAATTTTTTTTCTCTGACTAACGCATACCTTGAATAAACATCCCCAAGAATAGTCTACTATGTCTGAAATTGAAGGTCTTAAAGGAAAAGTTGACGAGTTGTCAGTAAAGGACAAGAATGTAGAAAAAGGAAATGAAACTAAAGCCAAAAAAGAAAAGAAACCAGTATCTAATTCCTTGTTTTCAACTGAAAAGCCTGAATTTATTGATCCAAGAATTCAGCTTTTTGACGAGTTAAAGGCGAAATATGACGAAGAAATCGCAAAGAAGGAAAGAGTTCCAATCAACATCACTTTGAAAGATGGTACTATTAAAGTTGGTGAAGCATACAGCACCACCCCAATGGAAATTGCAATCAGTATTGGGAAATCTTTTGCCGACAGACAAGTGATTGCAAAAATTGATAACGAAACCTTATGGGATTTGGACAGGCCTTTAGAAAAAGACGTGAATTTGAATTTTCTTGATTTTGAAAATCCTGAGGGAAAGGCTGTATTCTGGCACTCTTCTGCTCATGTTTTAGGAGAAGCTTGTGAATGCCATTTTGGTTGTCATTTATCTTACGGTCCACCAACTGATGATGGTTTCTTCTATGATATGTCTATTAAAAACGGTGAGGGAGTGGTTACTCAAAACGACTTTGGCACTTTAGAGCAGGTTGCAACAAAAGTTGTAAAGGAAAAACAAAAATTTGTTAGACTAGAAATGACCAAAGAACAGTTGTTAAAGATGTTCTCTTACAATAAGTATAAAGTTCAATTTATTAGTGACAAAGTTCCAGATGGAACCTCAACTACTGTTTATAGATGTGGTCCACTCATAGACTTATGTCTTGGGCCTCATATTCCTCATACTGGAAGGATTAAAGCTTTAAAGATATTGAAAAATTCTTCATCTTACTTTTTGGGAGATGCTAACAATGACTCATTGCAAAGAGTGTATGGTATTTCTTTCCCGGATAAGAAGTTAATGACCGAACACTTGAAGTTCTTAAAGGAAGCGGCTGAGAGAGACCACAGAAAGATTGGAAGAGAGCAAGAGTTGTTTTTCTTCAATGAAATGTCTCCAGGCTGTGCATTTTGGTTACCTCATGGTGCGAGAATTTACAACACGTTGGTCGAATTCATCAGGTCTGAATATAAACAGAGGGGTTATGAAGAAATTATCAGCCCTAATATGTACAACTCCAAATTATGGGAAATCTCTGGACACTGGGGTAATTATAAAGAGAATATGTTTAGTTTCGATGTAGAAAAAGAAACATTTGGTTTAAAACCAATGAATTGTCCGGGACATTGTCTCATGTTCAAGCATCGCGAAAGATCTTATCGTGAATTGCCTTGGCGTGTTGCAGATTTTGGTGTTCTTCATAGAAACGAGTTTTCCGGTGCTTTGTCAGGTCTCACTAGGGTTCGTCGTTTCCAACAAGATGATGCACATATTTTCTGTTCTGAAGATCAAATAGAATCTGAAATCGGTGCCGTCTTTGATTTCTTGCAGACAGTCTATGGAGTTTTCGGCTTTGAATTCAAAATGGAATTATCTACTAGACCTGAGAAATATGTTGGAGATATAGAAACGTGGAATGGAGCAGAAGCTAAGTTGGAAAATGCGTTGAACAAATTCTTGGGCAAAGGCAAATGGGAATTGAATCCCGCTGACGGTGCTTTCTACGGTCCCAAAATTGATATCATGATAAGTGACGCTTTGAGGAGATGGTTCCAGTGCGCTACTATACAATTAGATTTCCAACTCCCATCAAGGTTCGAATTGGAATTCAAAGCAGAAACAAATGACAAGGATAATGCGGTGCAGAGACCAGTCATGATTCACAGAGCTATTTTAGGTTCCGTGGAACGGATGACAGCTATACTAACAGAGCACTACAAGGGTAAGTGGCCTTTCTGGTTGTCTCCAAGACAAATATTGGTGGTTCCTGTTGGAGTGAAATATATCGACTATGCTCAAAAGCTTCAACAGAAGTTAAGCAAAGAATATTTGTTTTATGCTGATGTTGATACCAGTGGTAACACATTGCCAAAGAAGGTCAGAAACGGGCAGATGTTGAAATACAATTTTATATTTATTGTTGGAGAGCAAGAGGAAACTGAAAACAGTGTTAATATACGTAACAGAGATATTCCAGAAGAACAAGGTAAGAATGCAATGGTCAAATTCGATGATGTTGTTAAGCAATTAATCGTCTTGAAAGAAGAGAGAAGACAAGATAATAAATTAGTATAATCACTTTTTAGCTATAGATAATCTTAAATACGAAAAATCTATGTTTCTCGAACTATAGCAATTTTGCGAGAATATATTATTCTATTGAATGCTTCTATAATACATTCGATTAAACGACACAATATGTCAGATGATAACACCACGGAACAAACGGACTCTCAGTCGCTCATACATCCAGATAATCCATTGACACATAGGCTTAGTCCCCAGCAGTTCCAAGCGAGTATAAAATTTTACGAAGCTGATCAAAAATTGACACCTGAAGATAGGTTGAATTTGTCGAATGATTTACAATCAATTGTTTTCAAGACAGCATTCGTAAGCTACGGGTCAGCAGTAGCCGCATTTGGAATACCGTCTTTTTATAATAAATTCGTTGCACAGCCAGTTCCTCTGAAAGTTCGTCCACTAATCTACAAGCCCTTCCTTTCATTTCTCTTAGGGTTGACAACGATGATGGTGGTCAATCAACAAACGCTCAAGTATCAATTTCAGAAAAAGATAGACTACTATCAAGGAACTCTGAAGACAAATCAATTGAACGCTTGGAGGGCAATGGACTATCACCAGGCCAGTTTATTCTATGTTTATTATCGTCGGACTGCTGACAATCCAAGTTTCATCATTAGCGATCCAAGGAACTTTACCGAAAAGACTCTACATGAGGTCCACTTTGCTCCTCCTAAGCACAAGAACCAGCATTATACCTCAGCATTGGGTATTGGGCATGATGGCTACGATGCTGCTGGCTCTTCAACTTGGGAAAGGATCAGACTGGCAAATGGCTTTTCATCTTCCCTGGATAATGCTTCTGACAAGTCGTATCCTTCTAACTCTGATAAGTAAAAGTATTTTCCATGAAATATTGTGTGAATGAGTACCCAAGACAATAATGGACAAATTTCCATACTCATCTCGAAGTATATAGCAAGTCAACGAACGCTATGTATAATGCTCGAATCCTATTATTTTAAGAACAAGTTAGGATACATCAGCTTTTTTAAAAAATTCTACTTATAGCTTCGTCATGGCTAGTTAAGTCCTTAGACACGAAACTTAAGTGTGAGAGCATGCAAAAATAAAGTCAAATCAATAAAAGAATAAATATACAATTCGACGTCTCTCTTTAAGTTTATCAAAGGACTGTCATTTCCGAAAGAAGCGTATTGGTTTCCTCTTTTAACAATTGATGTCTTATTGCAGCTGTGATTGATTTTTTTAAGCAGCTTTCAAGGATTTCCAATTAGCTACATTTCATCAGGTATTACGAGGCTCTAAATGAGAAACATGATAGGTAATTCAATAAGTCCACTTCTTAGACCAAATGGGCGCTTCTGAATCTTACAAGGAATGCAACACAATTATACACTGAGTTGCAGCTTTCTCCAAAAAATTTTTTTCCTTATTTCTGTGAGGATAATTTTTGATTTCCTGTGCCAGAAGAGGCTTCGGATACCAATAATTCAAGTAAGGTTTCATGCTCTCGAGATAAATGACACGATACAACTTGTGTCTGTCTAATCGCTGATTATTCAAAGTCTTCTACTATGACACGATTCGTCTTGATATTACTGTTATCAATTCTTACAATTTTGAAGAATAGTCTACTCAACAAGTAAGTGTATAAATTATCAATATTGTTTCAAAATATCTCTTGACTCTTTATGTTGGTAATGGCTGTAGTATGGAGTACTAAGTATCATAAGTCCCAAATTTAGATTTAGAGAACTTGCTCTTGTACCTTATTAAGCAATTATATTAGGCACCAGCTGAGTTTTAAGCTTCTATTGCTTTTCTAGTATCTAATTCTTAATGCTCAAGAAACAAAAATAGCTTCTGGCAAGGTACTGTAATATTTTTTTTATGGGTAAATTATTTGGATCAAACAGAGGAAGACAGATGTTCAAAAGTTCGCCGAGAACTCCATAGTCAAAGCATGATCCATATATTTGCTCATTTTCGGGGAGCCATAACATGGTCCTAGAGTCTTAAATTCGTATCTCTTCGAAATAATTCAAGTGTTCCAATTGACAATCTACTTAGGCGTATCTCGTTTGCACCCAAAAATTTAACTTTAAACAACAAAAGTTAAATTGCATTCTACTTGAAGCAGTTAAAGGTCCGACCTAGATGATGAGATTCTTCCTTCTGTATAGAGCATTTATATTTTAAATGGGCTCCGAAGGGGTATTCAATTTGTTTCAACTTATTTTTCAGTTCTTTACTTATTATTTCATTGTCAACTTGAACTTGATCCTTGATTACCCAATTTATCACTAAAATGTACTTGAACTGACCTCGCCTTGAATCGTAGGCAATTTTAACCATGATCTGTTGGCCCCTCTAAATAATGCCCAAAGTTGAACATTCAATCACCCAATAGCTTTCTTTATCTGGAAATACGTATGACTTCTCAATTCATAAATGAAAGGAAGTTCGGTATTAAGAGCCTTCCATGAACATGAAAATGCTTTCAAGCATAATTTGAATGAAAGTTCCTCTACAAAAATATGCTTCTAGAAGTAATCCCGCTCTTTTGACTGTGACAAAAAAAGGCTGGATATCTCCTCTTCTTTTATTGTCCAAAAAAGATTTAAACGCATCTTAGTGGTAGTACAAGTGTAAAGTTTATTACAATGTTTTGATAAAACGTTCATTTCTTTTTAGAAACAGCTAGCTCTGCTTAATTGATAGTCTGGTTTGACTGTTGCACTATTCTGTACGAAAAAACTTGATTCTTGAAGTCAATTCACTTCTTCTACATCTAATTTAGAATGCATTAAATTTTTGGCCCCTATCTCTCAAAGATACCAAAAATATTCATTCCTATGAGCTTCCCTAATGGGGGGAATCCCTTTGTCATGTCCAGAGCCATATTATCAACATATATCACCTGATTGGACCACTTACATTCAATTGAGTGGCAAGAATGACGAGGTCAGAACGAATTAGAGGTCTCGAAGCTTGAAACGATCTCATTACCCCGTAGTTTCCCTATTCGACTCAATGTACCTTTCCGAGAGATGCGTCTTAAAATTCTTGGGTGGCCCCTTATAATTTACCTGCGGCTGAACTTGTCGCAAAATGCTCCAATCGGCGTGGCTTAAACCATTTTTTCTACTTTAGCAGCATTTACGACCCTTTCTTATTGTTTTCGTACAATATGTTTTAAGCAAGACGATCAAATGTCAGAGTATCTAACGGATGCAGATATCACATTTAGAACTATAGTGTTTAACCCTTGCCCAATTATTATATTTCCAGATTGAACGGGGTCTGCATTACAAATCAGTCAAGGTAGAGATCATTTTTTATGTTTAAGTGGTCCTATGTTCGGCGGGTCCTTCACGAGTAGACTTCGTATTGATGAATAAGGAGGTTAAAATTTCACGTTTTGCAGCTGTTTGAAACTGAATTGGGATGATATTAAACGATGCCAAAATACAATAAATGGGATCTAAGGAGAATGTGTTGATATAAGTGGCAGTATTTCTTAATTATTACGTAGAGTTGTTTTCCACTCAGAAGAATACTATGAAGTATTGTGTATGCTCTTTAATTTACTTGACGATACTTTTTGCATCATGGTCTGTCGCCGGCGAAATGCTCAAGGTAGGCTTTCGTGTGAAAAGAGGAGATACTATTGGTGATATGTCTGAAAGCACTGATGAGGAAGTGTTTGTCAAGCGAGCTAAGGACGAAGTTACAGCTGAGTTGCAAAATAAAAGAACATTCTATTTAGCAGAGATTAAGATTGGCTCTAAAAAGGAGAAGTTATCTGCATTGTTAGATACTGGCTCATCAGATCTTTGGGTCATGGGGCATAATATTAAATGTCAAACAATCCTTAAAATTTACAAAAGAATGCACAATGACTTTGAAGGAAATGGGGTCGTTGAAAGAGAGGAGCAGCAAAATGAATATGATGATACATCTGATTCGGATATCTACTCGAGCTATAATTATCCCTACGAATCATATTTTTACGGTTCTTATTATGAATCACTTACTGGTGAGATCTCTGGACTGAGCAAGGCCCTTTTGAGTGCGATACAACCGCCTACTACAACTTATTCCCATGAAATTGGCTACAGTACGAAATATACCTCTGCTTCCACCTGTACTAGTTTCGGTTCATTTAATACTGCTAACTCGGATACCTATAAAAGAAACAATTCAGCTCCAGATTTTTCCATAACTTATGCAGATTATTCCAATGCGGATGGTGTTTGGGGCTCTGATGATGTCGAAATTGGAGGCCAATCTTTAAAGTCGTTGGTATTTGCTGTTGCTAATAGGACAACTTCTCATATTTCTGTCTTGGGAATAGGCTTACCCCAATTGGAAATAACCAATAGTTACCTCAATGGTTTAGATGCATACGAGTATGAAAACTTACCGATGAAGTTAAAGAGCCAGGGACTCATCAATAAAGTTGCATACTCATTATATCTAGCAGATGCCGAATCAAAGAACGGTACTGTTTTATTTGGAGCGGTAGACCACGCGAAATACACTGGACCTTTAGAGACAGTTCCTATTATATCGACTTACAGCTATGAAGAAGACTTGTCGAGAATTACAATAATGCTTACTTCTATGACTTTTGACAGTGGTAAGGAGAAAACAAACATAAATGGAGGTTACAGAGCACTATTAGATAGTGGCTCAACGTTAACTTATTTTCCTCCAACGTTACTTTATCAGATAGGTTCCATGTTAAATGGGATTTGGGACCTATCCATGGTGACATACAGAGTGAATTGCACCCATGATTCAAATGTTGCATTTGTATTCAACTTCAGTGGCAAAACGATACGTGTACCTCTCTCGAACCTTTTGATTAGATCTCTGGAGGACTATTGCTACCTTGGGATCATTGAGAGTAGTGAATATTTGATCTTCGGAGACAATTTCTTGAGAAGTGCGTACATAGTGTACGACTTGGAGGACGAAGAAGTATCTTTGGCACAGGCCAAGTACACAGACGATGAGGACATAGAGATTATTACATCATCCATACCGGGAGTCACAAGAGCAGCAAAATACAATTCTACGACAATGAGATATCAGACATATGAGCTGCTTCCAGTCGTATCTTACCTGACTGGAGTATTGACAGGCTCTGGTTGGAGTCCGTTTACATCAGCGGATGGTGGCAGTGGCAGTGGTTCGAAGGGCAACGGTGCTCTGCAAGAGTCTCCTTCTTCACTCAGAATCATTGTCTTATTTACTTTGCTGATTTCGTTTTTCACATTTACGTGGCTCTAATTTTTTAGAATGTAGAAATTCTATGTATTAGTTGAAGAAGTGCTTTTTTCAATAACTCTAGTAGATCTTTTTTTGCCACTGACAAAACATTTTGTCCAACCAAAAAACTAATACACGGCTTTTAGAATATCAAATGAGTCAATGACCATTACGCAAAGCGTATTAGTTTTAAGCTTCAATTTGTAACCACATGGAGCCCAAAAATGGTAGTCACTCAATCGCACTGCGGCTATCCTAAAACACGTCTGCGCAGAATGTACGAAACCACTTTACGACTTTGACGAATCTGCCGTATAGCATGGTGCGGCTATTGTTAAATTTCGAACCTTCGCTTGCACCCAAAAAGAGATGGATGTGACTAAAAATCAGTTCCATATTTCAGGGGCGGGGCTATAGTCTCCTTAATGCCATTACTTGGCATCATTAAAGTATTCACCACACTACTATTGTAACCTAATTGTTAAATACACTGATGCATTGGACACTAGCTTCACCTGGAATTATTTAAATACATCCTGATTAGGAGTATAATTTTTTTTTTTTCAATTCTAATTTGCAGTCTAATTTCTTATTGGTTGCAACCAGTTCAGGTCCTATTTTTCGAAGTGGTAACAAGATGATGCTTCACCTGCTTGCAGTCCTATTTCTCTTCGTATTTTCAGGGACTGAGGCACGTAACAGCCTACTGAAAGGATTCAAGATAAGTATTGACGTGCACAGAGGAAACACCATTGATGACATGCAACATGGTGCTGCTGCTCTCATAAAAAGAGATCAAAATGGCGTCGAAACCGAACTTCTTAATAAGCGAACCTATTATATGGCAGACATTAAGGTAGGTTCGAAAAAAGATAAGGTATCAGTCTTAGTAGATACTGGATCTTCAGATTTATGGGTAATGGCCAATAAATTGTGGTGTAAGGCAGTCGTCACCAGTTCTAACCAATATTATGTAAAACAAGAAACTAAAACGCTTCACAAATTGGATAAAAACAAGAACTACCGTTCGACTTATAATCTTGAGGTTTTTTCAAACCCAGTGAATACGGTACCTCAGTATACAACTCCCTCATATGGAACTTTACAGTCAGGAGTTGCATCGACAAGTAGAGGTTATCGTACTATTGCATATCTGACACCCAGCGTATCTTATACAAGTGCATCAACATGTACTGACTATGGTTCATTCAATTCTGGAGATTCAGATACTTTCAAAAGAAATGACTCTGCATCTGATTTCTTTATCAGTTACGTCGATGGAACAGTAGCAAAGGGCCTTTGGGGGACAGATGACGTAGAAATTGGAGGAAGTACCGTTGAATCCATGTATTTTGGAGTAGTAAACGAAACAGATTCTAAGATTGCGATTCTAGGAATTGGACTAGATATTATGGAAGTAACGAATCTGATGCAAGAATCAAGTCCCTATAGGTATGAGAATTTACCTGTCAAGTTAAAAAGCGAAGGAATCATAGATAAAATTGCCTACTCCTTATATTTGGGAGACACAACTTCAAAAAAAGGAAGCATTTTATTTGGGGCCGTAGATCATGCAAAATATTCAGGTACTTTAGAAAAAGTACCTATCTTAACCTATGGTGCGTACTACTCTCCAACATTAATCTTAATTAAGCTTGATTCATTGGCATTTGATAACAACGGAAAAGAATTAACTATTGGATCCCTGGATAATATAGTAATTCTCGATAGTGGCTCCACGTTAACATACCTTCCAATATATTTACTTAATCGCATTGGAAGGATGTTGAATGGAAGATGGTCAAGCATCATGGAAACTTATGAGGTCAATTGTACTTCTGATGATTCCTACAAATTTATCTTCAATTTTAGCGGCAAAAAGATAGAAGTTCCTTTATCTTCCTTATTGTTAAGGGGACCATTCTCAAATTGTTATTTAGGAATCCGGCCAGCATATTCATCGTATGGCAGTCTCGGGGATAATTTTTTACGTAACGCCTATGTCGTCTTTGACTTGGAAGACAAGGAAGTTTCCTTAGCGCAAGCAAAGTATTCAGATGATGAGGACGTGGAGGTCATCTCTTCAACAGTACCTGGAGCAAAAGAAGCTGATGGTTATTCCTCAACGACAATTGTCATACAGTCAGAAGAATCAGTCCCTATTGTGTCTTATAAGACGGGTGAACTAACAAATGGAGGTTGGAGTCCCTTTGAATCAACCGATGGCAGCAGCTACGTTATTAACACAAGACGAACCACCAGAGCATATTACACGAGAACCCTGATACCAACAACTAGAACGAGAAGCTCTAGAGCATCAACAAGTCTCTCTGCTAGCAGCACACTGAACGAAAAATCGACAAGCGAAGACACGAAAACGACGAGTTCTTCGGATGAAACACCTACTTCTAATTCCTCCAGTTTCCCCAGTTCCTCCAGCTCCTCTAGTTCTGGTTCTAGTTCTGGTTTTAGTTCAAGTTCAACATCAACTTCAGGCGCAAGGGAGGGGGGAAATAGTGAAAGCTCTCTGGGAAGTGGAGCCTCCAGTATTCGTCTGCTATCCATAAAAGCCTTCCTCTTTCTTACCTTAACGACTTGTATATTTGCATCTGTTTGTTTATAAGGAACCTTTTTGATTCATATCCATCGGTCACCTTCCTAATTTTGAAAGTAATTTAATCAACAACATTATTCGTACAGCACACCTAATCTGTGATTTCCATATGGATTTATTAATTCGTAATACTAGATTCACATGAGAGAAAGATGCGTCTATGCTCTATCTAAATGTATTATGACATAGTTGTTGCACAAAGTTGAATAATTTCACTGAGCTCAAATTGCACCCAAAATAAGCTCTAGCAAAGCTCCGTCTTTCAAATTATTGCCTAATCTTAATCTTGATATTCGAAACAGGCATATAAAGCTCATAAATATCACAAAATTAAGAAGAGTATCAATATTTTATGTCTTTTTTTATATAGACAGACTATTCTCTTACTCAAAGAATACTATGCGCATTGTCTAATATTCATACTTTCAGAGATTATAAAAAATAATCATACATAAACGCAGCATAACATGTTGTCTCTCTCAATTCCGGACTATTTATAGTGAGGTCTATTATATTTTAGTTAAACATGGCGTAGTCTATATAACCAATTGGCAGTAAATGCTTGTAAAAGGTTGATCTATCATACTTCGATAATGGGATATTATTTCTCAATCTTTCTGGCAAGTCAGGATTACTTATAAAATATCTCCCAAAAAC